TTTTCTCTTTTTTTTTTAATGGAAGTGTTTATTATAAAATACAAATTAATAATATTTTCTTGAACTATTCCCATGTGTTGCTTTCAAATCATAAAACGAGACCTTGAAGGCGATAATTAATTTAAGCAAAAAAAAACTTTAAAGGTTGGGCGTATTAAACTGAAAACTAATTTACCGCCATGGTTCTCTTTTTTTGCAACAAACGTGTAATTGGTATCATTTGGTAGTCCTAATGTCTGAAGGTCGGGCCACGCCTGCCTGCTGGCTCTACTAATTGACCGATTTGCGGCAAAGACGGTGTTGGCGTTAGGTTTTGGTGCTCAAGTAGTTTTTGCCGCCGTTTCCTTAATTGCCAATTCAATTTGTGAAATTTCTTTATCTTTCAAGTACCTCGCTTTCGTCCGGTCTTTTCGCTTTTGTCGTTCGGTGTACGCTCCTCTTCAAATTTTCTGTCTCAGATTGCTTCTTCTCCTAATTCGGAATGCACGGATTTGCAAAGTCACTTTCATATGAATCGACTGGTTTCTGGACGAGTTTTTGTTGAAATTCCATTTATCAAAGTTGGTGCGGTGTTCGTTGAAAAATGCGCAACATGCATCCATAAATATTCTCGCAAGGAATTACATGATGTTGATCTTACTAGACTTCGTTGTCCAACATCTGCCGAAACCTTTCATCTTGCTTTCACGAATAATCTTTATTCTATAAGACTCTTTTTGACATTTTGGTACACATCCGGAAATCAAAAGCAGCGTCATTCAAAGTAATAAAAATAAACAAAGTGATTTTTATATTGGCATTTGATTACTCGAAACATTTCCCGAGCTACGTTCAAATTTGTATGTTCTTTTTTTAATAAATTTACGTGTCCTTGAGTGGAAATGAGAGAAATTATCATGGATTCCATATTTGCTTTAGAAATGGGATATTCCGAGAAAATTCGAGATTTGAACTGCCGCTGTTTAAAAGAGAGACGAATCTAGAAATAAGTGTAAAATTAATTTAATTCGTTTTAGCGGATGTATTACGGTAGTTAATAGATATCTAACAAGATTTTCTTTTAAAAAAATTGTAATACATCTAAAAATGAAAATGCTGTTTTTTTTGCATTGTGCTAGTGAGATTTTTTTTTCAACAAAGAAAATGATGAAAGAATCCCATAATAAGCAAAACTTGGCATAGCTTGCTTTGTTGGGCCCATTGCTTGATTAAGCAAGATGAAATGAATTTTCCTCAGTCGTTTATTGAAATTTAATTATTTTGTCAATTTTTCGTTAATTCATCAAAACGGCAAATTCAAGCAATGTCAAAAAATTGATTTTTTCATTTTTGTTGAACTCGATTTATTTTTTGTTTGGTATGACATTGAAAATTTGGCCAATGTTGGTTCTTTCTCCTATTCCGTTATTTTAGATAATGAATGAACACATTTCTCAACACTTTCCAACTTTTTCCATTTCCTCTCAAACTTCACACTTCTGGAATCTAGTTTATGGATCGTGTCACTTATAGGCGTGGCATATTACAGGATGCTGTTGGCTGAGATCAGAGGAAAATTCAATGAGAATTCATGTACAGGTGATTTGCTTGAGGGTATTCAATTTTCGTTTCTCATTTCTTCATTTCGCACGCAGGTGAAACTATGCATTTTTTTTCGAAACCTTCATTTCATGGAATGTCTCTCATGACATTCGCCAATCCATGAAACGTCAATGTAATTTATTTGTGATTCCATCGAGGAATGCACTTTTACAAAGCCATTTCCTGCTCACGACTCGTTCGAGGCTCACTTCCGGCGCCGGAAGATTTTTCCATTTTTGCTCATAAGATAATCGTACGCATTTTATGACAAAATGTATCCATTAGTCGTCAAAAACCCATTCACATTCTACAAAAGTTGAAATGATGCTCAATTTGAGCAACTCGACATTGCTTTCCTTTTTTTCATTTTTTGTTTGTGGTGGTAAGAATGGGTTGTCACTAAAAATGCTCGTTTAGATGCATGAACCTATACATTTTTTGCGCTGCCCGTTAAACAACCAGAGAAAAAAACATGTGTTTTGTTTTGTTTTCTATTCGATTTAAGGTTTACTTTAAATGGCCAGATATTTTATAAATTGGTGAAAGCTTCAATTTCTAATGCGAAAAGACCAATTTTTCTGGGTTATTTCGTTTATTTCTCTTGGTATTGTGCCCATACGGTCTATTCGATTTCTACAAGCTAATAATAGCCAGAATAACTAATCAGAGTGTCATAATGATTATGAACCATACTAGGAAGGTTAATTATGTGAGAACTCCAAGAATCTCAGAAGCGTCTTGCTCAACTTTACCTTTGCTTTAACATTGTAAAACAAATTGCTGATATTTTGCTGCCCCTTAATTTTTCTACAGTCAATTTTTTTACAGTTCCTTGTCAAAAAGAAACGTTCGATTGTTAACAAACAACAATGCAAAACTCGCAACCCGCAAATGTTTATACGATTTTCCGCGCTACGCGTCTCCTGAAAAATTGGCGAATAAAATAATGACGCGAGTTTTATTGTTCAGCGATTGTTGTTATAGGTTTTCGCCGACGTGATTGTGATGCACACCTTCATTCTATCTTCCTGCGCCTTCTTTTCAACAAACCCCCTCGTGTTGACCAACATTTTTCAACAAAATGAGTGAAACATAATTTCTGTATTTTCGACTCGTTTCACTAGTGCTATGCACTTATTAATGTTTAATTTATATTCACGCCGTTTCCGCAAATTAGTCACACTCATTTGTCTCGAATATGTTTCATCGAGTCATAAGAGTATCTATGATAATATCGAAGCCCATTTTTCATTCATTTCTCTAATTCAACACGCATTTCAATATATTTTTCACAAGCTTAAAATCAGAAATGACTTTTAAAAACCTTAGAATATCTCATATCGTTATAATCAAACGTGAAATTCCTGCGAACAGAATGGATAATGATTAGAATAAATCTTGAGCTTTTCGATATTTTATTGCGTTGTTGCACTATATAATTTCAAATATTGAACAAAAATAAAAATTTTTCTGAAAAATGTTAAAGGAGTCCAGAATCGCAATGCGAACGTTGGCATGCATTTCGGATTGAAATCGATATTTTTTCACACTTAAATCTTTTGATTTCTCAAATGACGTGTATTTCTTTTGTTATCGGTTGATATTTTAATCAAAAATAAAATAAAATGAATTGATTACTTCCAATTTAAAAAAAAAATAATTTACTTACGTGAACTTCAAGAATTTTTTGTTTCCATAATTGAGGTGGAATCAAATTTCAATTACAAAATACTTCGTTATAATTTCGAATTAAAATTCTCACTTTGCTCTGATTTCTTGCACATCGGTGCCATATAATTTTCATATCAGAGAATATTTAAATTCGATGAGCAAGTGCAAAAAAAAGAATGAAATTTTAAAATATTTGGCTGGACGTCTTTACCTCGTCGAATTATTCTATTGTTTTGGACGCGGTTAATTAGTACGCGGCCATGTCGTGAAGAAGAAGCCCAAATTCTCCCGAGGGACTCTGAATCCGCGTGAGACAACGCTTCCTTCGAGATCCATTTCTTCGTGGAAGATGAGCGCCCACCTAATAATTCCTGTCGGTGTTTCCCAACCGCCAAATGATGCGGAAGCACATTTTCGCTCTTCCAAACATAGACTGTCTTGTTTTGCTCACAGATGAAGCTCATTATTCGTACCTGATGTTCTTTTTCGAGTTCACTCTACTTTGGCTAACATCGTGTTTATTAAAATTCAGTGTCTGGACACTAGCCTAGCACGATATTTAATGAAGCTTATTTTTGTTGTCTCGCCGTCCTTAATCTTTCAAAAAATTTGTTCCCCTTTAAACCTGGAAAATTATGATTTGCTGAATATTTTTGTGCAATTTTATTAATTGTTTATTCATCTCTTTTTTTTCTAGCTCTGTATAATCCCAAGAGCCGTTGGCGATGGTATTAATCAACTATAATTTCTAATGTGCCCACGAAAATTTGTTTCCTTTGTGCCTACGAAACAACAGAACATGTAGCCCTCTGAAAATGACGAGGAATTAAAATTAGCGGAGAAGATGCGTAAATCCCGCCCGATGCCATAAAATGTCGGATGCCAATTACTGGCGTTGCCGTTTTCTGCGTGACCTAAGCAGGCAAGCAATGAAAATGGATATATAAACACATTTCTTCAAACGTAAATGAATTTCGGCTGGGCGAAAAAGTCGAGACGGTGGTTCTTAAATTAAATTCATTTTTTCTGATTGAATATTCAAAAATGCGAAAGAAATTTTAAGAAACAAAATTTTTAGAATGAATTGTTCATTTTTTCATTAAGCTCCTCTTTAAGAATTCGTATTATTTCATTTCCCTCTATATATATATTCTGAACAGAATACTATGAAATTTTGAAAAGAAATTCAAACATCTTATTTTTCCTGTCAACCTTATAAATTCCATACTCAAATATCGCATTTTCATTTCTTTTAAATTTCCACGTTTTTTTTACCTCCATGTCGTTTTCTTTTTATAGTTTCTTTTGAACAATTTTTGGACATTATTGGCTACAACTTTTTAGGAGTATCAACGAGCACCAATTGGGTGTAAAAGCAGTCAAGCTGAAGCGCTCTCAAGATTTCATTTCGATGTCTGATGATGATTACGAATCATCAAAGAAGTCCAAGGTAATGCGAGCGTGAAACACCGCATCAACTAGCAAATCTCTTAATCCCGCTGTACACTCTTCCCAATAAGTGTTCAATATTAGAGTGCGATAAAACTCGCTCTATAGTACAAAGGACAAATGATATTTGGCGAGTTAGCGAGATTCACCACATTACACGTTATGGGGGCAAATTTTTTTTCTCCTTTTTCTCTTCGCGCACACTCACAGCTAATGCGAGAGTTTGTTGTTCATTAATATACTAGTCATTTGTTTCTGATTACGAAGGCATGTCACAGTTGCAGAAGGCAATACTAAAGATGAACGGTTCTGGGCTTCCATTGGCACCTTCCAGCCCAATTCCCTACTATGCAGCCGCTGCTGTACAACAACAACAGCTTCAACATCAGCTTCAACAACAGCAGCAAGCTGCAAACCAGCTGAAAATGCTGTATCCTCAAGTTCCTTGCTTTGATGTGAGTTTTTCAGCGCCTAATTTGACTAAAAATGAAATGTTCAAAAGCTGCTTCAATGATGTGTTCATGTTGTGTAATAATTTTATGAATGTTCATGACCATCAAAAGTTAATTAAGAAGTATTTCTTATTGTTAATTAAAAACTTGCTGATAAGCTATAAAACCACATTTATCCAGTCTTGAAGTTAGAAATCGACTATTCATATGCGTATAGTTTTTATCATAAATTATGGCCTATTAGCTAGCCAAAAAATCCAATTCTTACAAAATATGATTAATAGAAATGAAATTAGAATTCTCATATATCCATTCCTATATCCAATAAAAATCAGCTTAACCGTAAAGTCGATTAGCTAATATGATTTTTCGTTAAAGCTTCACAAAATCGGCTTATTGTATGACATTCCATTTAATTATTTTACACTTTATCAATGAAATCTATTTTTTGTAATCCGATTCTTGAAAGAAAAACATTTAATTTCCAAATTAAATTGTCGTTCTTGCTTTAAAGGAAATGATCACTTTTGAATGATATCAATCACACCGATCGATAAATTCTCTAAATTGGTGTTCGCAAAAAGTTTTGCCATGAATCATTATGATTATTTTGAAAGACGCTCATCATAAAAAGTAAGCTTCTCGTTTTTATGGGTAAATGGATTACTGTAGAATTTTCGAACGAGGCAAAACCCATTTTAAAAACTCATAATCAATTTTCGTTGGTGAACCCTTTTAAAGAAATTGTGAAATGAAAAGTGCTCGTTAGTCAGTGAAAGCCGTACGCCAAGATTATTGGGTTATGTATTTATTCAGTTGTGCCGGATGTTAGGAAAGTTTTCTCGTGTTTTAGTATTTGAGGAATGTCAAACCTCGTTTCTTTTGATGAATTTCTTAATTTTCATTGCACATGCTTTTACTAACGTTTTTCGATTAAATTCCACGTGGTTTGCTTTACATTCTTTATTTCTTCGAGTTCGTTTGCCTTTCCACATTTGCACCATACAAAGACACTCGAATCTCATTTTTACGTTGTTTGTATTTTTCAAAACTTCGATTTCGATTCAAATAATATTAGGAAATGAAGTGGGATGCAAACTGGATAGCAGTGTATGTATGAATTTCTAGCAATCGTTGTACGCCGCTTCCGGAATGATGCCGACTGTTGATGCCACGTGTCCGCTGTACCTACAAACAGCCGCCGTTCCGACGTACCCATACTATGCGGTGCAAACGCTTCCGGTTTGACATTCCGTTTTTATGCATTTTCGTTTTTTTTTTCTTGTAGGAGCCTGCACCCGTGCTCCGCACATTTTCTGAGCCCCTAACCGAAATTCGCGTCGACACCAGTAGTGAGTTCGATTTATTTTTAAATTTTTTCTTCTACTTCACTGTCTTCGAATTTAAAAGTATGCGAATTTCATGTAATTATTTTGTTTTTTTTTCAACTTTTCGTCGTTACTTCTTTTTCAATCGCTTTGCATGAAATCTATAAAACTCAGGGTAAATTCAAAATTGAGATAAAGTCCCAAATATCAGTAATTGTCTTGCGATATAAACTTTCTTTAATTATTTAAATATCTGAAAACGGTACTAGTTCGTTATTTCAGAACATTTTCACGTGTTCGTTGGCGATCTAAGCAATGACGTTGACAACACGATTCTCAAAAACGCGTTTCTGAAGTTTGGAGAAGTGAGGTCCGTTGCAAAACATTAAAAGCTCTTTGATATTCGGTATTAATATTTCAGTGAAGCAAAGGTGATTCGCGATACGCAAACGCTTAAATCAAAAGGCTACGGGTTCGTCTCGTTTCCGGTTAAGCACCATGCCGAAAAGGCCATTGCCGAAATGAATGGCCAATGGATCGGGAAACGAGCGGTTCGCACAAATTGGGCATCGCGCAAAAACAATGAGGAGAGCCGTGAGAAGCTCACGTTTGAACAGGTTTTAGTGTGAAATTTTGAAATTTTGAAATGATTATTTAAAATTAAGGTGTTCAATTCAACAAAGGCCGACAACACCTCGGTTTATGTTGGGAATGTCAATCCAAAAACCACGGGTAAATAAAAATAAAAACAAATTGTTTTAATCATTAATTTTGTCTATTGTTTTTAGAACTCGACTTGCGTAATGCATTCCACATTTTTGGTGAGATTTGCGAAATTCGCATCTTCAAAGCTCAGGGATACGCATTCATTCGCTTCGAGAAGAAGGAATGTGCTACCAAGGCTATTATGGATATGAATGGAAAGGATCTACTCGGCAATCCCATTCGGTGCTCTTGGGGCCGAACCCAAACTGGTGCTACTCAGCAACAGAACCTTTCAAATCTCCCATTTGATATTTCCAATTTGCTCGCTCCAAGTGTGCTCAATTCGTCAGTGTCCCTGCTGCGAAACCCATATTTGAGCTACAATCCAGCAGCGAATATGGTGTTCACTTCGGTAAATCAATGGTAGAGGGTCTCTTGCTTCGAATTGTCTCGAAATATTTATTCGCAAAATGTTGTCAATCCATAGCGTCTTCTCCCATTGAAAATTGTTGAAATGTGAAATTTTAAATTTTTCCCAACTTTTTTTCTCTAAAAACAATGTATTCTATAGAAATTATTACGCTTTTTTTTCATTTTATTTACTTCTTAACCTTATTCATCCTATTTTGTATTTATGATATTATAACATTTACTCATTTGGTATTTAAGTATTTTTTAATGAAAAATGCAAATGTCTTTTATGTTTGTGGGAACCAAATAAAACTTTGAAATGAAATAATAATGTGTTTTTTTTTAATGCAAAGCGCGACCAGCTTTTAATCGCATTGATAATTGCCCCCATTAATTCGAACGTGATAATAGGAATGTATTGCAAAAAAAAAGAAGCCACTGCCCTCGACGATTGTGATTCGATCCATCATATCCTCACCTGAAGTGCGAAAATGTCACCTTCAGTTTTTTAAACTGGGCGACACAGATGGCGTCGTCGCGGTTTTGTTCTAGTACGGTTATGATAACATTCCAACGCGTTCTGTTTCGCGATGATAGGCAATTTTAGAAAAAAAGAGAGATCTCCGAGAAACTTGCAAATCCGAGTCGTGGAGTCAAATAAACGAGAAACGTGAAAATTTTCAAAGGGATATTTCAACCTTAAACATGGATTTCTCCAAAATGTGAAAAAAAAAAGATTTGAGAACTTTGAAGGATAGGAACCTAGGGTACTCTGATTACTAAATATTAAAATATATTTCCTCGACTAATAAGAGGGAAATTTTAGGATTTTCGTTATTTTTTCATAAATTTTTGTAAATAAATAACAAAATCGACACGAAAATACAACAATTTGCGTGAGAAATCATGAGTAAATACGAATTCGTATAAATTGACCCTGTACATTGGTTGCAAAAGGATGGCTCTGTTAGATGTTGAAATTTTGTCTTGAAATCGGTATCAATATTTCTTAAAAGAAAAACATCTTTGAAAAAAAGACAATATTTATTGATTTATGTCATTTTTACCAAATAAATTCATGTAAAATGTTTCAAATTTGAAACTGAGAATTATTACTTTGACAACAATGGATTTATTACATTTTACGATAATTCGACAAACACTTTGATTGGAATAAATCGACACTGGTCTATATGATTTCGTTTCCTTCTCCGCTTCTAAAATTTTCGATTAAACGTTCTAGATGCAGTATTACTTTCTACTCAATGAATATTCATTATTTCGACATTGAAAAAAAAAACGAAATCCCATTTTTTTCAAACGCGGCTTTGGATTTAACGTGAAAAATAACTCCCCCCTGCGAATGTTCTGCCGATAACATCGAAAACCGTTTATGGGGGGCATATCTGGACAAAGATCTTTAAGGATGAACCCTTTTTGTTCCTGAATATTCGCTCAACAGTTGTCAACGTCACTAATACCAATTTGAATCGACTTGTTGGCATATTTTCTTAACTTAATTCAATCTAACGTTTTTTTTAAGGAAACTGTATCTCAATATGATCATCTTTCCAACCCCTTTAGTTCATTCATTTTAAGTACAACCAGATGAATCAGAAAACACAGTAAATAAAGAATGGAAAGAAATAGTGCACCTAAGTACCGCCCACCAATGTGGGAGGATGCGACTACTGTGGAAACACCTTGGAATGACTAGAGAAAACGAGTACATTGCACTATCATCCTATGTCTGGAGTCGCGATAACAATGTGTATGATGTTCTAAGAATTTAGACCCCACCTACGCGTTTAGTTATAAAAATGCAACCTGATAGCACAAAATTGCCTTTTCTCTATTATATTCACCAACACCTCGTGTTGTTTCTGACAAGGTCACTGATATCCCGCTTATTTTTCCAAATTCAGATTTCTCACTCACTTTGTCGTCGAAATGATGTACTGGTGGTCTCTGCTTGGAATTTCTGCATGTTACTCTATAGTACATGCGGCTAATGTAAGTAATATGGATTTAAACTTTTCAAAATATTCAAATTTCAGATAGACGTGAGCATCTCAAAATACACGGGTATGAAGAAAAGTGAAGTGAAAACCTATGGGTCCCAATATTTCGGATTTGAGTAAGTGTCACTCTTAGATTTGGAATAACTGTGGAACTTCTAGAATTTGCGCTTGTCCAAAATCTTTTACGGAAACTACAGTTGCGTCAAGAATCTCAGAATGCAGTTGCTCTGGAAACGTCAAGTATGACATTCCAAAAAATGAAATATTTCATTCAAAAGATTTAGAGCCAAGAAAATCATTTATTCAATCCCTTATGCCGTCTACCCTAGTACCTGCAAGTTTTCTCATTCGTCCTATTGCTTGACACCAAGAATTCAAAATTCGGTAAGACATTCGCAGCGTAATTGAAGATATTCAATGTTTCTTTTTTCAGACCTTTGATCATTCCACCAAAGTTTTCATCAAGTCCAGCCTTGGCCATAAGACCTTCACTCGACCAGAATGGCAAAATCTTCCATTGAGCTCATCTCAAAAAACAGTTCTTATTAGAACATTTAAGCCAGCAGGAATGAGAGTCACTTACACTACTAATGTGAACTTTGGAACAACATCATCGGAATCTAAAAGCACTGAAGACGGTCATCGTAGTGTCTTTAGAAGAGAGCCTAAAATTGACAGCATTGAAATTTCAAAAGAGAGCCAAGAACTCGAAACAGTTCCACTGGCAACTGGCGATATTTCAGATGTTTTCCCTTTGAAACATGTGGGTCAACAACATCAAGTTTTGTTACAAAAAAGGAAATAGTTTTCAGTTTAACGATATCAGGGACTATATATTCAATAAGGGACATATTGAGAAATTCGAGCCAATGAATTACGATATCGCGGCATTGAAAAAATACATCGTCAAATATCATAATATCTATCGTCAAAAGCACAATGCTCCGGCTTTAGTGCATGATGTCGATTTGGATTTATTTGGAAAACGATGGGCTGATGAATTGTCTCATCGTAAAGGGTGTCTTGTTCACGAGCAGCCAAGAAGGTTTTGAAACTAGAAATGTATGAATGTTATTTCAAATTTTAGATTCGGAGAGAATCTTTTCTATTTTGGTGCTCGTCACTTTCCAAACCCCGAAATAATGGCAAAGAGCATTGTACAAAGCTTCTACATTGAGGGCTTCAATTACAATTACAGAAGGTTTCATTGACTTTGCTTTTTTTTTCAATATTCGTGCTTTCAGCTGGCATCCATTGTCTTACTTTAAGACTGGCCACTTCACTCAACTTGTGTGGCAAAACTCGCGAAATGTCGGAATCGGAATTTCCATTGTGAAAGCCAGCTCAGTGAACCTTCCATGCGTCACCCATTCGCGCAACATGTACCTTATTTATGTTGTTGTTAAATATGACCCAGCGGGCAATTATGAGACATACGATGAATATATGAAGAATGTTCTACCACCAGTTCAGGGTTGATCAGCAGCATTTAGATGATTTTGTAAAAAAAAAATGAAACGATCTCCCTCGTGAAATAGTTATCTTGTCACATATGCATATATTTGTCATTCTGCCACTGCTGAATTGAGTTGTATTGGTTTTATGTAGTTATCCGACAATGAAGGTTTTTCAATTTGCATAGTTTGCAATGAAATGACTACCGTTTTACTTTTCATCTTCCGATTGCCATCGGATTACAAAGAAAGGATTCGGCCTTGGAGAAGCGACAAGATCGAATATCTAAAGATTTTGAGGTAGACATTTTGCGGAAGTGGTGTGAACGAGATGATGATACAATTGATCATCATGTATGTTAATTCATATGAAATTTGGGCAATGCGAATAATTTCCAGCAAAGCCGCAACTTAGCCTTTCATACTGTAAAATGAAACGATTGAGAATAAATATTTCAATGTTGATGATGCATTCTTTGGACGACCTTCAAAGTTTAGCCACACCAAGTTTCCGGTAGAAGGGAAAACTCGAAAACCGTTTGAATTGTGTAGTGGCAAAACAAAAAGAAGTGTTGTCAATTTTTCTGAATTTGGTGAGGGATTGGGACAATGAATGCGGACGAAAGATTACCACTACAAGGAAAACAATACATAACATTTTTTTTGTCTAACCATGAATAAAAATACAACATTGTGTAATTTTTTTCCTGCAGCCAGCTAACCATTTATTATATTCAAACGCTAAGTATTAACATTGATTTTATTCAATAATATCCGGTTCATTAGAAGTCTAACGGAAATTTGAATGATTTCATTGTAATCAATTAGGTTCGTAGACATTTCCGGCGAGTAATGTATCATGGAATATGAAAGTGCATATGTTCGCATCATAAGTGTCCAGGATTAAACAAATAGTTAAGTTTGTAAGTATTCATTGGTGGTAATATTTCTGAAGAATCATGTAGTAAAATACTACATTATCTTTAGCTTTAAAACTGTCTTACTTTGTTTACTTAATTATGTTTCATAAATTTCAAGAATCATGCGGAATGTCATGCTGAATGTTATTTTTCTGAGATAAAAGATTTTAACTATTGAGAGCATTGAGTCCCTCAGACAATGCTATGATGATTTGGAAGTAAAAAGAGCAACTTTGAATTGAGAGATACAACAAGGCCTCCGTCATGCAACGCGTGTGTCGTGCACTCGGATCATCCATTTCTCTAAGCTTTTCTGTCTTCAATTTACTCATTCTTTGCCATTCACCTTATTGTCTGCAATTAATTCACTTCAATTGTTTTAATGTCCTACCTGTATATTTGCATTAATCATTTGAAATTGGGACAGTTTTCTGCAAAATTTCTGCTAAAAACTAGGCAATTCTATACCTAAGATGACAATTGAGAAGAGGTTCTTTTCACATTCTGAAGTGAGGGGAGCTTGGCATACCTCACACTCATACCTCATATTTCTTTTGTGACGACTTGAATAAACAAATATTATTTTCTCATACCACCAAAAAACAATAATAACGTTACATTCCATCATTGTAATTAGTTTTTTCATGATCAAATCACTGCTTGAGAACGAGAAGTTCCGAAATAGAATCTTCCAGAACCTAGGCAAAATTTATTTTAGTCGTTTTCGTTCTTTTTCGTTTCCTTATCGAATTGGGCATACGTTTTTTTTTTCATTCCGATTATAATTCACAATGAAAACAAATCGAATTGTTGGTATTTTTCGTTGTCATTACTTTTTCGATTATTCACATTAAAACATATTTTCAGAGTCTTATGAGCAGTTGGAAGAGGCGAGCTGCAATATCATTTCCGACTCCAGATGAATTCGACCAACCAGTGATAGGTACGCGGTTTGCAAAATTTGATCGTTTTGAACATTCCGAAACGAATCGCCGCAAAAATAACTGCGGCGAATCATTGCTCAATGTGATAAAAATAAATGGCAGCTCTCTGTGGGTTCGACAAAAACAATTCTTTTGAGTGATACGAAGCTGAGCTGTCACAATTCATACTAGCCTTGTGATTTTTTTTTCCGAAATGAATCAGTCAAACAATGCTTCTGACGAGCATGGCGTTCGTGAAGATGTTCTTTGATGCCCGTGTTCCATATGTGGTGCAACATAAAATTGAAATTTTAACCATAAAAGTTATCCAATTTTATGACTCATAAAATTATTCGCCAGCTCAGAGATAATGTTTAGACATCATCCAAGAAACATCGCAAAAGTCTCTCTTTCCGATGTTTTATAGATATTTTAAATAGGAACAACTGTTATGCGATCAAAACTAAGAGGCTCACAATAAGAAAAATCTTGATTAATTATCGGAAAAAAGTGCGTTCACAAACCTATGGGAAACTTTAAAATTGATACGTTTTGTAAAGATTCACCGAAATTGCAATTTTGAACCCTCTAGAATGAGATGTTGAGTTTGCGGATGAGTTTGTTTGAGATGCAGAATCAAAAATCAGAAAGTATCTGTTCTTCAATCCTTCGTACAAAATTTTTCCACGTGATTCAGAAGGTATTTTTTAATAAATATACCTGGGATAATTTTATATTAGCTGCGTTATAGTTCATTCGATCTAAACATTTAGTACAAAAATGCGCAGATGTTTTGCAAACACGACAATTCACCAGACTGTAATGGTAATAAAAATTTCATTAGTGCAAAAAGAACACATTGGCAAGCAGATTTAGCAGACATAATAATTTATCTGTCTTTTTGCACTTTAGTTCAATTGCAACATTTCATCGAGAACTTCCGGGCATTTATTGGCTGAATTTTGATCAATAAAAAAACTTGAAATTAAATTCAGTTTGCAAATTTTTAGGATTCGACTATAAACTCGATGTGCCATTGCTATCACCTATTCATCAGACCACATTTCGGCCAACTAGTCTGCAACAGGTTGTGTGTTCATCTTTCTAAGCAAATATTGAAAAAAAATGCAATAAGTCGACCAATGTGAAGAATTGTCTGAAAACTGCGAACAAACGTCGTAAACAAAACCTGAAATCTCACAACTGAAGCAATACTGCTTATGTGAAGTTTTAAAAATTGAAAGCTAGAGGGATTGAATTTCACGGAAATATAAATGTAAAGTGAACATTCTCAAAAATTTTTTAAGAAAAGTTATTTTTACAAGTTATGTATACACATATATTGTCGACGTCGCACGACAGCGGAAAATTGGCGAAATGCCAGAAAATTTAAAAAGAGGTCTCGGTTGGTGACGTGCACTTTAATCTATCCTTATGCATAGCCTGTAAATCTACACTTCTTAGTTTTGCCCCAAGACGACTTTCATGGTTTTTTGTCTTTTTGCCAATTTTCCGCAGTCGCGCGACGTCGACAGTAAAAGATTTTTTCTGTAATCATTAATTAAGTAATTAGAAATATCAATAAAATTATGATATTTTATTGATGTACCTATTTTATGGCAAACTTTCCACATCCAATTTCTCATTTCTCAAAATCTTTCTTGTTATCCTGCATTATTTGCCACATCTAGTTATTTCAACATTTTAAGAAATAAGAAGTAACAATAAATAAGTTATAAATTTTGAGAATGAATCAAAATTTTGAAAATCCAGAAGAAATCACGTTCACCTCATTTAAAAAATTTTAGCTGCTCATGTTAACTATTGAACCACCGCTGTTGATTCAAAAAATCAAGAATGAAAAATATGTGTGGAAGAGGCATTCAATTAAGAGCCCCTCTCAAATCTTCTTCTCACTTAAATGTGAAAAAAATGGAGTCGAGATCCACGAGATGGGTTTTTTTTCGGAGTAAACAAGATTGAAATAGTCATTTGCAGTAGCTGCTATTAACGGAACGAATCAATTTTCAAAGCCAACCAAACCATATATTTTGGAATTGAATTCTATTTATCTTAGCAGGTGGCGTCTTGTAGAGCACATTAACACACTTGTGGTCATTATGTTTATTATATGTATGTGTTGAACTTGTGACCTCATATGTATAAAAGAAAGGCTTTCATTCATTATCCCCCTTGAATGGAAATGTGGAACATTATTTCTCAAAAGCTGAGCATCATGAAAAGAATGGTGCTCAACAAAATGCACAACGTGGTGCTTTCTTTTGTTTCTGAATAAAAATGGTCATTCTGTGCTCATCAATATTTTATTTTCCGTCATTCATCTCTCGCCGAGAAACGCCTTCGGATTTCAAAACTCGTATATTCGTTTGTGTTCTCCTTTCGAAATCATCAAAAAACATACCTTCTTAAATGAATTATTTATTTTGTGTATATGTGTGTCGAATGACATCAACGCAAAAGCTGAGATGGCCCCAAGGCGAAAATTGATGCACTCAACACATATCAATCACCAAGCTGAGAACAGAAACTACGAGATCCAGCGCCTTCTCTCGACGACACAAACAATTGTTTGTTAAAATACAGCTGCGAACTTCGTTTTTATTAATATCCTTTTGGTGATCTCCTGTTACTCGAACATTCGTTCTCACATGTTCAACACATTGCGACACAATTTTTTTGTTATTTGATTATTGATTGATCAGAACACACAATGTCGGAGCCATCGAATATTCATAGCAAGAAGATTTATCACCGGTTCCTGGTGAGAGGGTCCGTTGGTAATCTGCCTAACTTACATCCAAAGTTTGCGTTACAAAAGGTGAATCAACGTCACAGTTTAGAAAGATGGATTATTTAAAAAAAAAACTTAAATAATGTTTAATTTCAGTTTTTTTTTCTTCTAGGTTGTTGATGAAACTCATTTCTCAAAAAACGAGGTTCGAGCCATTTACCGAGCTTTCAAAGAAACTTCACCCAATGCTGTTATAAATAAAGGTACTAACGCAATCTTCAAAATGGATTTTATATATACATATTTATTTATTAGAAATTCTACGTGAAAAGTTCGCCGAACTTTTTCCTCATGGCGACATCGAACACTACGCCGACCTGTTGTTCGAAACATTTGATAATGATGGAAATGGCACAATTAACTTCCAGGTTTGAAGAGAATTCGACAACAACAACAATAGTAATCCTACATCATTTAAGGAATTTGTAAAAGCACTGTCCGTATTATGTCGTGGTACGATAGATGAGAAGCTTGAATGGCTTTACAAGCTCTATGATCCGAAAGGCAAGGGAGAAATTAGTTGGGATCGGCTGTTTTATGTGATTACTTCAATGGACGACTTGATGGGTTCGTGCAATTTGCGAAAAGAAATCCAATAAATGTTTAGGAAGAAAAGCGAGGCCTCACTACTCCAGAGAGCACAAAAAAGAACGAGCCAACTACGTTTTTGCGGTAGAACACTATTTAAGGGATTTACATGAAGGGATTTTATCATTTTTAGAAATTCGATGTCGGCAAGAAAGGAAAAATCACAAAAGAAGACTTCTTTCGAGTCTGTAAAACTGACAAAACAATTATGAACTCAATATCTGCATTATACACCTTACTACCCGGATAATAAGTATCTCGTTGTGTTAGCTTTCTTTTGTCTCATCGTCAAATTTCATATGGGTATTTTTGATATAGAACGTCGCTTGAATATAAAACTTTCCAACAATATAAGCTTTATTTATTTTACAGTTTAATCAAATCGACATATATTGATTAGCGTAGATGTAATATAAGTGTTGTCGTAAGAAAAAAATGATGGTGATTTGAGATACAAAAAAACGGAATCGCTCTAGGTGCTACTTCTGGAAATTGGAATTCAAACGAGAGGGTATTGTTGTGAGAACAGTAGGTTGAAACTCGTGGCTTAAAAATAAATCATTTACATATTGATTACAAAATGAACATTTTGCTGATTAGCAAACCGGGCCTAAATTGAAACGCTGGGATCTATTAGCGAATGGGTTCATCTCTATTTTTCAATTCGTGTTTTGTTTTAGTCAACAAGAAGTGGATAGTTTGAGAGAATGGAAAGCTTATTATACGGAAGGTGATATCTTAGGACAGTGGTATTAATGGCAAATAATTGATGCGCATTTCAAAATAGATCATTTGTTTTTATTTTCCATCAGTCATGCTCCTGGCACAAGTTCGATAGAATATCAAATTGTATTCCTCATACGTTCCAGGATAATCATCAAAGTCACACAGCGATGTTGAAGGTCCAACACGGTAGCGATAAGCAACCTGTTGGAATCCGCCGGCATTGACTTGATAGGTGATGGGAGATAACTGTAGATTCAATTTTATTTTCGGACACTTGTTTTAATCTGATTTACCATGTTTGAATACAGCTGTTGCTCTGATGGATATGCGTTCGTGCATACTCGATGATAGAAGTACGGAACTGGTCCACAATCGTTTACTGTCTTGTCAACTGGGACTCTGAAACAAAAATATTTGTCACAATCACTGGAATAATGCAAAGATTTACTCAATATCAATCTCAAGTTCGTCATACGGAAAGTAGTGAGTGATAGGAATGTATAGGTTGTAGACTCCACGGTGTCGATCACAGCTATTATCATAGCAATTCTTTGGTCCAATAGTCATCAGATGTTCAGGGATCCTTATTCTAACACCAGTACCAAGGTCGTCACCAGGAAAATCGGAGTGGACAGCATATCTCGATTCATCAAACGTCTGCAAAAATTATTGATTAGTTTCGGATAGGTTTGTTGTGCGGAATACCAAGTTATCATTTCGGCGGCACACATCGAATGGTTTTCCTCCATTACTCGGCTCGGCGAGACACGGGTATTTATTGCAATTCGGTGTTACGCAGTTCGGCATTAACGGAGGAGCATCTATTTGATAATACGGCATATTGGGTCCAGATACTAGATTAAAATCATTATTGTTGTTAGTTGCTTTATAAATCTTACGTGGCAAATCTACAAGATTGGCGGGTCCTTCATGATCACTAGAGATTCCCGCTGAAATTTCAGGTTCCGAGGCAGATCCTTTGTCCGATCCATAGTTGCGGTTGTGCCAGTCAAGAACATATAAGGTGCACATGGCGATCAAACAAATTGCCATGATTCCGACAAGGGTCACAATAGTCGATTGAGTCATTGAGCTTCCCCATGATTTTCTTTCAGTAGTAATTCCTTGCGGAGTGCATTTCTTCTTCACGCGACGAAAGCGTCGTTTATTTTCAACTGGCGTTTCGGTGTTGAGAGTGTTTCTCGAAAGCGTCATCAACGAGCGCGAATCCTCCGTCCAATCATCAGAAGTTACCGTGTACAAGTCGGAGCTTATTGACGAGCCAATCTTTTTTTGGCGAGCATATCGTGTAAGACGGCGGCCAATTTCAGCGACTTTCTCATTAATTTTTTGATCAAGATCTCCAGTGAGACGACAGAGCTCTTGAGTTGCAAGAACGGTTTCATAAAACACACGCGATTCGTTGACTGTCAAATAATCTCCAAGATCGCGAACTGCGTCTGGAATCACGGTCGCGAGTTCCTGCGCAATAACACCAGTTCTCTTGCGTTGCTCCTCGGTGAGACCCCATTTCGCCGCAACTTCTGGCTTATAGAGATAGTCAACGACTCTCAACTTGCACAAGTTGGCCAACGCCACACACGTTTCTTTATCGGTGATATCTTCCTTGAGACGAATATCCGATGGGCAGACAACTCGTCCGCTGGTGTAAATATCCCCATCAACCGTCAATTTTGCCGCTGGTCTATCGGCGCCAATAACGACATCGTCCGTGGCGAACACTCCGTTTGGTGTCCGTGTCCATCCAGAATCGTTTTCCGGTGGCTCAAATGATCCAGGGTTCGTTGCCTGAAACAATTAGAATTATTCATCAGTTTGCTTGGCAACGGCAATAAGAAAAAAAAACAGACAGGTCTCATTTTGTTATTTTTGCTATGGCTCTGGCAACAATTACTTCTATTACATGCCCTTCAATTTACGAAAGCTCAAGAGATGATGAGTTTGTGGCTGATGTCACTATATCGAATCCCAGCGATATCAGTCATTCAGCGCAAATTGTGTTTCGTGGATACGTTAAAAAGAAAGATGTTTTAATTTATGAGTTTTTTCACGAGCAGATCTGGGTTCTCGTTGAACCATCAGGTGAGATATTCAAACTTTTCATGTTTCAAAAAAGTTTCCAGTTAATAAAACTCATCACGTCAGTGTTGATGTCTGGCTTCCACGATTCCCACCTTCAATTACATTAGCGGATGGGAGCGAAATTGAGTACGCAGTGCGTGCAACAATAAAACCATGGCATGCAAATGAGTACCAAGAAACGATATTTCAAGTGAAACGAAGTTTGATACTCAAAATGCCACATCGAGCATGTTGTCCTCTCACCCATAAAGTCGATAAATGTGTTGGCCACAACTCATGGATCCACAAGTATTTTCGATAAAAAAATTCTCGACTTTTCTTACTTTTTTATAGGACGTGTAACCCAATCAATGGAAAAGTCAATCTCGAGAAGCAAGCTTTTTCTCCAAATGAAGACATCAATATCTCATGGGAATTGCAAAATGACTTAGCTCAGATTGAACATGTTCACTGCAAACTACATCAAGTCATTCAGCTTAGGTACACACTTTCACATATAATTGAAGTGCTTGCAAAATTTTAGAAGAAGTGACCCTGGACATTTCATGTATATGAAATCATTTCGAAAACAATTGTCTGATCACAAATCGACTAGCAGTAATGCGACGATAACCGTTCCTTCCGATTGCCTTGTGTCTATGCCAATGACATTGTGGAACGTGCTTATCGTGAAGTATGAAGTCGTCCTTGAAGTCAAGATACAAAAAACCAAGGCCCCACTCGCTTTGAAATATCCCGTTATTATTTCGAGTGAAGTGGTTCAGGTGATATATTTTAACGCTCACGGCGGCCAATCAGAAACTAGTTCTAGGTGAGACGCGGCAGCGTTCAAATCAACAATTTGTTTCAAAGAGTGCAAGACATTGACGACGATACCGATGATGATGATGATTACGATTCGGAAAGCGATGATGATGATGAAGAAGACGCGATTCGTAGAGAACAAAAAGATTTTTCGATCGATCTCGAAAAAATTGAGATAAAAAGTGAGATGATTTTGTTGAACTTTTCAAATGTCAATGCTTGTAGCGCAAGAAAGCAAAACGCGAACTCTTGAAAATTCTTGCGCCGACGTCAAATTCACTGTGAATAGTCAAAAACCCGAAGTTCTTCATTCGCTTCGATTGCTTTTGATGGGTGAAGCTCGGGTTGGCGCAATTTGGTACGAATTCCTTCGTTTCAAGGCAATCGCAAAATCGGACACCACATCAAAATTGTCACCTGGTATTCATACGTTACGCTTCAATTTGCCGTTCGGTGAATCCCAGTATGATGTGAACATTCTACCACCTTCAATGGCTGAGGATATCCGATATATCGTGCGAGGTACATCAGAAACCCTTCGGAAGAACGTATTTCCCGTGGAGTGCGATGTTTTCGTTGACCGATTTGTGGACACCTGGGCCAAGGAGTCGTACAAGGCGGAACACGTCGAGGAATATGGCGCAACTAAGCTATATATGTCTCAGCGATGCTTTCAACGCGGAAAAGTGATTGTTGTTAGAATCACTGGAAACGGTGTTCAGAAAGTGAACGGAAAACTAATCCAACAGCAGAGGATGCGAATTCCTGGTCTTAAAGAAGACGACAGTTACATTAGCGAGAGATGTGTTTCATCGCGAACCGATAGAAATACTCAACATCGTCAAATTCACATACTTGAAATTCCGGAAGAAATTCCGCCGAGTATCGAGATATCCTATTGGAATGTGGTCCAGATCGCGTATCACTATGAAACGAACATAACCTTAGAAGATGGACACACGCATTCACACCGAATTCCGGTTTGGATTGGATGTACGGAGGACAACGTCGTCATCCCTGATGAGCCATTGTTGCCGCCAAAAGACGAAACAGTCACTGTGGAGCCAAAAGAGGAAGAATTGCCCGAATTCGAAGTGGTTTTAGAAGGAGACACCCATTACCACCCGTATTGGGTTGAACGATTCAATGGCGACGCCTATCAAATCCCGTATAATGAACAATGAATTGTGTCTGCCGTCCAATTTTAATAAATGTCTTACCCTAACGATGACACGCTCCGAAGCGTATGATTGAACTAGAACGCAGTTTTCTTCGGTCACGCACGCAAAGAGGCGAACAACCAAATAGAAATATTTTTGCTCCGGATTTGGCCGGAAATTCTTGCGCTGATTGTTCTGGGTGGTTTCCGAGAAATGGAGTCTTGGCACGGTGACTTTTGTGACACGGCGCTCTTGAATATCGAACAGCACTGGGTTGTGTGGGTGCGGTTTGCGATCAGCGCGCGACTGGCGAACGGTAATTTCGGTGGTGGGCATCTGAAATATATTGGCTCAAAATTTCTAGTTTCTTTTAATGCTTTTGATGAACCTCTGTTTTTACACCGACAAAGGCCAATTTGAATTCCTGAATCGGGTAGAGCGCTCCGTTGAAAATCACTTTTTTCGGTGGATTGGCATCCAAAGCTTCGAGATGAACAGAAATCTAAAATAATTAAAACTTTAGATCCATCGTAAGATGTTGAATATTTACCTGGAAGTGGTTTTTCTTTTGGTTCACGAAACATCCATCATTTTGCGAATAATTGAATCCTTTGTCAGCGACCACATGAATTTGAAGACGACTCAATTGGCGGCCATGTTCATCAAACAAAAGATTCCAACATTCCTCTTGATATTTTGAGAAACGTATTGCCTGTTGAGTTACGGCTTCACCATTATCACCGTTTCCATTTCCTTGAAGGGCAGCGTAAAGTTTTGCTGACTCTTCGAATCGCGCTCTCTTACGATTTGGATGGTCAATGGCGTTTGGATCCGTTTCGACGCCAGTATAGAGACTGCTAATATGACTATTCGGATATTGAGAAATGGTGAAGTTTTCATTTCGACTGGTATATTCCGGTGATGGAGTCATATTCGGCATCGGAGTCATTTGCGGTGGTGGTGGCGGATATGGCGACATGAAACCAGCGTCACTAGTAGAAGGTTCTTGTTTGTTCACACCAAAGTTCTCATTTTGATAATCTTGTCGAAGAATGCCTTGAAGGTCATTGACGCTGAGGCCGAGATTATGGTGGTTTATCGGCTGGCCTCCCTTGATATCTGAACATTCGACGACAAAAATTCGAATAATTTTCTATCAAAAAAAAAAAAAAACTTGCCATAGCCATCGGGAGACATCGAATGCGAATGTGAATGCGAATGCACTGATGGCGATACCGATGAGACATTTCCCGAATGATCAGTTATCGGCGGCGATTCAGGAATTCCGCTTGCAGCAATTTGCTGTAAATATTCGAATATTTTTAATAATTTCGACTGGTTAAAACCTGGAATAGAGCGTGGTTTTGCGGTGAATCAATCATCTCATTCAATGGATGGCCCATATCGTCAACATTTAGCAATGGATCTTCCAAAGGAGCGTACCGATTGTTGTCATTTTCCGGTTGAAGGAATTGCAAGATGTTGAATTGCTCAACGTTTGCCAGAGGATCGTTTATAGGCTCCTCTGCAAGAATATTACGTTATTCAGAGTCTAGTTGTTAAGATATTAATGTTAGTAAGATATTAATGTTTAGTGAAATTTTCGATTAGTGGAATTTCCGAACCTTTGGGTACATGGGGCAGCTCCATTTTGATAATTGTCTTTTATGTATTAGTTGACTTGGCGCAAAATATCAAATATTGAGCTACCAAATATGTATGGCTAATGATGAACACCAACAACAAGACGGCCTGTGGGGGGAAACTCTTTGGTCGGTACCACTCTCCGTGCGCCTGCCGTTGTGTATGACTGCCGAGGGTTTTTTAGCTGTCTTTTTTTGTCAACGCCTCACTGGCGTGTCTCACGCAACGCCTCCGCGCGTCACGTGCTATATCGTCAAGGTTGCCCCTGCCCTCTCTGCGCGTTTTTTTCGGCAGAATGACTGCCCACTATTATCTTGGCGAATGTTCATCGAAAAAAAAAGAATTTCTGCTCTGCGATCTTCCATCGCCGAAAATTGTCTCTCGCCATTGCACGCATGTCTAGCGTGTTCGGACAATGGGTTGCGTTCAACATGTACAAATTGATGAGGAGCATGCATGGAGTATTCATGGTTTAGCAATATTATGCCAAAGGAAATTCGATTTTTTTTCAAACATTGAGGGACCACTACATTTACCAGTTAGAAATCGCCAAATCTGTCGTTATTTGAATTTAAGTTATCCCATAACAATAATTGAAGTATTTGGCATTGACCTCTTCATTGTCTTATCAAAATTGGTATCAAAGAGAGTGTAGCAAACTGTTTTTTTTTGAGAGAGAACTTTATCGGCCACCCAATGAACATTGTTTGTGTCGAAGAAAGAGATCAAAAATGAGATCGAAGCAAGGTGTGATAAATGATACGAGGAACCATTTTTAACCCTGAACTTTTAGTTGGAAGATATGTAGAATAATTGGTTGAACTGATTTTTATTGAGGAAGATAACAAGAAATAATCATTATCTATACCTCGAGATATGTATTATTTTAAATGCAAACGCAGAAGAAATTGCAATATTCTTAACCGTTTTAAGAAAATTCTCGATGAATATTAAAATCGAGCTTTTTTGTATAAACTTGCAATTGTAGTTTTGATATGGTGAGGATAAAAACGAAAAAACTCCTAAAACATTTCGCAAAGTTTTCTCTCCTTTAAATTGAAGACTCACATTTTCATTTAAATAGAATAGAGACATCATATTGATATTGTTCTCTTATTTTGTTATTTCTATAACATTTTGAGTTTGTGTCGATTGTCAATGCACAAAAGCATTCATCACTCATGTGACATTAAAAAGTTCGAACTGCCATTTTTGTAATGTATTAAATTTTGATAGCAATGTCCCTGAGAAATATCTCCCCCGAAAACGATCGCTACAGTAAAGGACATTACACACCATGAACGCCGGTTTGCAATTTCATTTTTCGGTGATGCGGGTGGTGAAGAAATGTCTGCATTCAAGGCGATATGCACTATCTACGATATTCGAACAAAGGAACAAGAAATTTGCAATGAGGTTGTAGCAAGTATTTCGAAAAAGGAATGCGATACGGAGATAATATTTGTTCAGATGCCGAACGTGGAAACTTTCGCATTTCTCAACAAGACGTGACAAAAAATAATTTCAACACAAATAGTTACGCTGACGCATAAACGGCTAGATATTCAATTTTGATAAAGAGATTTCATTATTTTACGCTGCACGAACACACTAGGCGCATTAATTTTAGAGAATAGAAAGCGTTGCGAATTGCCCTTTTCCTAATGAATAAGTTTTTCGAACACTTGAAAATGTGACGAAGAGCACTTTTCAGGAGAATGTGCCAAAAACATGAATGAGCGACGATGGCAAAAAAGTGAAAGAAAACTGAAGGCCGAAAAAGGGCACATGCACTATGCAACATTGAGTTTGCGCACAGCGCGCTCAGACCAGGCACGGGCTGGCATCCATCGGCTCAGGCGCGCAGATCAACTGGGCACGGCAGCATGATGGACAATTCGGTCAGTTATGAGCGTTTAGCCCGTAAATACCGGAATGATAGGAATAGAATAGAAATCTGGAGAGATATGTTGGGATTAGGGAAAAGCTTCGACCAAGCTACAAACGAGCAAAATTAAAGGATTGGGTATTTTTGCAGATGAATCTACCATATCCTAAACAGCGGTTGGAGAAAAAAAAAAACAAAAAAATTCTAGATTTTGATTGAAATCTACGCAAAACTTAAAAAACTCACTATTCATTTCCGTTTGACCAAAACACAGTATCACAATCATTTTATAGCGCCACAACGAAAATTCTAGGAAAGTTGATGAAGCAGCGGAATGCTTCAGAATGAGGAATGAAATATTACTCGATCCCACCGAATAAAAGTGCATTTTTCTCGCATGCTTAATTAAATTTAATTGTATTTAGTCAGAGCCATATAACGTGAGAAATGGAAAATCCGCAAACATTCGCGTTCACAGCGAGTAATCGATTTCAGTAAAGTGCAAATGTTGCGGAATGAAACTATGGAAACCTTGTGGAAAAAACAACTTGATAATATCCGGTTACAGCTGATATTACTCTCCCAAATTCTTCACTCTAATTCCATTTGTTATCCATTCAGAATGCAATTTCTTTGTTGGCGGCAATTTTGCATACAGTACGTCGAATGTTCAACGATACACTCGAATCTCTTGGCAGAATGAGGTTGGCCTTGAAAATCTATGCGGGTGGTGAAAATCTATTTCTTTTTTTTTCGAGAATCGCTTCGATACAACACACTTTCGTGTTTGTCGGCAAATTTGTTTATAGGCTAGTGTGAATGATGTTCGCCGAAAAAAAATTTACTTCTTGTGTGTTGGGGGAAAAAAATTTTGACGGTCATGTTGGTGCGATCATTTGCAAGAGATTCCAAAGATGTTACATTCAAGTTCCGTTATGCGAGAAAATTCCTTTTTTGTTGAAAATGATTCGATTTTTCCTTTTCTTCTGGCATTCTATGCGTCCCAATGTGACACTTTGTGCATTGGAACAGATAACATGAAACATGAATGCATTCTTTTTTTCGGGAAGCTTCAACAATGGAGTAACATTTTCCGGTGAGAAATTAGACGAGTGCGGATGTATTCCTAGGTTCGCACAGTTATGTAAATTACCATTTGCGGAGGCTTCGTCTAACATGTACGGAGGACTACGGTAGAAAAGATATAGCTAATTTCCGCAGCGGACATTTGGGATTAATCTTGAATGGCGTTTTCGTGTGAACAACAAACGTTTCACACAACCCTTACGTCACATTAAATGCATGACCAGAAAATGAAAATGATGTGGATATAAAAAAAATTAAAAAGCATAGAAATCCTATTCAGATTGCACAAAAGTTTCTTGAAAACACTTTTCCAGAATCTACCTATAATAATTATGAAATTTGAGGAAAAGTTAATTCTTCGGAGATAAAGTAGTTCGATAAGATAATTTAAAAGTACCCTTATAAAAAATTTACTTATTTTTATTTATAATTAATCAAATTACATTTTCAAAAGATTTTCGAAAACTCATGAATGCATAAATATTCTGTGTGCATATTCCCAAAAAAAAGAGGGTACCTCGCATCTCCAGATAATCATCATAAATCTAGAAATTCCCAAACCCCGTTTATAAGCGTTTTACATGAATCATGTTCTTATAGTGTGCTTAAACAGCTTTTAAATATACATTTGCTTATACGGTGTATTTATGTTTGTATTTGACGTTTCATACTCGACACATGAGATATTTGGAAATTATTTGTCTTCTAAAAATAAATACACTATCTAACATTCCAGGAAACTATATATCTGATTTATGGCTTTTTCCTAATTTGCCTATCATTAAATCAATGAGGAATATTGTTCAGTGCCACCATTCTTTCGGAATTACGGAAAGTATAAGAAATACTCGAAGGGAAAAGTCTTTTTCTGCACTTTGAAAATGTTTGTTTGACAATTTTTCGACATATTTGGGGAATAATTTCGACCACCGGTCCAAATCGCTCTCCAGAGAACCATTAAAGTGAAGTTAATAGTTTTCTTTTGACTAAAATACCCTATCGTTCCGAAAATGGGTTTTTTTCTCGGGGGTTTTGTTTGCTAATCGTAAACTAAATGATATTGTGAGCACAAAATGTCGCGTTTTTGTTTTTTTTTTTAGAATCAAGATTCTCTGCAACTAATGGGAAGGACTATTTGGAAGATTTTCTAGTTTTCATTTTGTCAGATTTCATAATATTTTGTTTTTTCTTCGACTCGTCAATTTAATTGAATTAGTCGCGATGAAATCGCCCCCATCTGCTTCTGACTACATCGACAACACAAAAAAAAACAACTGACCTTGCTCATATTCCTCATAGCCGGGAGGATACGGATTCCGGGGTAACATTGTCCTCGATCAAATCATTCGTTGAAAGAAGCACAAGCACGTTTCTGGAAGAGAAAATAATAGCTATAAAAATAAATTATGGTTGGTAGCAAAAGGCAGAGAATTGTTATTGATATTTTTAATTATGAATAAAAACAAAAACATCTCCGATAGGGTCTAATAATGAGAAAGATTTGATCGATAGAGATTCCTATACAAGCTTCAGGGATTTTCATACTCATCAATTATAAAAAGAAATAATCTTTAATGCAAGAATGAAAACTAAGCAAGCAAACCTCCAAAAAATTGCATAAACAATTTCCATATCAAACATGTTGAAGCAAAAAACTAGCGATCGAAAGTCAAATCTTATTATCAGCAAAGCTATTTTGCAAGATAACAGTGTTCCAAATGCTTCCTCTAGCTGCAGTTTTAATCTAAATTGCTGATAACTAGAAAAATATGAATTGAACAATTAAAATGTGTTGTCAAATTTTGATTTCAAATCAGCTTGGCGCAGTGTCAAAAATGAGAAGCAGGGACTGAACAGTGCAGTCAGTCAGATTTAGAGCAACTCATTGTAATAAACAAAATGTAATTTGCTAATAGCGAATTTGTGCAAAGACAATCTCACATCTCAATTAATTTTATGAATTTTATTAAAACCGGATTAATATGTTGATGTCAAAGGACTATTATAATTCTGCACTCTTTAAAAGCAGTACATAATTTGTTGATTATTGACTGAAATTTTTTTTTAAACTTGCAACGAATTACATTAGATGGGCATTTTTTATATGATTGAATTGGAAAAATATGTTACTTTTTGTACATTATTTATTGCAAGAATAAGTCAACTAGAAAAAATGAAACAATTTACAAAACTGTAGAAATCATTGAGATCTATAAAGACCATTCGAATCAAATTCTGAAGTGTAAATTTACTCATAAAACATTTCTTGGTTACTGTAGAGTTTTTTTCTAGGCTACGAAAATGTTTTGAAATATGCCGTCAGATGGACAGTCGGGCGTCGTAAAAACACACAACTAAAGCGAATGTTCGAACAAAAAACATATGGTTGCGCAACATATGGCATTGATGATTAACGATCGAAATTGCGCGCAGTATCCAATTTGATGCTCATCATGACGGCAAGAAAATATTAGCACAAAGAAACGATGACATGAGGATGATGGTGAAAAATGCGACCAAGAAGAAGCAGTGAGAGTAACATTGCGCGAATATACAGTAAAAGCGAGGCACGAGGACAGTTTTTTTAGCGCATTTTTTGTTCACAGGTGGCAAGGACAGTGCGTGCGCAATCGAACGTACGGCCTTCTCTGTTGGCTCCGGAGGTCGCGCACTATTTAGATGGCAGGAACCACGAGTTGCGTGAACCGGTCTCGGCGTCTTCACCGCACACGTCGGACAATCGGGCCAGGAGATTGAATAGAAAGCGTTGGCAGGCCAGCTGATATTCAGTATAGGGTCCTTGTCGAAATTAACAAGATGTGTGATGATCGGGAAGCGGAAAGATGCCGATAAGAGGATATTAGCCATCACATTTTTAATTAATTAAAGAATTCTAATTTTTGGCTGCAATAGCGTCATGGCCGCACGTCACAAAATGTTTATGTATACACATCGCGCATGAACTTTCACGCCGAATGCGGGTACATCAAAGAGTTTCGAACCTTTGGAAGGAAAAACATGAACACTCTAGGCAGCTTAGTTTAAAAAATTGAAGGATGAAGCGGAGAAGGAACTAGAAGTGTCATTGGAAATGGTTGGAGCGCTCGCCAGTGGCGATGTTTTCTCTCCTCATCATCCAAAAAGTTTTAATATCAGCTGACACTTGGATAATAAAACATTAAAACCAAAAATCAAGCTGATACTTTAGCGAAGCATGTTTATCTTTTCTATCGGAACTGGTGCGAACTCCTTGCAAATAAAACTCAAAGAAATACAAAGAAATGAGCATTGAAAAACTGCTGAACACAATGTGTAAGAGTGATTTGCTGGTTCGTGGTCAGAGGAAAATATCGGCATGTCTTCCTTGTGTTGATCTCTTAAAAAAAAACGAGGTCCCGAAATTTTTTAAGAAAAGAGGGATTGTTTTAAGTGTATTCGGTGGCAAGATCTAATAGCCATACCTATGATATCAAATAGTGCTATTTGATGAATAATTTTTACAGTGTTCAGAGTAATCGCGATTAGCATCTTCCTGATCGATTTGCGATTGATTGATGATGAGGAAAAAGGTCGTTGGTGTTGTTAATTCTTTTCAAAAACATCCTTTTAACTCTCAATTCTAAATTTGGATAATTGGTGACCTCGAGAATAAGAATTATGTAAGAAACTTGTGGGATCATGAGATTTCAACAACTATCGAAACTTGGCGAGCGGCTAAAAATCATGTGAAACGGAAGAGAAAATGTTTCACGAATGTGAACATAAGAATGTTCTATTTTGGTTTTGTGCATTCAAATAAGACTAAACATTACAAGGGAAATGTGTTTTTCTAATACAAAACCAGGTATATAAATACTCAAATTTCTACTATATTTACGCATAAAGAAAGAGACAAAATGCTAAGTTAAGAATGAAAGTCAGACAATATAAGTCGAAATGTTCTTAATATCATTTTACATATGTTTTATATAAAAATAATACAAAACAACCTTATATATTATGCTTTTCTTCAACTAATATTAGTGATGAGATGGCCAGATTAATACATCATAATCTTGAAAAGGAAAAGGAAAGTTTCTTTCACATGCAGCCCATCTATCATGTACATAAAACTAGCATAAAAATAAGACATCGAGATTAGAAGCTTCAAAGATTGTTGCAGTTGGTTGAACAGTTTTATCTAAAGCCTCATTGCAAATATTTTCAACTCAAAAACTTCGGCAATGAAAGGTTTTGATCAGGCAAATAAAAAAAACTTAGTTAGTAAACAGATACAATTGTAACAGAAATATGGAGTTTGGTCAATCATTGTTTTTAATTAAAAGAATGCTTTTAACTTGAATATCCAAGACATCAAAATTCAAATCAATGTTTATTGCACTTTATGAGTTTTGTTTGTTTATTAAACAAACAAAAAATTTTGGATCAATGATATTTTTAGATTTCGATCCTTGTGAAGTGTTTCGATTATTTGTTTTTACAAGTTTCGCTTTATTTATAATCCGACATTGGTCTAAAACTTTAAATAACAATCGTCATTCTTCTTTCTGATGTAAACACATATTTTCCGTCTTAAATTCAATGAAATATCTCCAAATTATTCGAAATTCAATCGTTTGCCTCCTTTTTAGTGTTTGCATATTATGTTACGACGTTCCGAATGGACAACACGCTAAACGGCGGGCGAACGGGTCTTGACGCGACACGATGCCATTTATTTAGTTCAACGTGTACCATCTTTATAGATTCTTGCAATTGTTTGATATTTTATATGAATTGTTCAGCAAAAATGTTCAAATTGGGAATATTGCTTGCCTGCTTGGTATCGTCGGCTGTATGCCCGCCGCCAATGAGGCAACAAGCCGAAGCAGCACAAGCTCAAGATTCAAACAGCATTCAAGACACTCAGGTTTACCCCATTTTTATTGCAAACATTGACCAACATTTATTTTAGACATCAACTCCTGGCAATGATAATTCCCAACAAGCGCCACCGCAAACAGATGAAGACAGAAAACCTGTAAGTTTTATTGTTATACAACAAATGCGATATATGTAGATATATTTTTTTTATAGATTTACGAGTTTACGTACTCAAAATACTTGGAGGAGGTCGTTCAAATTTTGGAAAGCGATCCCAAATTCTATGAACGATTGCGCGGAATGAATGAAACCGACATCAAGAAAGGAAATATTGCCGACCATATTGATGATCTTGATTCAGCCGTGTTCGATAAGCTTCATAAAGCAAAATTTGCGGAAATTGAGAGGCTCCGGGAGCAAATTGCAAAACAAATTGAGGTTTTTTGGAATACCTTTTTGACTGTTTTTTGAAATTACTTTTTTAAGGCTGACGGCGGAGCTCACAACGTAAAAATGCCAGAGCATTTAGATGTGCAAAACTTCGAAAAATTCCACAAAGAGGATCTTAGAAAGCTTATCCAGAAAACTGTTGCTGACATGGAGGCTATTGATCAAGAAAGAAAGGAAAAATTCAAACAATATAAGTTGCAAAAGAAGGCTGAAGAAGACCACAGATTGGCTCAAATGACACCGGAAGAGCGTGAGAAGGTTCGAAGAAAAGCCGAAGAAGCCATGAAAAGGCATAACCAACATGAGAATCTGAAGCACCCAGGAAGTCGCGATCAGTTGGAGGAAGTTTGGGAAGAAAGTGACCACGTGAGTAATTTTTTCTGGTAGTCCATATGCAGATTTTGGGAAGTCCTGATGAAAAAAACTGTCAAAAACATTTGAAACATTATGCATATTGCCTAAAGCACCAGTTTTTTTGAAGAATGACATTTTCAAAACAATTTTTTCGAAATATTCATGTTTTATTAATTTCAGTTATGACTTGTTGGCAAATATATTTCTGAAAATAGTTGAAACATGTTTAAACCGTTTTTTACCAAATAATTTACAGTTGGAAAAAGATCAATTCAATCCAAGAACATTCTTTGCTCTTCATGACTTGAATGGTGACGGATATTGGAACGACGCTGAACTTGAAGCGCTGTTTCAAATCGAACTTGAAAAAATGTACAATGAAACTAATCCTGATGATGATCCAAAGGAAAGGTGCGTAAAATTCATTTTAAAAGATTTAATTAATAATTACGTTGATTAAAGACTCGAAGAGATGTATCGAATGCGTGAACACGTTTCAAAACAAATGGATACCAATGGAGATCGATTGATTTCCCTTCAAGAATTCTTGGCTGACACTGAAGCCCAAACTCCAAATAAAGACGAAGGATGGAAAGATCTCGGACAGGAGCAGATTTACACTGATGAGGAGCTACAAGCGTTTGAGAAAGAATATGCTGCTAAAAATGGTATGATTGACCTCAACTCTAAATATGCATTCTCTAACAGTTTCTGTTTCATCTAATTTAATGTATTCAAATAATGTAGGATGGGGAGAGAACGCATATCTTGGAAAAGAGGTTGTGATTCCACGTTCAGATGAGCAACATCCAGCACAAAACCAACAGCAACAATATCAACACCAACAACCACCCCAACAGGTATGATGATTAAAAATAAAAAAAAAAAAAACATAATTAAGGAATTTCAGCCAAACGCTGTTCCGGTGCAGGCCCAGCATAACTATCCAAACCAGCAGCAACAAGTTCCACCAGCCCATCAACCTGTTCATCCAGCTCAACAAGTTCAGCAACAACCGCCAGTGCAACAGGTATTTAGTATTTACTATTTCAATCCAATAATGGTAATTTTTAGAATCAGCAAGCTCCCCCGCAACAACAACAACAACAACAACCACCGCAACAACCTCCACAGCAACAACCAGTTCAAAACGCGGTTCCCCAGAACAATCTACCACCTGTACATCATGCTCCAATTGAAGATCACAAGAAGGATTCCACTTATGGAATTTAATAATATATATTAGCGTCTCGTGTTTGTAAATTTTAATATCATCTTGTTTACTTGTTGTAATTATATGGAATCGATTCTATTCATCGGGTGCTTTTATCATAATTTTATTTCTGTTGAGCGTAAGCCTTTGTCTTGTCAGCCATCGAAATAACACTTGAAATGTCAGTATGAGCCATTCAATCTAGTTCCACCACAAACGCTAGGTGCCGTTTAGCATTTGATTTGATGAAACGATTTTTTTTGTCGACCAAGTTTTTTTTATTCGTTTTCGGCTTTTTTGTTACGCGACAGCAGAGGGGGGGAGAGGATGGATTTGTGGTTGCTAAACGCTTAATGAAGAAAGATTGGATCTTTGCGATGAAAAACTACAGATAAAGTGTGTTTGCAGGAATTCTTTGCTGGCGCAATACAGTTTTTTTCGTTCCTTGGAATGTTTTTTCTCCGTGGGTTTTTTTCCTAGGAATGTTTTTTCTCAGTGTTCAGGTTGCGGACAAACAATTAATGCTTCTATTTAAAAAAAAAAACTCTAATATGAAGTTTCAACTTTGAAATATGGTCTTCTGCGGCGACATATGTTCCCCCGATTTCAAAGTTCTTTGTATACCAACAACATTATCTAAACTTTTTCGAATGGAAAAACATATTATCCATCGTAAACTTGTTTTTGACTTTGGTAAGTTGGTTGTTTGAAAAGCTTGAAAATTATCAAATATTCATTGCATTCCACTTATTCTTTATTTGGTTGAATCGAAGACAAATGTCTCGTCGTCAATTCTTGATATTTTTATCGTCTCAATTATTTCACATTCCTTTTTTTAAATATTATATTACATAGCGTCTGTATATTTTTTCAAAAATACTAAGATATATAGAGAGAGTTTTTTTTTTGATAACATAATTTCATTCATTACATATTATATCTATTTCGTGTAATTGATAATATAAAGCAAAACATAATTTTGAAAAAATGAAGTCTTGTTTGTTGTTGGAAAAAATTGCAGAAACATGAGAAATGTTGAATCGATGTTTAAGAAATAAAAAATTGGATAAAATCTGAGCAGACCACATTTGGAACAAAACCAGAACAAAGACATCAAACTCAGGTAAATGAAAATCAATCGGATTCGAAAAAAAATTAAATATAATTTACCTGTTTCGATAGAAAAATAATTCAAATTCGATTTGAAATTTTGGTTTCGATTCAAAAATCTTTGAAATCGATTGATTTATTTCTCATTCTCAATTTTGAAATCGCATTCGATCGAAATTTTGGAATAATTCGATACAGATTAATTTACATTCAATTTAGATTGAAAAATAAATTATTTTCGAATCCGATTGATTTTCATATATCTGAGAAAGTGATTGTTCAATTTCTTTATTAAAACTCGCAAATATAGCAACTATTGTAAAATATATTGATCATTATTATTTTTTAAAGATGTATGCGCTTAGTTATAATAATTATAAACAAAAGTCATTTTATAAATTCAAAAAAATTTGAAAATGGTTTATTTTTACATTTTTACAACTATTATGATTTTATTTTGTAAACCTTATTCTATACCACGATGAATGGAGCTTTTATTATGAAAGACTTTGTCAGCTTATTTATGAAACCCATCTTCGTTCATTATGTTTTTTAACCTAATTTTTTTTAGAAATCGTGATAAAAACCATGTATGAACAAAAACAATAATGATCTGATTAAATATTGTTATTTTCGAGACCTCAAATTGTTGCTAATTCATCGCAGAAAGATCCCCTCAACTATTTTGAATTCTCTTTTGAACGTTTCAATTCTATCACATGTTGTTATGTCCTTCTTGTTGTGAGCATTGCATCTCTGATTTTGAAATTGATGATCGCACTTATGTATAACAAACGATCTTTTCACTGGTTTTTGATGTTTTTTTTTTGCAATGAACTTGACATGTTGTCTTCAGAGCTCTCAACATTAATCACAAGCAGGTTTCTCAAACAGAAAAAAAAATCCTTCGGCCTGTGTGTAATAGATTACGTACTTGCTTTGGCGAGCGAACAATTTAAAATTTTCAAAATTTTCTTCTTGTTTTCCTCGTTTCTAGATTTGAAAACGTCATTTAATACAGTTTGACATCGTCTTCTGTTGAAAAATGATCGAGATAAAAATTGACGGCGAACTGCGTTGAACATCCTTCGGAATTGACACGCTTCGAAGATTAAGGGGTCAGATTTTTTGCTACGTTCAACGACGTTGCACACGGTTTTCTACCCAAAAAGATGGAAACGAGGATAAATCGAAAAAAAGGTATCCGGATCGCGTTGTTCATGCAACTGGTTGAGTGTCAAGATGTCGAAATGTCTTTTATTTGCTTTGAACGCTTCCCGACAGATTATCCAATGTGCAGCGAATTAATGCAAAAAATGGGCTTTTTCTCATGATTTATTACACTATCCTCCGGCATTCCATCATTTTCACAGCTATCATCATTTCAATTCCGTTTGGTACTGTTAAAAAGCTATCCAATATTATAAAATAACCTTAACCTTGGGTTTTTTGTTATATAATTAACTATTTTAAAACCACTTTAAAATTCTCAAGAAAGATTCTTACGCGGTTTCAATCAAAAGTTAAAAAAAAATATATTTCTATCCAATTTTTCCCAAAATTAAATATTCTTTCCAGGTTCCAATATAATTAAAAAAAACATGATTCAGTGCTGTGTGAATTTTGCAAAAAAACTCTAAAAAATACCTATGCAGATTTAAAACTGTTTTTTTGTTAGCTTTTCAAGTTTTCTTTCTACAAAACTGTAACTGAATAGCAGGATTAGAAAATGATTCAACGCAGATACGAGATTTTTCATAATAGTTATTTATTCAAAAAAAAATTCTGTTGCCCCTTTCCGCATTGATAAATATGTGTTCTTAGCATCTCACAAATTTAAATTTGAAAAAAAAAACTCCAATTGATACAAATCAGATATATATCATTTGTATGTCTTCTCAATATTGCTTTGACCTGCCATATCGCATCATTGAATCACGCGCGCGTGCTCATATTGCATTGCGACGCGCCTTCACCTTTTTGTCATTCAAATGTGTTCATTTTGGCATGGTCTTCCTATCTAACAATGCCTTCTTTTTTCTTTTTTTTTGTATCAAACTGGTATTTTCCAGAGTTTTTGGTTTTACTGGTTTGATAAAAAGTAGAAATTACAGGGTGTCATTTAAGTTCCCGCACAACTTTGAAGACGTATATTTCTGAAACTAAAAGTCCAAATCAAACGAGACTCGAAATATTTTTTATCTATAGTACAACAAATAATTATCTATTAACTCTTTTCGATTCGGCCTCTTTTCGCAGCTATGACTTCGCGGAGACGCTTCGGGTAGGATGTGACTGTGGTACGCAGGTATTCGATGGAAAGATTGTCCCATTCCGCCAGTAATGTCTTCTTCAGAGCCTCTACACTTGAGTTGGGTTTTGCGTTGACCTTCTCCTGCAAGACCCCATCACGGAAAAGTCAAGCGGGTTCAGGTCTGGGGAGCAATCAGGCCATTCGGATGACTTGATAAAGTCGGGAAAATGGGTCTGGCACCACTCCTGAGTAGTTTTGGCAGTAGGGGCGGGTGCTCCGTCCTGTTGAAAGACCCATATCTTCCCACCGAAATGCGTTTGGGCCCAGGGCATCATATGCTTCCCCAAAATGTCCCGAACGTAGACTTCTTTGTTCACTTTCACCACCTGATCCACGAAAACCAGGGGCACTTCCCGGTTGAGCAGATGGCACCGAAAACCATCACACTGGCAGGATGTGAGGCTGGATGAATTGTTCTTCCTTTCTCAGAAGCTTTCTGGGATGTCTGGGCAAGTACTCAATGGTTTTGTGAGTTGAATGCCGCCTCCACAGTGAACAGCTTCTCGTCGGAGAAGACAGTGGCGAGGTGTTCTCCAGACCGCGTGCGAGCAAAAAGTCGTTTTGCTTTTTCGAAGCGTCTCTGCTAGTTGACGGCCGATAGAATTGCCGCTTTTTGGACGCGATATGGGGTCAGTCCAAGCTTCGTTTTGACCATTTGTTCCATAGCGAAGATGCTCATTCCCATGTCTGACGCCATCTTTCTTATGCTCCTGTGCGGTTTTCGCCTGATCCTCGTTTTGACGGCGTTGATCTTCTGAGGAGTGGTTACTGAGACGAGTCTTCCTTGTCTGGGAAGGTCACTGGTCGTATTTAGCTCCTTGAAACGTTTGTTGGTGTCTTAAACCGTTCTACGAGGCACACCGAGGCGTTGAATGATCTCTGTCGGGCGCTCATTTCGCTTATGAAGTTCGATAATGGAAGCGCGATGAATGTTAGCCTTCGCCATTTCTCGGAAACACATCCGAATGAAGTGAAACTTGAAAAGTAAGTAAAATACACCTTATTTAACAAAAATAAATTGTATTGGTGCACGAAATGTGCGACAGCCAAGCTTTTCATGGCGTCTAACTTTTGTGCGGGAACTTAAATGACACCCTGTACAATGAATCAAATGGCATTCATCCCTTCGTCGATAAGTTCACCACATTCGAAAATTTTTCTCTCAAATTCGTGAACGATTAGATAAATGTTTGTAATGCACATTTGATTTCAAAAGCCGACAAATTAATTGCGAATGAGAATACACTTTCTTTATCGCACTAATCAAAAAATTATACGTTTGCGACATGCGAGATTTCCACCCAACAATAACCGACGGTGTAAAACAGCTGTTGTAATTATTTCCTTTATCGAATCACCCAAATCCCAAAATTAAGAATATTCATTAATACTACCCGTTTGGATCTTCATCAGGACCCGTTTGTATGATTGAGTGGAGAGAAGAGTTTCCGGCATGAACCGCTTTCAAACACAAAACTAAAATATATCTCGTGTTATTTACAACACACGTACACTTTCTGCTTTCGTTTGTATATGATTGGCTATCAATGCTCTCTGGGGGGAGGAAGAAGAGCTGGCGAGCGGCCAGCTGTTTAGCAAACCTGGACATTATTCCTCACGCAACTTTATATTTTTCATTCGTAACAAATTTCTTCACTTCACACCATGATATTAATATGTTTTCAGCTCTTCAATGTCTTTTTGTCTTCTCTTCCCCCTACAGCGTTTAACTAGAGGTATTCTTGATGGAAAAATAAGTAGACATACATGATGTCGCTTATTATGCGTGGTATAGTACTTAATATAAAGACAGTATCTCTTTTTTAATACTTATTTTTAAATTTTTATTTATTACCACTTGGATCAAAAAAATAGACAAAGTAATAATATGAAGAAAAAAAAGATTAGAAAAGATGTAATAAAAATAAAAGAACCATGGTCTTGCAAGAGAGCTTATTAATAAGTAACCGTGAAAGTTGCCACCTGCTCATGTTTGTTTTCTTACCAACAGTTCACCTACTAAAGTAGTATGCTAATTATGAGCATAGTTTCATCTCTCATATGAACAATACCCCTTCCCACCTCACACTAAACCATCTTGCCTCTCATCATCCAGCATCATTTTTTCTTCGCTGTATAGGAAACAGCTATGCAAATAGACGTAGTAATCCGATATACACACGCATAACTGTATCTCAAGAGAATTCTGTATTATCTTACCCTTTTCAAAACGCCTTTTTGCTCTTCATCCATCAATTAATGTAAATTCAATTCATTTTTCTGCTCTGCCACTCAATGCGCGTCTCGCCTTTTTCTTGACCGCTACAGATCCGGCGAGGTCATTCGACCGGCTGTGCATTTAATTCGTCGCCTTATGCTCATCCCATTTGTTTATTCATTTTTATAGTAGTTGTGCGATTTTAGGTAAGCAACAACCACCCGAAAATAAAGTGCATTATATTATTGATCATTATTATTTTTTAAAGATGTATGCGCTTAGTTATAATAATTATAAACAAAAGTCATTTTATAAATTCAAAAAAATTTGAAAATGGTTTATTTTTACATTTTTACAACTATTATGATTTTATTTTGTAAACCTTATTCTATACCACGATGAATGGAGCTTTTATTATGAAAGACTTTGTCAGCTTATTTATGAAACCCATCTTCGTTCATTATGTTTTTTAACCTAATTTTTTTTAGAAATCGTGATAAAAACCATGTATGAACAAAAACAATAATGATCTGATTAAATATTGTTATTTTCGAGACCTCAAATTGTTGCTAATTCATCGCAGAAAGATCCCCTCAACTATTTTGAATTCTCTTTTGAACGTTTCAATTCTATCACATGTTGTTATGTCCTTCTTGTTGTGAGCATTGCATCTCTGATTTTGAAATTGATGATCGCACTTATGTATAACAAACGATCATTTCACTGGTTTTTGATGTTTTTTTTTTGCAATGTACTTGACATGTTGTCTTCAGAGCTCTCAACATTAATCACAAGCAGGTTTCACAAACAGAAAAAAAAATCCTTCGGCCTGTGTGTAATAGATTACGTACTTGCTTTGGCGAGCGAACAATTTAAAATTTTCAAAATTTTCTTCTTGTTTTCCTCGTTTCTAGATTTGAAAACGTCATTTAATACAGTTTGACATCGTCTTCTGTTGAAAAATGATCGAGATAAAAATTGACGGCGAACTGCGTTGAACATCCTTCGGAATTGACACGCTTCGAAGATTAAGGGGTCAGATTTTTTGCTACGTTCAACGACGTTGCACACGGTTTTCTACCCAAAAAGATGGAAACGAGGATAAATCGAAAAAAAGGTATCCGGATCGCGTTGTTCATGCAACTGGTTGAGTGTCAAGATGTCGAAATGTCTTTTATTTGCTTTGAACGCTTCCCGACAGATTATCCAATGTGCAGCGAATTAATGCAAAAAATGGGCTTTTTCTCATGATTTATTACACTATCCTCCGGCATTCCATCATTTTCACAGCTATCATCTTTTCAATTCCGTTTGGTACTGTTAAAAAGCTATCCAATATTATAAAATAACCTTAACCTTGGGTTTTTTGTTATATAATTAACTATTTTAAAACCACTTTAAAATTCTCAAGAAAGATTCTTACGCGGTTTCAATCAAAAGTTTAAAAAAAATATATTTCTATCCAATTTTTCCCAAAATTAAATATTCTTTCCAGGTTCCAATATAATTAAAAAAAAACATGATTCAGTGCTGTGTGAATTTTGCAAAAAAACTCTAAAAAATACCTATGCAGATTTAAAACTGTTTTTTTGTTAGCTTTTCAAGTTTTCTTTCTACAAAACTGTAACTGAATAGCAGGATTAGAAAATGATTCAACGCAGATACGAGATTTTTCATAATAGTTATTTATTCAAAAAAAAATTTTGTTGCCCCTTTCCGCATTGATAAATATGTGTTCTTAGCATCTCACAAATTTAAATTTGAAAAAAAAAAACTCCAATTGATACAAATCAGATATATATCATTTGTATGTCTTCTCAATATTGCTTTGACCTGCCATATCGCATCATTGAATCACGCGCGCGTGCTCATATTGCATTGCGACGCGCCTTCACCTTTTTGTCATTCAAATGTGTTCATTTTGGCATGGTCTTCCTATCTAACAATGCCTTCTTTTTTCTTTTTTTTTTGTATCAAACTGGTATTTTCCAGAGTTTTTGGTTTTACTGGTTTGATAAAAAGTAGAAATTACAATGAATCAAATGGCATTCATCCCTTCGTCGATAAGTTCACCACATTCGAAAATTTTTCTCTCAAATTCGTGAACGATTAGATAAATGTTTGTAATGCACATTTGATTTCAAAAGCCGACAAATTAATTGCGAATGAGAATACACTTTCTTTATCGCACTAATCAAAAAATTATACGTTTGCGACATGCGAGATTTCCACCCAACAATAACCGACGGTGTAAAACAGCTGTTGTAATTATTTCCTTTATCGAATCACCCAAATCCCAAAATTAAGAATATTCATTAATACTACCCGTTTGGATCTTCATCAGGACCCGTTTGTATGATTGAGTGGAGAGAAGAGTTTCCGGCATGAACCGCTTTCAAACACAAAACTAAAATATATCTCGTGTTATTTACAACACACGTACACTTTCTGCTTTCGTTTGTATATGATTGGCTATCAATGCTCTCTGGGGGGAGGAAGAAGAGCTGGCGAGCGGCCAGCTGTTTAGCAAACCTGGACATTATTCCTCACGCAACTTTATATTTTTCATTCGTAACTAATTTCTTCACTTCACACCATGATATTAATATGTTTTCAGCTCTTCAATGTCTTTTTGTCTTCTCTTCCCCCTACAGCGTTTAACTAGAGGTATTCTTGATGGAAAAATAAGTAGACATACATGATGTCGCTTATTATGCGTGGTATAGTACTTAATATAAAGACAGTATCTCTTTTTTAATACTTATTTTTAAATTTTTATTTATTACCACTTGGATCAAAAAAATAGACAAAGTAATAATATGAAGAAAAAAAAGATTAGAAAAGATGTAGTAAAAATAAAAGAACCATGGTCTTGCAAGAGAGCTTATTAATAAGTAACCGTGAAAGTTGCCACCTGCTCATGTTTGTTTTCTTACCAACAGTTCACCTACTAAAGTAGTATGCTAATTATGAGCATAGTTTCATCTCTCATATGAACAATACCCCTTCCCACCTCACACTAAACCATCTTGCCTCTCATCATCCAGCATCATTTTTTCTTCGCTGTATAGGAAACAGCTATGCAAATAGACGTAGTAATCCGATATACACACGCATAACTGTATCTCAAGAGAATTCTGTATTATCTTACCCTTTTCAAAACGCCTTTTTGCTCTTCATCCATCAATTAATGTAAATTCAATTCATTTTTCTGCTCTGCCACTCAATGCGCGTCTCGCCTTTTTCTTGACCGCTACAGATCCGGCGAGGTCATTCGACCGGCTGTGCATTTAATTCGTCGCCTTATGCTCATCCCATTTGTTTATTCATTTTTATAGTAGTTGTGCGATTTTAGGTAAGCAACAACCACCCGAAAATAAAGTGCATTATATTATTCACGGGTACAAGTGTTCAGAAAAGCAATCATGTCCAACGAAGGATTGAATCGTGCTACATTGTAAGTTTTTTTTTGCTCGCACACATCGCAAGGCCAAGTTCACGGTCATTTGAGTTTCAAAAGAATAATAGGATTTGGACAGTATTGTTAATAATAGAGTGCGATTCATTGTATCAAAATATTTACAATAGATGGTAGGATATGGAGCTTTATCATTTCTTCGATGTAGCTCATTCCGATTCGTTTATATTGTATATGAATAGTGACCGAAGGAATTCAAAACTGACATTTTTGAAATAATAGTCTCTCCTATACGAATGGTGTCATAAACATATCTTGTCTAATGATCATTTTCTTTTTTTCAAGGATCCAAACCCAATCGCAATCCGTTATCCGCTGCACAACCCCAGTTCGTCGTCCCTCAACAAATTCTCCTTCAGCATTTGGCGAAAAGACATATGTAAGTTTTGGTGATAATTTCGATATCTTCTCACACTTGAAAATAGAAATGAAGGTGAAATGAAGGTTGAAGATGTAAATAATCGGTGAAATGATATGAAAAAGGTCGTTAACTTTCGATTTTAAAATTCAGTATAGCGGTGGAGAGAGAAATTCTCGCGTTTTGCCAAGCATAATAATAATTTGAAAATAGGTCGAAACGGCGGTAGATTTGCGAATTCGCAGCTGGAAACCCATTCAGTGATAAATCCTCACACCTTTTGCGCTATACCGAAACGCTCTGTTATTTAAAACGTTCCCCACCCTACTTAACACTGATTCACGACAAACGTCAAAAAGCAAACAGCACATTTTCGAACGATTTCCAATTCTCGCCCATTCACAAGCTGATAGTCTAGTGAACATTATTTCGTCGTCGAAATGTCTAGAAAAATCGACAGAAATCGCCGAGCCACCGTTACTTCTTTTGATATGCGACCTCAGGTTTGAATTATAATACAATTAGCATTCGCATAATTTTTAATCATTTTCATTAAATTTTTTTTTTCTACAGGTTAGCAAGGATGATTATGATCGTGAGAGGACCCGTTGGGCCACTCAACTTGAGGAGTTCAATTCCAAACTCATTGCGTCTGAGACGGCCAACTCTGAAATGATTATAAATCGTGCTGAATTGGTAGGCTATCAGAATTCAATAAAAACACAATGCATTATTCTAATTTTAGAATAAGCGTATTATTGACTTGGAGAAGAATCAGAAGCCAATGATGGAAGCAAACAGAAAACTCTCTGATCGAAACAAGCATCTTCAACAGGAATTGAAGAAACTTGAGCAGAAGCTTCGTCATTCTCAAGATGACTTCTTCACATTGGTTCAATTTTCAAAATAACGCATTTTGAACGAAAATTTTTTCAGAGAGATACCTATGAACGGGAGATGAAGGAACTTCAAGTGTTGAAAGAGAAACGCGTTGGTCCTGAAATGCATGAAGAGCTTCTGCGTTATCGTAATCAATGCCTTGAGAGTTCAAAATGCATCACTGCTCTCCGCAATACGTTAATCGTAAGATATATGGAAAAATTGTTTTCTTTACACTTTGTTTTAGGACAAGAGAAAACAATACGAAGTTCTAGTACAGAAGTTCAAACAGTTCCAAAAGTTGTTCAAAAAATTGCAAGCTAACGAGGAGGATCGTTTCAGGTATTAAAATAATTTGCTCTATGTGTATTAAAAAAATAATGTTAAGCACTATGGGAAGCGAATGCTCTGGTGCCAGTACTATGAGTTTGAACACAATCACTGAAGATTTCGAGCAGGTTTGTGATATTTGCTTTAAAAAACGTCCATGTCTAGCGTAGTGACAATTAATCATTGGTTTTAACGTTATATTTCCAACTGCCGGTGTAATACATACAATTACACTCATAGTGATTAAATAAGCGCAACACAAACATAACACGTTTGGTCATTTACGCGAACACCGTTTTCTGCTAGTCGAAACATTACGATGATGATGGGCGGGTTGCGAAGAAGTTCCCATTGTTCAACTTGTCATGCAAATTTCTTGTCAAACCCAGCCCCCCCCTACTTGACCACCAGTTTCGTCCCATGTTTTGCTGCTTCAAATCCCATTTTAAATATAAAATGGCGTTATGAAGAAAATAAATGACTGCCGTTTACGTTTTGTGGGTACAAGCCAATTTATTAAGTCGGCGAAGAGCGATCATTAATAAAGCCACCTAATTGTGAGTTAATGCTTTGAATCCGTCAAAAAAAGTGTTCTTCATAGCATCAAATGTGTTCGTTTTTCCCTTTAATATCGATGTTCAATTAAGTTGGTCATTTAGTTGGTGAGTGACACATATCGGATTGAATCGCGATACTCAACCGCCGCCCATTTTTGCCCTTGAACACCGTCTGGTGGCAACTGTTTTCCTAACAAATTGGGAGAGTTTTGTCTGTGTTCGCGGTAAATCAGTCCGTCTAATTACTATTGATTTTCGTTGTCGCTGTTTCGCTCTACTTTTTTTTTCTTAATACTGGAATTATAAATTGAAAATAAGGTCATCAGCAGATTTCGATCGTGTTCCGCAAAATTCAATGAAGCGTGCAATAGGCGTCTTTTCATTAATGCAATCACACTTGTGGTCAGGTTCATACCAATCTTCTTGACACGTTTGGTGTTAAATATTTTCAAAGCATTTGCTGTTTTTTTTTCTCAAATGATTTTCTAATCCTATTAGGGAAATGCGGCAATTTTTGCTGGTTTTTACTAGTTTATTCTTCTCGACTTTTTTTTTTGACACAATTCAATTCTATTTGAATTTTCATAGAAATTCAAACCCTTAAACGTATTACGAATCAATTCTTATCAATTTTTAGTTTAGACGATTTCGTCGCAGGAGTTATTTATGACATTGCACTTCTCAGACATCAAAACACCAGCAATCACCGCTTCAATACTTTTTTAAACTTTCCTAGGCGATGAATTTCCTCTTTTACTGAAATGTACTAAAATCGATGACGTTCTCATAGGCGTTTTGCTGATGATTCCTTTTCTATCATCCTAATTAGTATTTGCGGTTAACCAGTTTCACCGAGACCGTCTGATTCTCGGCAGTTCGAATATTTTCCATCCCCTCCCCAATCACAACCCCTTCATACGAGCAAGTACACTTCAACAATTTTTAAGGACCAGTTCAATATTCAAACTCTCTCCCGCGAAAACGCCGAACTGCAGAAAGCATTGAACGTGAGTTTAATATTCTCCATTTATTTCGAAATTGCCCATTTTCAGGAGCTTTTGCTTAACGCCGCTGATCTGAACGAGGAGAACTTCTTGCGCGATCAAACAATTGAACAACAACAGCTTCTGCTTGAAGCGAATCAAGACATGGTCAGTCAAGTCATTTCGCTCGCCACTTTGCGGCTATAGCTGTTCATCAACATCTGATGCGGCGCCGTCGTCCAATTTTTTTTCGTGTTCACCCCCATTGCCTCGCACTTCCCATTTTCCGACAGTTTTCGCAAACATTCATATATTAATAACCTTGGTTTTGATTATCATGTGTGTGGCGATGGTGGACGGATGAAACGAGACGAAATTGTTTCGAAAAAAAAAGTCAGACGGGACACTTGAATATCGGTTTATATTTGCACGGTTTGCAAAAGTTGAGTGCCTTAACAACGTTTTCATTTTCCAAAAAACAACTCGACCCGCTTCACCCGCCGCCTTTTGTTTTAATAATTTTTAAAGGTTTTTATTGATTGATTGTCTAACATTTTAAAGATGTCCCAAATGGCGCAATTAAAATCGACTGTGATGCAGCAGCTCGACCAAATCAAGGCTCTTGATCAGCAAGTTGAGGATCTCACACAACAACTCGCCGTCCAAATCGATAAGAATGATACCCTCGAGTTCCAGTACCTTGAAATTGAGCAGGAATTGAAAAATCAGGTTTGCAGTTGTTTGAATTGAATTTTTGAATGGAATTTTAGTTTAAAGTTTTGTGTGCTCGTGAGTTTTTCAGTTGGAATGAAAAATCTAGTTCAAATTGTGATAGTGTAATATTGAAAACCAAGAATTTCAAGAAATAATTTCTCATCGAAATAGTCGATTTTAGACCGCAATTTTGGCGCAATGCAGCACCTTCGAAGAAGAGCGCGATGCACTTCGAACGGAGATTATCAAACTACGATTTGAGAATGGCGAGCTCCGGCAAAATCACGCTCGTGAAATTGCGAGTTTAAAGGTTTATTTTTATTCTTTGAACCGCTTTATAATTAAATCCTGAAGGAGTGCAATGCAACGCAAAGTGTTTCAAACTTTGATGATGAAAGGAAAACTCTCGTACAAAAAATCGAGAGTTTAGAGAAGCAAAATGAAGCTCAGCAGGTTACTATCCAAAATCATGAAAAACAGATCCAAGAGTTGAATACAAAAGCAGCAGATCAAATTAAAGAGGTGAGAAATTACGAGGCTGTGTTGATCAATTGTATGGATGCAAATAGCCGTTGTCTTCTCGTATGCGGTTTCATGGTCAGCCATATTAATATTTCGATTTATAGCTCACTGACGAAGTTCAAGCTCTCACAAAAGAGCTCTCCAAAATTCGATTCTCTTACCAAGGCAGTGAAGCAAACCTCAAAAAAGAGAAAAAGATGACTGATGCGTTGAATGAGTATGGGAAACATTTTGAATTATAATCAAAACCTGTCAATTTTTAGGCAACTCCAAAAGCTATATGAAAACACTAACAGCGATTCCGTAAAGAAGGATGCTGAAATTGCTCAATTGCGGCAAAAGATCGTAGAACAAGAAACGAAGTTCAACGAGATTGCCGAGGAAAAAAATAAAGTACGAACTAATTGCCTCATTGAACATTAATTACACACTCTTTAGGTCTCGGAACTTCTGAAGAATATCACTAAGGAATATGAGGAATTCCGTGATATGCAACGTCCAGAGATCAAGTAAACTTTTGAAAATTTTTTTATGATAAAAATGGTTTATATTAGAACTGAGCTTGAGAGAAGATTCGAGGAGACTCGTTATCGATTGAATTGCGCTCTGGAGAAAATTCATGACTATGAATTGCTGATCGAAGCAGCGAAGAAAGCTGAAACTGATGGCAAACTTTCTGAGCATCTTGAGCGGGAGTTGATTGAGGTTTGTGCTAGTATCCCTTTATTGACCAATGCTTAACTGCTTAAATTTGGTTGATGACGCTTTGTTGAGAAAAACCAAAAAACGTTTAGGAAGAAATAATAAATGAGGTTCGCCTGGCAAGTACGTATGTAAGTAAACGGATCCATAGGAAACTGGCGTGTGCAATAGAGTTAACAATAACTTGGAACATGTCTAATAGCGTTGATCAATAACTTTTTCCTCAAAACTTTAATCATAATAATTGATGCTTTAATCATTTTTAAAACGAGTATAAACAAATTACACCCTCTATAAATAACAGAGTGAAAATCTATGAGTAATACTTTCAGATTCCCATGCATTCAGTTTTTTATATTTAGCATTAATTATATCGTACTTTGACAGGTCAAGGAATTCAACGCGCACTTGGAACGACAATTCCAAAGTCAATCACAGATTATTGAAGCGTTAAAGGGCAAATTGTTGAAGCATCGCAATTTTTGCGATATGTTGGCCAAACTCACTGACATGGATGATATCAACAATCTCGTAGAGCAATTGGAGATCTATGTTAATGAAAATACATATGATGAAGCCCGAGTGGCCGCCAATATTGTATATTTGATCAATGTGAGATTTAGAAATTTCAAAATTTTTTTGCGCAATTTGAAAATTTCAGGTGATGAAAAAGAAGATGTTTTATTCTCCGCTTCAGATCTCAACTGCTCACCACCAGGTAAATACTTTTGCGTTATTTTAAATAGTTATGATATTACTTTCCAAAAACTAAGTACGTTTTCAGATTGTTTATGATACGAGTTTTATTTATGAGGTATTTGGTGTTAATTGTTGCAATCACTGGTAAAAGTTGTTGTCATCAAACAAAAATTGTTTGCACCGAAAAAAAAAATGTTGTAAAAGTCACTGGGTCGCCATATACCACCTATCTAACGACATGCGCAATTCCATTAGAAAAATTGTAACTTTTTTTTTCAGATTCGCCCCTACAGTTCTGTGGATTCGTCGGGTGAATGGCAATCGAATAGCAGTGAAGGCATTATTTCTCCTGATGAACAGGATGAAGAATGGGCGTCGGCTTCAAAAACCGCTTCGCGCTAATTTCTTCACCGTGTTTTATGTATATTCGAAAAAAAAGCATTTTGGACGCCACGTGGCGCAGCATTGCCCCAGCTAAACAATAATCACTTAATATCGCCAATACTCGCAAGTCCATCTCAATCGTTTATTCATTTCTACTTAAATAATTGCAATCTTAATATTGATTCTCATTCAGAGTCTCTACCTGCTCTGTTACAGTACCCTTTCTTAACTTGTTATGAGATAACCCATAATTTATATTTTCGTTCTATATTATACTGGTGAGCTCTCCCAATTGTTTAAATAATGGAAAACTGATTGTATTATATATTCTTGACAAAAAAAATAAATTGCGCACCCCAATAATTTTATGGATACTCAAAACCATTGGAACCCTGCAATTCGGCAACCATTAAACATCGTGAATCGATAATTTATAAAATTTTATGAGAAATTTTGGAAGAGGAGGGAATGATTATCGGCGTATATTGGTATATCGGCAAAACTCGTATTTTCTTCAGACACATTCTTGTCTTATCCAGTATATAAATTGCTAAATACCATAAGACTAGTGGTATGACAAAAGCAGTTCCTTTTCCTTTTAGCTCCCACTCCGTTAGTTGTGTGTTGTGATCGTTATGAGAAAGAACCACTGTTTTCTTAAACATTGGTGAACTGAACGTTGAATAACTTCTGCATACGTGGGAATGAAGAAGATTTTTCCATAATTGTTTCTAATTGTTAAAGGAACACGTCATGGTTTCACATTTTTTCCACCGATTTGTTTATTTACTTCCTTATTAGAAATAATAGGAAAAAATTCCAAATTAGGCCCTCACTCAGTTTTAACATCAGTTATATGTTTGGATAGAATTCGAAGGCTTTGTCATAATTTTAGCGTTTCAATAATCAATTGTTTTATTATTGGCCCTGACGTTCAATGCTTCATTGTAATGTTTCGTGAAAATCAACGCGTCATCCAATTTATGTTTTGAAAAAATTTGCAATTGACAGACAAATGCCTCAAACCTTTTTAACACAATTCGACACAAACCGAATTTCGCTTTTCAACATCGTAAACCAATTCTGTTGAGATAATAAAGGAAGACAGGCGAGAGGTCGCACAACGAATCATATACTCGTCCTCGCATCCTGGAAATAGTAATGTAATCGAATTATAACGAATCAAGTTTTCTTTTTTCCTTTTCGCCGCTAACCATCGCTTAGAAATCGATCATTTGCTTATGTTTATATCCGTTCATGATGGAATGCGTGCTGTTCTGTACAGCAAATGGCTTCCCATTCGTGAAGAGGCCCCTCACTTCTGGGAGACGGCTGTTGTCGGCGTCCTCTCATTCCGACATTGTCTTTCGACACTTTCCGATGTGTTACGGACGCATCTGGTTTCGACATTGCGACGACACTTTGCATCTCTCAGTTTCTTGGCCCATTCTTCAGAAATATTTTAATAATTGCACTCGAGATTCTAAAGTTTCTCAATGTTTTCAATTCACACCAAATCTAAAGTACTATGCTTTCAATTTGATGTTTCCAATTCATTGCTGACCACTCTCATTTTGTTTATAATTTGAATTTTCGCTAGTGCGCTCTGAAAACATACGAATTTTCAATTTCAATCGTCCTTTATTGAAGAAATCGATAGGTACTATTGATTTCCGACCTTCTAGAAGGTTTCTAGTGTAACAAACATCAAAGAAGGACAGGGAACTAGTTCAGACAGCTGCCATTCTTTGCTATCAATGAGAAAACAATTTTACTTCTGTTCCTCGTTTCTTCATCGTTTCCAATTCGACGAGATATATGCTTTTTTTCTTTTTAGAAACTGCAGTGAAATGTTTTGGTTCATACTACTCTCATCATGCATTGCGATCCATGCTCAGCAGGGGATGATGTTGGGTTTGTCATAATACCGACCTAGCACAATTAAAATAACCGTTTGATTCAGATCTTCATCCGGCTGCTGGGCCAGACCTTTTTCCAGTGTTGACACCGGAAATGGAAAAATTGACGAATGAATTTGATGAATTCCTCGGTGAATCCCTCATCGATCCCGAAGGAAAACCGATCATTGAGCCCAACAAAATTCATATAATGGTGTAAGTTGTTGCAGGCTTTTTTTCTGTTTCGCTTCTGTAAATAATTGAATTGAGCAGACATTTTACAGAAAAGAAGAAGATCGTCGACGTGAGGCAATGGAAATTCAGCGAATTCTCGATGAACAACAGAATGAAGAGAAGAAAGTAACCGCTGAAACATGGTTTGCCACATTGATTGGATGTTGTATGGTTGTGAGCTGCGGCGTTATTCCTGCGTTTTTGTTGCCGGAGAATATGAATCAATTTTTGGCGTCTATTGGTTAGTGTAAAACTTTAAATATGTAGTAATATTATGATTAGAAAGTAAAGAATTACACAAAAAAATTTAAAAGAAGAAGTACAAATCAACGAGATTGAAAGAAGAATTATCATTTTTTTGTTTTGAAGATTTCGTTTTTTTTTTCAAAAAATTTAATAATTGGTAGCTAACACGCGATATACTTTTGTCGAATTTTCGTCGGTCCAATAAAATAATCGACATATGTAGTTGAAAGTTTATTAATTTAATTAGAAGTTTCTCGTAAATTAATAAATATTTTCTTATTAGGCAAAGTAAAATTATTTCAGAAGGTCAGCGAAAACTCAATTTGCTTCTTAGCTTTGCCGTTGGCTCTTTGCTCGGCGATGTTTTTCTTCACCTCCTTCCGGAGTCTTTTGAAAATAATAGTATGTTTATTCAATTTATTGGAAAGCTTTTAATTGACATGTTCTAGTTAACAAAATCAGCGTTGGATTGTGGATTCTTGGAGGATATTTGATCTTCTCGCTGATTGAGAAGGTTGGAGCATCGACCGAAGAGGGTTCGCATCAGGTACAAATTCGAAATTAATATATAAAAGAAAATCTATTTTTTAGTTGTGCGCTTACATGAATCTTGCCGCTAATATCGTTGACAACTTTGCACACGGGTTGGCTGTTGGTGGAAGCTTCTTGGTTTCAACGAAAGTTTGCGATTCTAAGAAGGCTTTAAATTTTCAAAAATATATTCAGCTTGGTGTAATGACTACCATCAGCATTCTTTTACACGAGATACCCCACGAGATCAGCGATTTTGCGATATTGTTGAGAGCTGATTATGAGAGAGCAGATGCAATTAAAGCTCAAGTAGGATATTCAAGACAATTGAAAGGGGAACATTGAATATTCTAGCAGTTCGTTTATTTAACCATTAGTTTCAACATTTTTGAAACCTATGACGCTCAAATTAGTCAATTCGTGGGCAATTCAACAAATAGTTGTATTTTTAGCATTAAGAGCCTGGGATTAAAACTTTCTTTTAACAGTTACTCCAAAACATTCACTTTTAAATATTTCGCTTCTAAAATATAATATTAAAAAAATGTGAATGTTTCTACTTTAAACTTTTATAGTCTAATATTTACTTTCAGCTGGTTACCGCCACCGCGGGTGTATTTGGATCGTGTGTTGCTCTCGGACTTCATACCTCCGACGTTTCGGTAATTGAGACGCTGCTACCATTTACAGCTGGCGGATTTCTGAACATTGCTCTAACTCAGCTCCTTCCTGAGCTCAACGAGGAGCGTTCTGCTGTGTAAGTCAAACACCTGCACTGATACGAGACTAATGGAAATTTCAGACAAAACCTGAAGCAACTTGTAATGGTTGGTTGCGGAATTATGTCAATGACATTATTGAACTCCTTCAACTTCTAGCCACTTTTTTGTTTCAATGTCTTATTGAATACGTGTTAGACATGATGATGTAGTGATTTTTGGTTTATGCTTCTCAGAAAATACTGTATTTATTCTTTCGCTTCTCTTTTTTTCCAACGCATTCGCCTTCGATCCTGCCTTCATTCGAAATGTTTTTTTTACTGGTCCGGTGTTTCATACTGGTTGCAAAATTCAATTGTTCCCAATAAGAATTCTTTTGGTATTGGTTTAGCTGCGCATAATCAATACAAATAAATAAATCATTTCGGGAAGCCTTATGTATTCAAACCAAAACAAAAGACACCTTGCGCGTTTTTATTAAAGAGCATCCGAGTGTTATGAGCATTTTCGTGTTGTGAAATTCGAAACACGGCGTGATTGATTGCACACCGGGGAAATATGGAGAATCGATCATAGTATGAAGAAATTATAGTGAAAATCGTCCATCCAACTAGACTTTCATATTTAAGCGGATTATATCGAAACAGTGCCATTTATCTATTTATCCTTTGTGTTGTTTACTACCTAGTTTTTAAAATTTCCAGTCAAAATTGGTTTTCGCATGTGCGTATTGTTGGCTATTTCTCAATGAAACGATCGCCGAATAATGCATAAAATACGTGTTCTTCATCGTGTTGACAAAAGATTGGTATTGTTTGCTGACAATATTTTTGCGTTTATGCGTTTTCGTTGACAAATTTACATGTTAGCCACGTTTTGTTGATTGTTTCGTGATATTTGTAATACTAATAACAGGGATTATATTTTGCTTAATTTAAGAGTTCTGTGGAATATTATTTCGGTATTTTGCTGCAACCCAAGAATCTATTTATTATATAATGCGTGTAAGTTCCTCAGTTAAATGAAAATCAATCGGATTGGAAAAATTAAATATTAACCTGTTTCGATTGAAAAATAATTCAAATTCGATTAAGAAAACATTTAAATTCGATTTGAAATCTTGGGTTCTATTCAAAAATCTTCGAAATCGATTGATTTATTTTCATTCTTAATTTTGAAATCGTCTTCGATTGAAATTTTAAAATAATTTGAACCTGATTAATTTACATTCGATTTAGATTGAAAAATAAATTATTTGCAAATCCGATTGATTTTCATTTACGTGACTCGTTAGAAAATGAAATTTTTAATTGAATTTAATTAATAACAAAAACGAAATTTAAATTGTCACTAGACCTTAAAAATTGATTTATTTAATATTATTGAAAATGAAAATTTTTGAAAATGTGCATAGATCATTTTTCAATTTTGACGTGACTTTGCTTCAATATTTTTTCACAATTTTCTGTTGCTAGGCGATCATTGTGTGACACTCAACTCGTTATTATTTTTGAGCAATGAAATATGTGAAGAGCCTCCACAACAATCTGAATGAGTCAGTATTAAAATTATTTTTATTCAGCACGTTTAGAAGCAAAAATTTTCAGAATCAGTTTTTCCAAAAAAGTTGAAATGTACAAATTTCAAACCAAATTTGCACACAGACAGCAATGTTATAAATTTGTATAAAAGGCGTCGATTGTTTACATTCCTCAAAATGTATGTTTTCAGCTTTTAAAAAAATGTTACGTCGTAATACTGATCCGGGTTTGGCGATTCAGTTTTTGAATCATAACAGTTTTTTTTTTGTTTTTGTTTTACTATTTAACAATTTTTGATATTGATAGCAACGTGGACATTCAGTCTTTTCTACTTATTAAAAAAACTAAATAACCACCATAGCATCAATTTTTTCGGTTCATCGAATTGCCTCTGAGCATTGTATGCATATAAATAAAGGCATTGAAAAATGAGAAGACAAACATGAAATTGGTAGTTTGACAGTAAAGTACACAAAGCACAATGCGATTTTTAGCTATAACTAGATTATTTGAAATCCTTTTTTGGTTAATAATCATTCACATGCAATTTACAATTTTAAAATTGTCTTGATACTTATTTTTGCATCAATCCTTATTAATATGAATGTCGTTATGTGCCGAAAGGAAGGGAGACATATTATTTCCGTGTTCCAGCTTTTTACTGAGTTTGAGGCCATTATGGCATTAATAATCGAAAAAAAACAAATGCTACATACTACTACACTATGGTTTTAATAAATTGAATATAGAAAAAATCTGAAACAGTTATATTTTATTTTAAAGAAATCAGCGAAGCACAATAATCGAATTTCTGAATATAACGATGATTGCGGTAAATTCTTCTGCCTATTAAGTAATAATTGCGGTAGAAGACATTGAATATTTAAATGTGACGAAAGCGCATCTCACTCATTTAGGCACCCATTTTCCACATTTCCGCACACGCACACACCCCCGTCAATTTTCCAACGCAATTAGACAACAGTTGTCAGTTTCTAGAATAGCAGGTCCGATTACAAAATCGGTTATGGAATTGTGTTCAAGTCGAAAGAATTATAGCTTTACACCAAATGGACCACCGCAAAAAATTTGACAAATGTTCTCGGCATTCGCTAAACTATCGCGAGTGATTTATGAATGGTAATCGAATGCCGCTAAAACTGCTCATTATTCTGGCAAAACGTCGAAATATTGCGTTTCACGTTGAAGATCATCAAGCATTGCGCATCGTACATACAATATGGGCAGTTGGATGTCCTCCTTTGTGTTTGATTTTACCCCATATTTGTTATCTTTGAAGCTTATCGCGATTGCGCTATCCCGTAGTAATCTGATCGCGCAGTGAAAGTCCACCGACCCACTAGCCGAATGTGTCACGGAAAAAAACACACGGTCCGTCGAATACCGATAAACGGTTTTTTCCAAACTGCCGGCCACCTTATTCGCAAATGATGTTGGTTTTTTTTTTTAATTCCGAGGTCTCACCTCGACTCCGCACCGATCACGTCTGCGCATCATTGCTGACCGACGCCATTACACGTGAAATCTGGTTTTTGTGCGGACGGTCGAAACGAATTCTTTTTTCGCCTCCCGCCCTCCTGCTTTCGACCTCACTCGACCTCTATTCTTATTTTGTTCTGCCGCAATTCTTTCCGACCCCCAATCATCACTCTCTTATTAAAACCAGACAGTTCAAAATTCTATCGCTTTTTCCCATTGGTAAGAGTTTTATTGAGTGAAGAAAAAAAGTTTGGAGGATGTAAGAAATTTTCTAGTTTTTTTTTCAATGCATTGTTAATAATGGTTTCGTTCAATAATCAGCCGTTGTCAAATTTTCTTTGGTATCTGAAAACCAATTGAATGCGAAAAACTGTGGCTCCATAATCGATTGGTTACTTATTGTTTCCGTTTGTAAAATTGAGTTTTTTTGTTCTTATCGGTTTTGAGCTACCAAAAAAAACTGCAGTTAATTTGTCAAAAACGAAGCCTAAAACACATGTTTTACGCAATGTTTATTTTGTTTCTGCAAAATATAGGGCTGCGCTTTAATGCGACTACATGCTCCATTCCCAATTTTTAAAAAATTTATTATCAAAATCAGACGCTTGAAATTGCGCTTGAATATTATGCAAACATTTTCGAGATTGCATAAAATATTTGAAAAGGCAAGGTCGCAAAATAAACACAAATTCTAATGTCTGGATTGGGCCCATATCTCTCATTCAATCATGCTAAAACGTGTATGAATTCAGGTTGTCGAGATAATTGTGACAATCAATATACGTTATTCATCGTCACATGCGATTCTGGGTGTGTGCCACTAAGGCCTCATTCCTTATCTATACAATGATGTGTTATCAAACCGATTCCTTCAATAGCATATATTTTGCACACAGTTTTGTTCTCGAAGCCATATGGTAAAAAGTACGTGGCATCGACATCAATTGTTCAAACAAATCTCCGCTCGCTTTGCCATCCATGTTTCATTCTTTCACATTTATTTATATAAAAATGACATTTTTGCAGCGTTCATTCACATTTTCCCTATATAAATATGTTTATGCATTCTTTTTAGTGCATCAAAATTGTCGAGTATCGCCAAGGTTGCAAAACAACCAAAAACACGGCTAGAATTGGGCACTGCATATTTACGAAGTTCGCCATGGTGATATACGTGGCTTCGCTTCTTTTCTTCAGTGCATAAATATTTAGCGAAACGAAGCATTTTTAAGGATATTCTGCATTTCTTCGAATTTTATTTTCGAATTTGTTTTTTTTCTGAAATGTATCTATCGCAAAATACATTTGAACCCAAAATTCATAAATTATTTTATTCCTTCTTTAAATCTAAATTGTTACAAGTTTACAAAACTAAAAATAAATTTTTCAGGTAGACTCTCTTTTTTTTCCTCGCCAACGAAAAGTAAACAAGCAAACAAAAAACTATATAACATATTGATCGGCATTTGTGTTAAACCACGTCTTATTAAATAATAACAAATTTTGAAATGACTAATCCAATAAAAAATATTAAAAATTTCGATATCTGAAGAAAATCTCTCGTTTTTGCAAAATTGGCTTTATGTGTAAAACGTTTTTTGATTTATCTTAACTCAACATTTGGAAATTGATTCATGCTTCAAAAAAATATAATTGTGCATGTATCGATTGGACACGTCACGATTGATGGGACGGTTCCGATTTTTGTCAATTTTCCCATCGGCCAAATAAAATTAAGCATGATGATGATTTTATCGCTATATTCGATCGCGTTCCTATCCAAGCGGTGAAGCTTATTTGTTCAGTTTGTGCGCGCTGTGTGAACACACATACAATTCGCCTACAGTCCATTTAAAAATAGTAATTCGCAATTTGTAATTATTATATTAAAACGTTTGATAATCATATATATATATATTCAATCTGTAGTACCTTCAATTTTATTTCAGATCTTTATATTTTTTCAGTGCTTTAATGTCTTCTTTTTTGCCACATATAAACATTTGAACTGTTTTTTTTTCGGACGCGTTCGTTCACCTTTTATTTTTTCATTTTCTTCACTCCAACCAACCAAATTTCTAAACATGACAATTTTTTCAGAATGGCGGCAACAGAAATGGTGACAACAATTCAACAAGTCGACAGCATTATTGGAGGGATTGAGGGGTCAGTCTTTTACAAGTAATTTGTTTTGCTTTGTTCGATTGTCTTGCCAGATGAGAAAGACGGATTGAATGTGTGGGATGTGTGAAAAATGGGCCGATACCAATACGCACTTTTCTTCTATTATTCCTTTTAGCTAGTTTACTCAAAAGCTATTATATGCAATATTGAATTAACCCAATTAATAATCTTATTCAATACATGACAAGTATTTGCATATTTTCAAAGCGACTACTTTTTTTTATTATTGTTGTCAAGTGAGTCGGAATCAATATTTTAAACCAAAATAAGGATGTTTTGGACAAAATATGAAAAATGTTTTGGCAGAATTATGCCGAAATCATATTTTACAAATTTCTTTTGAAAGCAAGAAATATTCTCCCTTTTTTACTTCCTCTTCGGATGTACTCATCTAAACAGTTTTCCGTAATGTCACATGAGTATTTTTCCTTGCTTCAAACATCAAGAGATTTGAATCAGGCGAATCCTGTTGCTAGATCAAGATATTGACCGAATTAATCGCCCAATTCCAGCAATGCTTCTTTTGTTCCCCCCCCCCTCCGCCAAAATTATTATCTGCAAAGCGCATCACCATCAGGATACCGGCAATTTTGTTCAAATGTCGGAAACAAATTTCCGCCATTTTCGGAATTGAGGGACCACCATCGAACACTTTGATGGAAATGAACATTCGCGCTACTATGTGCGAAATATTGAATGAACAAAATAAAGCGCATCAACTGGAAACCTTGTAACGTTTTTTTTTGGGGAGGAGCAACAAAATGCTCGTAAACAATTCGGTGCGGAAAAATTCCATTTTTTGGTGGCGGCGCTGCCCGACTTTTTTTTTCGGAAATTCGAGACCAAATAAAAGGCTGCAGCGCGGTGCGAAAAATTCATATTCATCAGAATTTGGAGCTGACTATGTTTTATTTTGTTTTTTTCACGACTGCCCTATATATATAAATGCGCAACTCTCCCACTCCATAAAACCAACCCCAAATTGGTTTTATTGTTATACTGAGCCTGGATAGACACCACTCTTGCGCGCTGCATGGATAAACTTTCACAGCAAAAAAAAACTTTGACATTTTGTTTGTCGATTTTGAAGAGTAGCGGACATTTTTGTCGCGCACTTGGCCCTGAGCTGCCGATTATTTTCCAATGAATAACCGAGTGAAACCCAGATTTATCTCGACACCACGTCTTTCCTTCTTCCTATGTAATTGCGCCCTAAAATTCAGCAACTCTCAGTCTGCTTTTGGTGAAATAGTGCATCCAGAAAAAAATTGCAATGAACTTTGAAAAAAAAACCGACGTCCTGATTTCTGTGCTAGATAAAAGATTGAACTTTGTTAATTTGAGTTTTGCAAGTTTCAATCTTTGATGTTTTGCACAACATTAATTCTATTTATATTTGAATTGTCCAAAATGTCTGCTACTGTTTTCTAGATAGAATATCCAAATTATTTTTTTCTGAATCCATCTAATCGTCAGGGAGTTCCTCAAATTTCATTCGCCATGCCATTCTCAAAATATAGACTCTCATATTTCTTTATATCCATTCATCGAATATGCAATAGTGATATTAATTCGGATCCTTGCAAAATTAATTATGCCCCCCCCCCATCTCTTTCACTTCCCGTGCGAAATTCTATAAACCGGAATTTCGACTAGGCAGCCAATAATCGAAATTGGTGGTCATATCGGGATACGAAAAAACGAGGGTCAGGGTCCTATTCTTTTTTTTGCAGCTAGAAACAGAAATTTGTTGCCGATTTTCTTGTATCTTTTTATTCAGCCTGCTCAACTCGTGTTTATTTGATTTATGGAAAAGTGTTGTGTGCTGGAAAAAAAACCACAGCCTTCCGAACAACATCTTCCGTCAATTTAGGCATGAACAAAAAGGAAAGGAAAATAGGATGAACGTGACAATTCTTCACCATTCTCTTTAGCTCCCCCCCCCCATGCTCCGAAAAATAGGCTAATGTATGACATGATCAAGAAAGCAATGCCTTATTCAATTGTGTTTGTGTCGCATTTATCCTTTCCTTCCTACTCTTCTCAAGTCGCGAAATTTGTGTTCCAACATTGAACAAGCCAACTCTTATTTTTAATTCATTCGCTATTTTCGATTCTGTACTTGGCTTCTGCTGCGCTGCTCTATACCCATTGAGCAAACTCATTTGCAGTTAATGGTACTGGTTAGAGATGGATTATAATGGGAAGAAATGAAGGCAATATGAAAAAGTCGTCGTTCGTGCTTCCATGTGCATCATCGGCACATCTGCAAGAGTATCAGCAGAACTCGCTCAAATCCACGTAAATCTTTTGTTATAATATCAATCATGGTATTTTTACTTATAAAGTTTGCTTACCCCATTACATTAATAGTGTAAAACGTCGAGATAGAATATCTCAAGTATTTGGAATGATCGTCTTGGTATAAAAATAGTTAGTCTAGACAGGAATGAGATGAATGCACTTTAAAGAACCTATGAATAAAAAATTATGATTCTAGCAATTTTAAAAACTACTCTAGAAACAAATAATGTTTTTTTGACTCTGCTAATTTTCGAACTTCTGAAATTTCTTTGATGCTTGAATTAATTCAATGTCAATATGACGTTTAGGATAGACATTTTCGGGAAAATTGAGAATTCGCAATTATTTTCAATAAAGGTGATGTGAAACTTCAATTATGTCCTTCTTGCTTCTCAGTTGAAACTACTTCCTTTTCCAAATATTAATAATTAAACAGTTGAAAAAGCATTCAAGAATATGTACGTCAGAATATAGTGGGTGGAAGCAAACAATGTGACTCTCCCTTGAACCACAATGTACGTAAAATGCTAAAAATTGAATAAATCAATTTCAATTTTGTTTTTGTTCCTCATTTGGACAGGGAGGGCGAGCGATTCGCAACGTACTCACTAAAAATCCCCAAAGGAATACACAACTGCTTTATCCAGATAGTCGCCCCACTTTCGCACATTCCATTTCGTTTCAGTTTTTCACACATCTCCCGTTTCCCGCTTCTCTCGTTTAAAATGAATCGAATTTAATAGAAAGACGTGTGACAAGTTGTTGAGAATTTTTTTTTCGTTTACTGTCCAAAATGCAATTATTTATAAATGCATTATAATGAGGCATTCCATTTGAGTCCGGCAATTTCATGCATAGATTAGACGATTGAACTCGACAAAAAAAAAACGTTTTTAATGAATAGAATGTAATGAAAAAATGGGCGAGGCTAATTGGAACTATTTTTTATGATTTTCAGCAAAATTGAGAATTCATCACAACAGCACAGCCCGGCCTCCAACAGCTCATCGGCCAAGTCGGAGGATAGCGGTTTGGAAGATGGATCGAAAAAATCAATGGTAACAATTTTTTCAATTCTCATATTTTTAGCAAAAAATATTCTATCAGCGCGATTTTTTTTCAAAAATTTTTTTTAAATTAAGAAGAAAGCTTTTCTATAGTTTTAAGTGTAGTAATTAATTCCGTTTATTCATTAAATGAATTTGTTTGAAATTTATTTTATTAATAGTATTTACATTTTCGAAAGCAGACATCAATCTCACCAGCTTTAGCTAAAATCCAAACGTTGGTTTATAACAAAAACTTTTATGCATTTTTCATTTTTTTTTTCGCAATTGATCCTGGTTGTTCCACGATTCAAAAACTCATAAAAAATACAATCCTTTTTATGGAAAACCATACCCATAAAGTCTTTATGCCCCAAAAAATATTTTGTATAGGAATTAATGTGAATAAAGATTTTCTGAAGAATCATATATACATATTCAATGGAAAAAGTTTTCTTCAAAGAAATTTTACCAAAGGAAAAACATTCGGCTCATTTTGAGCAATTATTCAACGGTATTACTTTTTTTCGGTTATGTTCTTACTTTTTTTTGGAACATGTTTCGCCGGGCAGTAGTTTATGCAATTCTTTTTCGACATTCTCAAAATTAGCTAGGCGTCTCAAATAGGCTAGTCAACGGCTCAAAGAGCGTAGTTTTTTTGCGCAAAATTTGATACCACTTGGGTCTTTTTTTTAGGCCGCCAAATCGATCTCGCGCAAGTCTTCGCGACTCTCCCAATCGTCTGGAATTTCGATGCCTCCTGTCCTTGAGCAACTCGAGCAAATGATTGTCTCTGATGAATGGGTCGGGAATGATTCGAACGTGGTTGGTATCACAAAACCCCATGCTCAACTCAATAAAACCCGGTTAGTGTTTCAATTATTGCAAAACGTGTGACAAAACAATTTTTATACAACTTAAATACAATATTAGTATCTTGTACAATTTTACGAGACGAATATTATAATTTCCCGGAATTGAATTCCTCGAAATTTGCAGATCTCGCGATGGACAAAGACTTTCGGAGCTTGGACGAACCCTTGTGACCTCGGCTTCCCTTAAATCCTACATCGATCTTCTTAGCAGCCATCATAGACAGAGCATTGCAGCTTGGCTGTATGGAAATGTTAACCACACTTTTAGCAACTTATTCAGGTATAACACAAAAATAAAGTTATCAGTATAGAATCAGATATGAACAAGATTTATTATATTTTCCAAATAAATCAATTTATTCCAATCAATCTTGAAAAATATAAAGTAATTAAAAAAACGAATTATATATATTAAACAAAATTATGATCTCTAACCTCCAGTAGCTTTAATTGTCGACCAGATTTGACAGAATTTTAAACAGTATTATCATTGAAGCGCACATAAGACCAAAAAATGCGTAAACTATAATATATGAATTTTTATCCTTAACTAAAATCAAATCTGATCTGTTTTCATCATATCTCTTTTATAAACGTTAAACTTTTCAGATTTCAAGATTCTCAAGTTTATTGTTCTGATGCCGAAGCAACACTTTCTCTTTCAATCCGAAATGGAATTGGTTTAGAACATGATCCTTGTTTGCAAATCTTATCTGCGTTTTAATTATAGGTCATGCCGTTAAACTTGCTTTGAAAAATGTCTATGGGGGCGATTATTCGACGAAAGGATGGAAAGTTTTCGTCGAGCAGGGATCACCAGTTGTCTATGTTTCGCCGGCATTGCACATGGATGTTTCAGCTTACTTAGCCTCCGAATTCGGAATTGCTGATGTCACAATTCTTCCGAAGATTGAGTCGGAATTGAGCGAGATTGAAGGAAGAATTGTAATGAGAATATAAAACATATATAAGGAATAATTGTTGATTTCCAGGATCACGTGGCTTTTGAAAAGATTCTCGATGAGGATATTGCCAACGGAAAGAAGCCACTTATTGTGATCGGCGTTGTTGGATCGACAATCCTCGGTCAGAATGATATGATCTCCAAGATTCTCGAAATTCGTAAAAACAAGTGCAACTTCTGGATTCATATCACCGGCCAAGCAATTGCTGCTCTTGCCTTCAGAGAGCCTAACAATGTTCTTGTTCACGTTCTTTCACAGGTTGACAGTTTGACTATTCCTATGGCTCTATGGCTTGGAATCCCTTCCGCTCCAGTTGTGGTAATCTACTTAAATTCTAATATCAGTAATATATGGATTATTTAAGACTCTTCATAAACAAGTGGAGAGCTACAAGGCAACATATCGCGAGAAGCTTGATACATTGCCATGGTGGGTGGCGACTTCTTATCTGACTGGAAAGAAAATCGTGGATATGATTGAAAATGCTTATCTCTTGGTAATCAATTAGAATTTTTTAGAAGTGACATAAGTTTCTTTCCAGAGCAAGATAATGCTGAAAGGTCTCTCAACAAACTCGCAGATTGAAATCGTTGGGGTCGAAAATCCAGTTGATTTCGCTAACCGAGTTTACAAAAACAAATACACCGCTCCAACCGTTCTCATTTTCAAATACCGCTACGATAACATCAAAGCGTCGATCCAGGTGAGAATCGATATCAAAGTGCATTATCGAATACGATCCTTTTCAGAAACACAAGGAACTAATCGAGAAAAATGAGGATCATGAAGCGATCGCTCATGCCGAGAAGGTCTTGAAGGATGAATTAGAATATGGGGATTCACTTAACTCTTGGGTAATATATACATTTTTTGTGAAACTATCAATTGAAAAGCTATGTGATTCAGCTTGGACAAGGACTTTTGGCTGAATGCCAATCTCTTGGAATCGACATGATTGATCTTGGAGGGAATCATGGAACTGCTTTCCGGTTCTGCCCGTTGGAGCATGCAGCAAGTAGGATATCACGTGTTTTTTTTTTAGCAATAATCATGTATTTTCTAAATTTCAGCATATTCTTCTCATGTTGACCACGTTCAACGCTTCATCAGACAAATTTCGGACATCATCCGAATTGTTGACTCGACGGTTGCTGCGAAATCAATGTTTGCCGATTTAAAGGACGAATTCCCGTCGTTGACATTGCTCCCAATCCAGAAATGGGCTGGAATTGGAGCCGTCTGTTACATTCCGTCAATTGTCAAGGAGACTAATCCGGAAGAATGGAATGATGTTCAGAAGCAACAAATTTCTCATCTCAACTTGGAGTTGGTTCACCAATTGCGAAGCGTCGATACAGCATTCTCTTCAGGGGAGAGCACCAGCTACGGGGTGCGCTTGAAAAAATGTCACAATTCTGAACGTTTTTTGTGATTTATAGGTCTCTTGCGTCAAATTTGGAATGCTTTCTGATGCGAAGGACTTGAATGATTTGGTTCAAATGGTCGCCCAAAAGGGAAAGGAAATTGAAAATAGCCAGCAGGTAGACAAATGTTTCGAAAATCATTTGGCTATGAGTGCATTTCAGTATCTTGACAGTTTGGCTGAATTGATTCGACAGGGAATTGAGGCTGCCAACGAGCATTTGAGAAAGGAAAATGACATGCGTCTTCAAAACGAGGTAATTTCCAATCAAATTATAAAAACATGTTTGAAATTGACGTTTTCAAGGGTGTGATTAGACAACTTCCAATTATGGGATCATTGGTTAATTGGCTTTCTCCACTTGATAAGGAGACACAAAATATTCGCGGTAGAACGTTCAACTTGAAGACTGGTATTTTTCAATTTTAAGAAAATCATGACAAATTGTGAATTTTAGGAGAGATCAAGGAAACTGAAGTGCTCTACAAAACTAGCAAGACTGGAGAATCAAAGACACCAATGACACCTATTGAAACTCCACAGGTAATCAAAAGATAATTTGATGTTAATTGTTTTTTTTTTCTTTTCTAGGCTCCTCATGACTTCTCCTCAAAGCGCGATGAAACGATTAGCCAGAAAATCGAAGAGCAACCAGATGAAGAAGAAAAATCGGCAATTGAGGAAGCTAAAGAAGCTAAAGAAGCTACGGAAACTATTAATAATGGGCAAAATCAGAAAACAACTCTTTAAATATCCATTGTAAAAAAAACGAATTAATTTTAATTGTTTTCACATCAAAACAATTTTTCTATGACCGGTTTTACATGAAACTGTGATTCAATTCACAATCACCCTAGCAACGTATTTTCCAACTGAGTTAATACATAATAATCCACACTTCCCTTCTTCCTTGCTAAAACCACGAAAACGGCAGCAATTTTTGGGATTTGATGCATTTCTAACATATTTATTTATTTTTTACTGATTCATTCGTTTTTTATAATATACTGAATAAAAACATCCGGGATAAATATCAATTTGATCACAAAAAAATGTGCAAACTAAATAAACCATGGAACAGTATAGAATAGAGATCACAAATGGATCTAATTAATGCGATAATGGAATGAACTGATTGAATGTTAGTACATTTGAAATAATAATTACAGAAATTTTACAGATTTAGAAAAAAAACAAATATTATATTGTCAGTTATATTGGTTGTTTTCTGGCATCTGGAATGTTAGCTGATGGATTGTTTGACCTTGCTGATTTGTGTGAGGCAAAACCATTCCTGGCTGAAGTGGAATTATCTCAGCGGTTGGGAATGCTTGAAGGATAAGGCTAGGATCGACTTGGATGATCGTTGGTTGGTCATACTCCTCAACGCGAACCTTGCGAACACGTCTCCATTCGCCATTGGGATGGTCCATCTGTGAACATTTGCTTTTGTTGACGCTAGATGCTGAAGTTATCTTACATGAAACCAAGTCTCGACAATTCTCCGAGCCAGCTTCCCGTCTTGAACTATCGGCTCCTCGTGCTCCGATAAGCGGACCGTCTCTTCATCGGGAGTGAACGGCTTCTTGTCTAAAATTAAAGCAGCTCTTATTTTTGTAGCCATTTCCCCAGTTCCTTTACAAATAGCAATTTTAGAGGTATTCCGACGGGTGATTCAAATCTATTGAATACATTTTTCCAAGTTGATAATGACAAAAACCGGAACTCGTATAGTGAAAAGATAGAGAGGTTGGTTTCGACATTCATTCCAATTAACTAATTTTTCCACCTGACAGAATTGTAACCACTTGAACACACGTAATTAATACGAAATTCTTAAGAAGCATACGAAACGGTCAATTATTTCAATTCGTAGGAAATATGTTTTTTCTGTTAATGTTTGTTCTCTTTCAAAAATAACTATTTTGACATTTTTTTTCCATTCTGTTTCACTATACGGCAATTATCTATTGACACATGGTCAGACAACTTGATTTTTTGACAAAATTGCGTTAATTTTTTTTCCCGACGTTGAAAACACAATTTCGGTCTACATGATAAAATCGGATTTTGTAATCAGGTTCAATTTGTGGTGCCCTTTAAGCGTAAATGTCCATATTTAGAAATTTGTTCTTTGATACGTGACATATTGAGATTGAAGTGGTTCATGCAGTTAACCAAAATCTTCGAAATAAGTTTTCTACAAGAATTGTTGATTATATATATATATATATATATATATATTTCCATTTTATTACTCTTCCATTGTATTACTAATTTGATCGGTATGGGATATATTTCTTTTGACAACTAATTACCCTTTAATTGATTTTCGATACCTTTGCCTTTCTAATTTTCAACAGTTCAATATCCTCACTATATTACCAAAAAAACAAATACTAACATAGCTCTCCGGCGAAAAATTCGATAATCTTCATCTTGTCTTCTGGCGTCAGAACATTTGCATCGCGGAAAATCTCCTCGCGCTGAATCAATATCTCTTGCTGTAGCTGCTGAAATGTTTGACTATTTTAAGCATATGCAATTTGTAGCAGCCTACGAGAGGTATTGGCGGGGGCTGGCCATAAATGGGCGTGTTCACAATATGCACGGGCTATAAATACGGAGATTTTGCTCGATTCCCGCCTGAATTTTCACTAACCATTCTTCCGGCTTGAAGCTGCTCCATCTGTTGCTGCCCGATAATAACCATCTGCGGCTGCTGCTGCATCTGTTGTACCTGATGCTGTTGTTGCTGATGCTGCTGGAACTGCTGTATTTGCATCTGATGCATTTGCTGTAATTGCATTTGTGATATTTGTTGCTGTGGCAGTTGATTTGGCACATCACGAATTGGCATTGGTTGCGGAATTTGCTGAAACAACAATTGCCGTTTTCATTTTATTTATGATTGATAGCAAGAACGTAAAGAATTGTAAATACTTAACCGCTCGCTCTTCAGTTTTCTTTGCAAATCCTCTATCTCTCTCTCCTTTTTATATAATAATTCAATTTTCAGCAAGGCCTACACCTCTCAGCAATGGTTTCCATCAATATAACCGTGCCAGTACGTCAAAATCTCAGCAACCATTTCATGAATGACCCCACACCGGCAGTAAGTTATTTCGATATGATTCGAATTTTCTGCCTCAGGTAATAACGGTTACGTCACATTGAATGCCCCGATAATGAAATTTGCGTTTTAATTTTTGAGCGACCATTAATTAGGAATCAATAGGTTACCTTTACCCTAACCGGAAACATTGGGACATCATTCGCTACCCTTTGTTGACTGGCCATCTGCTCTTGGAAATTGCCCGTTTGCATCTGATTCTGGATGATTTGGCGCTGATGCTGCAAATTATTGCGCAGCGATTGCGCCGCTGGTGTGCTCAGGAACATTTGCTGATTGCCATTCTGCATTTGTTGCTGTTGCTGACTATTATTATGCATTTGCTGTTGCTGGTGTTGTTGTTGCTGTAGTCCGAATAGTGGTTAAACATTAGCCAATTGTTAGGAATTTACCTGTGCTGCCTCAGCTTGAGCGCGATTGCGCTGCATTTGAAGAATCTTTTGCTGCTGCGACAGTTTCGCAGCTTGTTCTTGGCGAGCTCTCTCATATGGATCCATGTTTGAATTCTGGGATTGCATTTGAACCTGAACTTGAGGTTGCATAGGATGATGCAATTGTCTTGGATGGTCGATATGAGATAAGGTTTGATCCTGTCTTGGCATCGTAGTTGCGTGAATTTGCATCTGGTTATGCTGATACTGTTTCTGTGCAGACTGTTGAGCATTCCTTGAAGACGAGGGTACATTATTGGCCTGAATGGAATTTAATTGTCGTTTAAATGAAGATTCATTCTAACCGAAGGATCCATCATCATCATAGCTCTTTGACAATGAGCTTTCTTACGATCAAGCTGCTCTTGTAAGCGTTTCTCCAAAGCTGCCTGGGCGGCGGCGGCCTTGCTACGAATCTCATTTTCAAACTGCTGAAATGTCTGTGGAGACGGAATTCTCGGAAACTCTTCCACCGGCGCGGCCTCTGCCGCTTTTTCAGGAGTTGAATGCGTCGCGGCCTCTGTCTTTGGTTGAGGTTGAGATTGTGGTTGACGTTGTGTAGTCGATGCCGCAGGTCGGTTTTCAGCTGCCGCATTTTTACGCGGCGTTGTCCGGGGAATTGCGATTTTCCTTTCGGTCTTCGCATGAGCTGCCGCCGCTCCTTGTTTTTCCAGCTCGGCTTTTGCCTTCTCCTCCTGCGCTTTCTGTTGAGCCAAACGTTTCGCCTCCTGAAACAGCGGCAGAGTAAGAGTCAAAATTTCATCGAATTCATTGCAAACCTCTTTCTCCTTTTTAAGTTCCAGCGCCCGCTGCTTGGCTTTTTCTTTTTCCTCGGCTTTTCGTTTGGCTTCTTCCTCTTTCTCAACCTGTCGCCGTTTTTTCAAACTAGGTGGCAAATCAGCAATATCTGCAGAAATAATATGAGAATATCAACACAAATTTTTAATAGTACCCAGCAACATAGCACCTCCTTTCTTTTGAGGAAGTGTTCGCTGAAACTTCTTCGGCTCATTGGTGAATCCTCCATTGAGTTTCCACGTATTATGCGTTGGAATTCCTTTCATCGGTACTAAAACATTGGCAAATAAAATGAAACGTGTCAACATATAAATTTCTTTATTTTATATTTATAATTCGAATTTACGATCTTCGTGGCCGTATAAAAAAATACATACGCATGGGGGCATTCAAAATAATAATATTGAAATTCATTTGTATCTGTTTAGAAATTTCAGCAAAGAGAGCGGACATACATATAAGGTATTTAGTAAATTGGTTACACCCATACCATAAAAATTTCAATAAAAGAAAACATGTCTAAAGAGTGATGGTGTTGCTAATTAAGAGCGACGATTTTTGCCTAATTGCTCAAAATATGTTTTTCAAAATATTTATGTTTTTTTCAAAATTCTATTTTATGAAAATAACGCAATTGTTTGCATTTGTCTAAAAAACAAAAGACGAAAACATTCATTGTGAATATGATATGAATCCATTTTTGAAAATGACTTACGTTTATTATTCGGCAAACGCTGTGTTGATCGCATTTTGATTGGTAATGCTGTTGATTCTACAGCGGTTGAAGTTAAAGATGTATTTTTCTGAGATGTTGATGGTTCTTTTGAGCCTAAAACAAGTTTTTGATTGAAACGGCCATTGTCATTGAAATGAGTACTGCTAGGTTTTCTTTTCTCGAGGTCTTGCTGAAATATGAATGATCGCGGTCGTTTTTTCAGGATAAAATGATTCGGCGAATCTTTTCCGGGGCCAAACGCTTTCTGAAATCCATCAATCGCGAGGTAAGGCTTATTGGTTGAAATTGTCTACCTTTAAAATTTTCTTCACAATTCCTCGATAGATTTTCGAAACAAGTTCGGAACCTTCCTCAGCTGAATGCGTTCTCACTGAAACATGTTATACAATATTAAAACGTAAAACTCCATTATTTAAGAACATACGAAAGTTGGTCAACTCATCAATGTCGTTTTGGACATCGTCTGAATATTCGTCTCTATTCAGACCACCGGATGATGGTAACATTCTAAACGAAGCAGATATACAATGCCCTTATAGATTATAATTTACTTGTAGGTTTCAGCTACGGTTTCAATCCACTCGTCCCCGTCACGCCTCGTTACATCTAGCAAGCGATTAATGTGAACTTTCCACTGAAAATAGTGTTAAATGTGTATTGAAGTTCGATTTGCTTACCGCTTTTTGCTCTTCATCGCTTACATATGCAATGCAGATAAGAAACTTGAGCTTCGTTTGAGTAGTTAATTGCTGAAATACGGGATTTGATCAAATTACAGCTTAAATTAGCATACTTGAAAGCAAAAATCGAGTTCCTCCAGCATATCTTTGCTTAGCAATTCGACATTATTGCATGCTGCCCAGTAGTCTGTTTCTCCAAATGTCATTTCGAGATACTCGACCTAAAAAACGCGTATATATAAAAGTAATATCGTACTATATCTACCAAAGCCTTGTCTTTTAAACTAGCAGCATAATGCCGTTTTTGATGCAGTTTTGATTGGCCAGACTCGTCAAAATCCATTTCAGCTGGCGATTCCTGCTCGCCTTCTGGCTCCATTTCATTATCCGTTTCATCATCGGTGAATGAGTGCATCTATCAAAATGAACAATTAGTAATGTATCTTTAATAAAAACACAAATGAAAACGACCGAAGGAAAAAAAAAAGTGTTCCGAGACGAGACATGGAAATAGTGTGCGATGGTGAGAGAGATCAATGCAGTTAGACAAACATGTGCAATACGATGAACGCAGGACACACGAAGAAATCGGCTATAGGACGCGATGTCCTCCTTTTATAAATATGTGAACATTCTTTATCAAGGCTTGATAAGGCAATTAAAGCGAACATTTTTTTAACTGGATAATATTATAATTATACTTTAGATCAGTAAATTTCGGATTAAAAGGTTTTTTTGTATCAAATTAAGAGAAAATTGTGGACGAAAAATAAGTCACGTTTTCGATTGTTGTAATCTCGATATCGAGATGTTTGATCGATTTTTTATGATGAGATCTGGCGTAGATTTTAGTGAGAAGATTTTGGCTAGATTTGCGACAAAGCCTTCAACACCAGCATTTGCAAAAATCAGAGAGAAAAAAGAAATGTAGATGAATCTCAAAGCAAAACTAAACATTTAAAAGGAAAACATAGAAAAGTTAAGAATTACATGCATATCTATAACATCCATTAGAAGAAAAAACAACATTAATATGCAGATTGTCAAAAACATATTTGCAACTGGTTTTTTTTTTGAAATCTAAATAGTACCAACATCATAAATTTTGAATTTTTTTTTCTTCCATGTTTTCTAATAAGAGAAATAGTTTTCAACAATGCGTATTTTTTTGTTCAGCTATTCTTCAAATTCTATTGTGTCAAAATTTTCAATTTCAGAACAATTTTCGAAAAGAACCTGATTTATCATGATGATGATTTCAATTTTGTAATCAAATGAATACTTGCAATTGTGAGCAACGGCTTCAGGGTTCTTCATTAAAACTAAAAAGAAGAACAAATTGATTCATACGCTTAATCCAATGGGGGGAGTTTTTGGGTCGAAACGGAAACATAGTGCATGCATTTGACTTGCCCTTTGAAATTAGTCCAATTTTCGATGTCACATGCGATTTCGCCCACTTATTCAATACGGATGTATCAGTTTGGCTTAGTCTGGCGTGAATCGGCGAAAAACCGAACATTTGATAGCAAATGATTGATAAAGATAGTTATCTGGATCGACTTTTATACATAAAAAACTATTTGATGACCAAATGCATGTTGACATAATTTATTGTTAATGGGGAGAAGAAATCTCATGATCAGCTTGATATAATGTGAAAGTTTGCTAATCAAATCACCATTAGCAAAAAATGCATTATACACATATTTAATGGTGCAACGCATGGTTTAAAAGTTTGATTAAAAACGAACAGCTCAAAATTAGAGCAAATAAATTGAGAACTAAATATTTATAATGGGATTATGGCGATTGCGAAAAAAAAAACTATTTTTGACATGTATTTCGAGTTTTTCTTCAATATCTACAAAGTACAGTAAGGCAGGTGAAAAAATATTTATTAATTACAATTTCAAAAACAATGTTTAGTGTGTCACATGCTTTTCTGATTTGATTCTTCTTTAATTATTTGTTTTTCGATTTTTCAAAAGACTTACACATCGCTAGTTCACGTTCGATTTTCCATTTCGAAAACTAATAAATAACAATTTAAAAAATTTCATTATCATTAACCATCACATTTTACCGAGAATTGGTGATAAATCTAATTAGAGAATGCACAGAAAGTATCACTAGGATAAATTTGCAAAGAGTTGAAGTATGAATTAAATGGGGGAAGGAATCATTTTCACGCTGAATATTGAACATTTAATGTTTCCATAGACAGCCCAAAAAGAAACCTCATAAATATCATTAAATAAAAAATCTGAGACGGAAATTTCAATAAATATTTATACGATAGCAAGCTCAGTATAATCTATTTTTGTTTTTAAAGACACAGTATTGTCATTTTCTGAATTTTTTTAGTGAAAACATCTGGTTTAATTGCAGTTTTCATAACGTAATTACTCATTGATTTATTACTAGCTTCATCCGAATGTCAGATTCTACTACCAGATATGTGTTTAAGAAAGCTATTCGCTGCGACAAAATTACTTTGTTAGTTGAACTGTCCCTGAATCCAACAAAGTTGAAAAGAATATGTGAAAAATTGATTTAACCATTTTTTTCAATAATTTTTATTTCGGCCAATGTGAAATTGATTTTTTTGTTGTTGTATAGAAATTCACCAATGTTACGTTTTAAATTTTCAACAATTTTGACAATCCATTTTATAATAATTAAGGAATACCATTAAACTAATAACGTTTTCTAATCCAACAAAATAGAAAATTGAAACAGAATTCAACAATCAGTAACAATCATTGCCAGAAATGGAAAGCATGCAGCAAATCCCTATAAAGTAATGTAATTTTCGCATTAGTTTTCCGAAAAAATAATCGTTGTTCAACACAAAAATGAAATACGAATATTATCTTCGGAGGAGATGCTCAAGAAAAAATAAAATCTGGAATTGTAAAAAAAAATGGTGGCATACATTTTTTAACAAACATTACAATACTCTTTAGAATATAGTGTTTTACCTTTATCAATTTTATATTTTTTTTTGCATATCGCATAAATTGAGCTGAATGACGGTATCTTTTCGAATCATTAATATAGTTTGTCAATTAACAGCAAACTGTTTTATTCATCAATGAAATTGAATGTATTCTTACAGAACAAGTCATATAGTATAATAGGTAGAAACCTATTAGTCAACATGTGACCAGCTACATTAAAAAGATCGAACACACATACATTGTACCAAGAAAGACCAACATAACTCAATGAATAGCAAATTTCGTATGTATTCAATTTTTCAACTAAAATCCGACCGAAATGTTAAGACACGTATGCACAATTGACGTTTAAATTTAAAAAAAAGTCATTATAATTCAATTTTTGGAAAAAATGGAAGTGGTGAATTTAAAAATCAAATGAAAAAAGGAATGGGACATTTTCTTATATTCAGGCCTCAATCATCAACAATGGTACGCGTGCTGAACTGGGAGTGGGTATGGAGCAACCTAAAATTGAAAATAATTATTTGATGTTTTAAGTTTATGAATTACCGCATGGTTATGCGATTGAAGAACTTTTCTTTCAATGCGAAAGATTTCCATGAAGAGTGGTGGGAGTGTGATGGTGTGTGAATTCTCACGAAGAAAACGCAATTCAAAGTTGTGATAAGCACCTGAAAATTGAAAAACCAGCGTTTTTGAAATGTATCGTTTGTCTCATACTCATTTCACGAAGTGTTTTTCTGAGCTCAATGAGCCGCATGTGCAGGCCTTCGCCATTAATCGCACTGTCAAGTAGTCGTTTATGAAGTGTTGCGATCATAAGGTCGTTGATGCGGTAGACAAATGACGCCGAAGTGCGCTCTAAGCAGCTATCTGAAAGTTATCAGTTACTTTTAATTGGAAATATTTCGTATTTCACCAGGAGTGGTGAGTAGAACCGCCACATAAAGTCCAATAACATCATCACTTAGGGCCATCTGGTTGAGCTGATTGCAAAAGCTAAGCATCTTCTCAGCAAGTGTCCCGTAAAGCAGCTGAAGAGCTGAAAATTCGATCAGCTTGCCGTCCGACAATAAAAGTCCTTTTTGGGAAAGGCCACGAGCAATTCTGACCAAGTAGACCTCGAAGAAGGAATTCTAAAATTGTTTCGTTATTATTGAATTTCTTCCAATGAATTAACCTTTAAAAGAATCGCTTGATCGTCAGCTTCCAAATTAACGAATTGCGGAACATTTTTCGCAAACGACACTATACTTTGAAAGTCGGGTATAATCTCCTGTGCGTAATTCTGCCACGCGTTCAAACGATTCTCGAGATATGACATGTTGTCCCGAATGCCCTGTAATTCATATGATCAAATCTACTCGCGATTAACAGAATGATACCAAATTGAACACTTTCGGAACCATTCCACGAACTTTGATGATTGTGTGTCCGCAATGTAGCATGTGTGCCTCACTGATCTTTTGAACTATCTAAAAAAAAATCCGAACATTGGTCTATATCATGTTTCGTAATACCGAAATATACTCCGATGCTTTTGGCTCTGGTGAAGTGCTTGAGGAGACTTCAGCCTCATCTTGTTTAACAGAACGCCGACCACCTTTTGATTTACGTACAGCTGAAATTGATTTTGACGTGGTAGGAATTCAATTCTTCTACATCTTACAATCTCTCGACATTCCGGCTTCGATGCACTTTCTGAATCGGCAGTGCTGACAGCGATTTCGGCTTTCGCGCTTCACGACGCAATCTTTGTCGCGATTACACTTATACTCCATTCGTTTCTGAATGCTACGACGGAAGAATCCCTGAAAAAAAATATTAAATTTTTCTAAACACTTTTTTTTCTGTAAAAAACAAAACAATTAGGTGGATTAGAAAATAATTTTGAAGACGAAATGATGAATTTGGAAAAATGCTCTTCTTACACTGGTTTTCGATCACTCTCTAAAAACAAATTGACGTGTAATTCGTTACAATAAAATATTTTTAAAAAAAATTACAAATGTTCTTTTTTTTTCAAATTAAAATTGGAAAATGGGTATTTTTTTAATATTCCATGAATACTTCCATTAATGAGTTCATAACTTTTATTCTTGCCACTGCGCTGCTTAGTAAAGCCAAAAGCTCTTTAAGACTGAAGGTGACACGCTAATAAAATTACTATAACAATGATGTGTGTGATTATTTAAAAAAATAATTAAATATGGAAATTTTTATATGAATAATAATCACTGGTTTAGTATTATCATTAAACCAAGCACTTTCAAAACCCATGTTTTCATTTTTTTCCCGTTGCAAATCGCTGCGAGTTCATTTGCACATTTAAATTTCGTTTCAATTTATTGTCTTTGTGCACTTTGTGTCGCAGTTTTTTTTTTTCGCCAGTGCATGTCTGTGTCGTACCAAATGGTTTTTTAGACACTTGGCCTGCGCACGCGCATTCGTTTCATTTGTCAATCCTTGATTTGAATTTGAAACGTGACAAAATAATGGCGAATTGAATGGACCAACTGCTCCGCACTTCTAATTACTCTTTACACTATTTGGAAAAAAAAACCGTTGGACGCGCATTACTGTGCAATGGTATGTAAGGCTATTGCGCAATTTTAGACAATCCATCGAGACAGCGCGCAGTTGGCATATGCATTATAGATAATGTGCCATTGGAGTGTTGAAAGTGAGGAAACTCAGAATATCGACGCAATCGCAAGCAAATACAAGATTGAGGATTGTTTTTCACGTCGTTCGTGCGAGAGATGAGATATTAACCAATTATTTGCGAATATTTGTCTTCTACTAGAAGTATGCGTCATTCTAATTTCTCACCTTGCATCCTTCGCATGATGTTACACCATAATGGTAGCCGCTTGCTTTGTCGCCGCAAACTTTGCAGAAATTCACTGCTTTGCTTGGAGCTGAAGATGTTGAAGACGGAGCATTTATGGGCGAGATTGAGCTTGATGATGTCACTGAAAAATTATCATAGTTTATCTGGATCTTGTTAAACGTGTTAATGAAGCAGCTATAAGTATAATTAAATTCGAATTAGCACATCATCTCAAACAATCCGAATTTTTATTAGAAAAAAAAACTACACCATCATACCACTTAGACAAGAACTCGACAATAAACGATCAAGAATTTGTGCGTCTGTAATAGATGAAATCATAACCATCTGTGTTTTCCTTATTTCAATGCTATAAATGATGTCATCCCGCGAGAAATTACCATAAATCGTTCCCACTTATATTCACTTCAATTCGACATAAGTTTCCCATTATTCGCCCACACTCTTTGTACTATTCTTTTATGATTTTATTGCGAGAATGAATGCGTGCATAAAATCAGTGGAAGTGAGCAAATGCGCAAGATTGCCGATTGCGCAACTTCGACAGCGCTGCTCGACGTCTGTTGTTCTTCTCTCCTCTTTTGAGCTCCGCAAACCGTGCATTTACCCGACTCGCAATTTGAGAACTCACGCCTGCCACCACCACCTTCACTCGCTCTTTTTCATCGGAACTCTTCCAACGGATCGTGAACTATTTTCGGAACTATGCCGAGCAGCGCTTCTTTTTCTTCTATTTTTTTCATGATGCTTCTGCTGCTCCCGCTGCCGTCTCGTCATCCAATCATCAATTCTCTAACACTAGACAACGATGCATCTTTGTGATTTGGCAACATTTTTTGATGAGAGCCCAATTGACAGAGTGATGCGCCTCATCAATTAAACGAGTCTTTAACAAAGGAATTTTGCAACATTTCGAGAGCGGGACACATGTTCAAGTCGGAAAGAAGCGAGAAAAAAAAATGCTCGATGGCTGTCTCGGTGCCAGCTTTTTTTCAAATTGCACATTTCATCTGTCCCTCAAAGCAAAACACACTTACAGCTCATTGATGAGTTGCTGGTATCCGCGTAGATCACTGGCGGCATGTAATTTGTGGAATCAAAGGAAGACGGGAAAAACTGATTCGTAGCTCCTTGCGGTTCATCTAGATCTTTGAATGTTGTTCCATAGCTTGAAAAATCTTGAGTATTAGACACCAATGATCCGCTGGTATCATAACCCTAAAAATTAAATAATTAATTGGAAACTAATTAACTGCTAATTTACCTGATATGCATTGTAATGGGATGGAGCCCATCCCTGAGGTGGGCTGTCACAATCGGCTCCCATGTATTTCAAGTTGGTTTCCGTGATCGGAGCAGCGGGAAGCGATGACTGGCAACTGCCAGTTGATGTCAAAACCGTCAAATATGTGCGTTCTTCAGGAAACTGATTATATGCTTGAGACGCGGCGATGTTCTGATTTCCTATCGGCGATGGCCCTTTGCTCTCCATCTGTAATACTATGTTAATCATATTGACAATCGCGAAAGGTGCGAAATATAAAATGAAAAAAATTTGGCGCACAAATACGAATATGTCGAAGGAGCAAAAAAAATGGCTTATGAAACAAGTCGGAATGGAAACGGCGAAGTAAATCCACAGGTGCATCAGCGCAAAAAAACAGCAACAAAACACATGGAGGGAATTGAACGGACCAGGAGACTCGACGCCACCTCCGACAACATGGTCGAAAAATAGCGGAGAGCCGCGTTGCGCGTTCGTGTTGTGATGGTATCTTGTCCGTCGCGTGGTTCGGCAAAGCGGACCTTCAATGTAGCGCTAGTCGAATGGGGGAGGGGGGCGTGGTCGAGCTACCGGCTCAGGGATGCTCTGCGGTGGGAGGAGTTCATCGCATACAATTAGGTGTTGCGAGGTTCAATGAAGTTGGGAAAGAAAAAAAAAGAAATACAAAATATTCAATTGTTCGAATTTCATATTATTAATGAAATTAATTAGCTAGAAATTTGTTTAATTAATGTGTTAAAATTATAGTTATAATTTAATTAAACACAATGTCGGTTCTTTAGTAGAATATTCTCTAAACACGGTTTCATTATGTCTTGTTTATTACCTGTCGGCGTGGTTGCCTAAACAGATGTCTCTCTAGCTGCTAATTGCGGTATTCAGGAACCGAGATTAAAGAGACTCTCTCTGTAGTGTGAGCTAATCGGATGCAACAGTAAGCAACGGGAAAGGTGCCAATTAGGTTGGGTGTATTTGGTGCACGTGCTACAAGAGCGGGGTGTTTTTTGTGTATGCATATATGTGCATGAAATGAAAATAACAGTGTATATTCTTTGAAACAAAGACGCAAAAAACTAGCCAATTATCCCATTTGAATTAATGAGTACAATGAAAACGGCATTCACGAAAGATTGTCGTCAGAAGCAGCTACATTAGAAAAAAATCAACGCGCTCGAAAGCTTGCATGATGAGTCTTTCTAGTGTTAATGTACCTTGATTGAAAGTTGAACAAACTTCTGATAACACCTGTCACATCATCAGATGTTAGTTTGGTTTCAATTTTTTTGCATCGCAGACCGAGAAAATCGCAACATCGGCGTATCTGAGTGTGTGAGAAGTGTGTGAAATGCTCAATCAATTTGATAGAGCCACTTGTCTCATAATTATCATTTTTTTATGAAATAGAATGTTGTATAGATCAAAAAACAAACTATTTAAAAAAATCCATTCAATTGTCTCTAATAATGCATTGGAGCGACATTTTTCGTGTAAACAAGCAGCTTCCTCTAGCGGTAAATATGCAGAAAGGTCGGCAAATGGGTAAGGTTTTGGGGAAATACGTGAATCATAAAGAACATGGCACAAAACACGGCGAGTGGCGGAACATCTTTTGAGTGTGACTCGCCAAATTTGAAGCGTACATGAGCCAGATTGCTCGCACCTGCCACATCGGTGTGGCATGGCAGTTCGTTTTTTGAACTGGCACCAATTTGGCACGTGGAAGATCAAATTGAATAGAAAAAAGTGGTGAAACTGAAAAATTTCGAGAATTACGACTAAACGAATGTCAATGATTTTGGTATGTGTCGTACTTTTACTTGCACCCGTAATCAGTCGGCTGTGTAACAAGATATATAGCAGACACTAATGGTTACCAAGACCACATTTCACAATTTCTGCAACAAAAACGAACACAGTTCTTGAATACAAAAATTGTTTTGCAAAAATTGGTTTTAAGAAAACTGCAGTCAGCTACTATTGATTTTCGTCATCTGCTGAAGATTGAGAGCTCGCAAGTTTTTCATCAAATTGTCGATTTGAATTTGCAAAAATTGGAATACAAGAAATACGCAATGATAATGGTCGGAAATGGAATAATACTAGACTTGAGACGGAAAGAACGAATGGCAAATAAAACACACAAGCATTACCATTAATGGGCACCTATTACTATTTTCCGTCCGAATAAATTGCACATACATATTTATATGAAATATCAGAGAGGAATCGCGCGTTTGAATTTTGTGCTTTCGATTATAGTGGGTGGATCAAATTCGACGACGTGGAAATGCGGATATACTCAAAAGAAATTCCAGAGCGTACACATCGTTTTAAGTCATTTCCGTTGAGCATAATCTTAAATGACGTGATTAGATGCATCCATTTAAGAAAGTATCATGATTTTATGAGAGGAAATTGAACATCTGTCTACGTATTTTCGTATAATTTTTGCATTAAAAATTGTCTCACCCACTCACGACGATGATTTTGTTGTCGAAATCATGGAATTGCATTCCCCCGTTAACAAAAAAAGAAGAGAAATTGAAGAAAGTTTAAAAACTATGAGATTTTGCGAGAATTTGAATGACAGTAGTTTGTGAGTGGGAATTTCTTTGCACTATTTGGTAATTATTATGTTAAGAAACGGAGAGTATTCAGCATTTAACATTACTGTTAGGATTTATAAAAAAAAGAGCGATTTGTAGTATTTTTTTAAGAAAACAAATTTTATCTTATAAAATAAAATTTGAACGAATATTAATATTCTCAATATATCAGATAATTTTCAAAAGAGTAAATGGAAAATATTAAAAAATGATTATTCAATATTTCATGGGTCCTTCGGAATATATAAATGGTGGAAACGCTTTTTTTAATAATTGATATTTTGGTTTTATTTTCTATCGATATGTGGGCGTTACAAATTGATTAAAAAACATGAAACACCGATCTCGTCAAATTTGAAGATTTTAAGTTATAGACGAGTTGGAACGAGACAAACTCTCAAACGTTTAGAGATTCAGCATAGGTTTTGATGATTTATAACGGAACTCTTGCCATGAAACATTGAAGCGAGCGTTGAGAGATTGGCAAGAGTGTTGTTTTGAAAATGATATGATATTATAAACAAAACCGTATGAATTATTAAATCGGCAAACTTCAAATCGAAGGCATTTTTATCAAAAAAAAAAAAATAATTTTGCTGGCAATGGGCTTGATACGGGTTAGTAGAACCAAGAAAATGAAGCCATTTAAAGTATTCGTGCAGCGAGCAAAGAAAGTATGTTAAAACGTCGATTTAAGGGGATGATGCCTCTCTTTTTTTTCAAATATATTTTCATTTGATTCGAACGATTTTAATGTAATTTCGTATTCTTTATGTGAGAGACATATTTAATTGAAAACGTTCGCGCGAGTAAAATGGCTCATTGGAAGAAAGAGACAAGAAAACATCTGTAGTGCAAACACGAGAGACAAAAAATTCGCGTCGTCCCCACCAAAATTTAAATAGATCTATGCAAATTAATCTTAAGGCCGACAAATTTGCGTGGAAAAAATGAGAGCAAAGTGAACACAATTTTCGTCTTATAGAATATAGTATGAAGGTAATGTGTGGACTTCCAAAAACGTTTTTTTTTTTGAAAACAATTGCTTATATTTTTTAAGTGCATATGTTCTGCAATGTAATTTCGAAAATTTTCAAAGGTTGTTTTGACAATGAAACTAACTTTGGCAAACATTTTTTGCTCAACTCAACTGCTAGCGGCCAGATTTTGCCATTCAAATAGAATGCCCAGATTTGGAGACGGATGTACGTCGGATTTTATATATAGTTTTTATCTAACATGGTCATCTGAGCCAGGCTCTCTGGTGTTTCCAACTCAGATTTTGCTTTAAATAATTAATCATATGATAATACTTATTGTACACATTGACATTAACTATATGCTCACCCAGACAAGGTAATTGGAAAATTAAACACCGCAAAAAATATTGTCCTTTTATTAATTGTTTGAACTTTGTCTAGGTCTAATAATTTTCGATCAAACATCGTTCTGAATACATATATGCATAATATAATATTTAATTGAACTTAGCATTACATTTAGAATCTAAGCATAGTAATTTCTATTAAAACGAAGAACAGCGCTCGAGTTGTTGTTTATTGGTAATACGTAATAAATTTAAAAGCGTCCCAATCAAAATTGAAAACGAAACGTAGGCTAGTGATTGGACAGTACCAGGCTGAGCCATGCGAATGGTCACTCATTCGATGACGAGATATGCATGATATTTTTTTGTGATAATGGCGTCTGATAGAGTTATGTATGCACTGGTCATTTTAGGTGTCTGCGAAAAAGTTGTTCCTCCTCGATTCGTTGATAACCAACAAAGTTAATGGTCTTTTGAACACCTTATCGTGGACTACTTGTTTATTGCACGAATATAAACAAACCAAATTGATGGTGCTTTTTTACGAATTACAAAAACATTATGTTTATAAACTTTAAAAAATGAGTTATATAAATGAAGTTATTAGATTTCGATATTTCCATTTCCTTTCTTTGTTTCATTTTCAGCCTTGTAGTTGGTCTCTTGAGCCGGCTTCTTGCTGATCGGCAACTGAGCTCCATCGTTCAATTCTCCAGATTTCTTCATTTGTTGCATATCGCCGCTGCGTTTGATGCGGTTCTGAAAAATTAATTATATGGAAACATTACAATATCGAAATTATATTCAAAAATATAGTAAAAGCTTCAATTTTTTGAAATGTGTTAAATTTTCTAGTTTCTTTTTTATGTTTTCAATTATTTTCTTGAAATTCTAGGCAAAATAATGAAAAATGATAAACAAATAATGTACAATTTTTTTTTCGAAAAGCAAGCAATTCTCAGACAAGAATGCGACAACTTATTACTAATTTAGCAAATAAATTCTAGTCCGACTGAAAAATTGACAATTTTTGTTATCTCCCAAAATATAAACATCCGAAGCATAATTGCTTGCTTGACAGAAAATTTTGGGGCTTCTTACCAAACCATCCTGGACAAGTTGAAGGGCTCCGTGGAATGGGGATCTTTTGAACTGAAATTTATAAAATATTCCTTAAACTCTTCAATTCTGCTAATGTACTCTTGGGACGACGATTTCGGTGGCATTTGATTTTTTCTTCTCCTCTTCATCATCCTTTTCTTCGCTGTTTTCTTCTTCCTTTTCCTTCTTTCGCTCTTCTTGGCGTTCTACCATCGCGTGAACTGAATATTGTATTCGAGGTGTCGTGTTAAAGTCAAAATTTTATAATTACCTCGCTCTCTAGTTTCTTTTTCTTTTTCTTTATTATTCTCAGAGAGTCTTCCTCCAGATTCTATAAAGAAGTTTTTGTAATTTTATCAACAAATCATAAATGTTTACCTCTTTCTTCATCTTCCATTTCACGTTCCTCATGACGCTGCTTTTTCTTTTTACGATCCTTGGCGCAGTCGGAGGTAATGAACAAGCTAACCAAGAGAATTGTGACCAAAAGCAGGGTATAGGCTCTCATTGTCACTGAAAAAATCTTGGAATAGTTGAGGAAAAGTGTTGAGGTGTATGTCGAATGAACAGAAACGTTTGTCACTGATGGGCAAATGCTTTGAGCTACCGGGGATAACAGTTGACATCTTTTGGCACAATCAATCTTACGACTCTCGAGTCAAAAAAATAAACCCAGAATTCTCATCCGAACAGGAAAGGGACATCAAGGAAACAAACTACTTCAAGTATACTAAGAAACATTTTTTCGTGATGTTATATTTTACATTTTCTTCAGAAAATATTGACGAAATATCATAATTGAGTTTTTTTCAAATTAATAAAAAAATCGATTTTATATATCTATGTAATTTACGTTACTTTATTACAGTTCAAAATCTTTTCTTAAAAAATTTGCATTCAAATTTTTTGACGAGAATTTCCAATCTAATCGATATATCACTTTTTGATATTCTCAAAGGCTCTTTCCATTCTTATTACTATAAAATACGTGGTTAGTGTTCACTTGGTTCTTTTTTTTAGTAAAAACTATGCTGCATTTATTATTAGTCCAATAGTAGTATAAAACTAGATAAACACCAAAAAGAATTCGACTTTGCCGTGAAAAAAACCCAGCGAAAAAATGAAATAAAATGGGATGTGCGTGTTTTTTTTATTTCTGTGATATTTGCGCTATTGTGTTTTCACACATTTTTGTGGGCTACCATTTTTTTCTCTTTTAAATCTCATGTATTAATAAATTATGATCAAAGAATCAAAATATAAAAATTATTTGCGATCAAATGCAATATTGCTATCTCAGTGGCAATTTATATATATTTCTCATTTCTTGGAAATTTCCGAATATGTGAATTGTTTTAATTAGTAAAAAGTACCTCTTTTTTTAAATTTTGATCTTTTTTTTCAAAAAAAGGAATCAAAGCTTTATCACGAACACAACATTATATTTTTATTTTATATATGATATCAATAGCGATACTATGCTTGTTTACTCTCATAAATATTTTTTTCGTTATTGAGCACGTTTCGCGCACATATGATGCAACCATCGATAATATCGCCGTCGATCAATATCTCGCTGCCGCTGTCTTTGATAAGACGTCAAAAAACAAAAGATGTCTTAAATTGTACGGCTAAAAAAAATAAAACGCTTTACGCTGCAATTTTTTTTTAATTTTTATTTTCAAACCAATTTTAATCGATATTCTCTAAAAATACGAATTTCTATGGCATTCAATTGTCTGTTTCTATCCATTCTTCCTGTTTGTCAAAAGTTTTCTTCGAGATCTATTTGTAAATTAAACTAAACGTGCACTAACTGAAGCAAAGCCAACATGTGCGTTGCCAACTGCCGTTTACTGGCCGACACGCGAGAGACGCAGACGCCTCGCTACGAGACCCGCAAAGCGCTGTCTCTGCTGTGTGACGTGGACACTCAACGGCCCCACCGCCACAGCGTTCGCCCTAGTTTTGATCCACCATCGAAACTATTATTGGTTATATTTCAGTAGCTTGGTAATCGTAATCAATACTAGTTGACGATGAATATTTTCCGTCTCGCCGGTGATTTGTCCCATCTATTCGCCATTGTCATTTTGCTGCTTAAAATATGGAAGTCTAGAAGTTGCGAAGGTTTGTAGAACATTTTTGTTTTCAATTTTTTGAAACGAAATTTCAAATTTTAAGGAATATCTGGCCGCTCGCAGATTCTGTACGCTATTGTGTTCATCACAAGATACTTGGATCTGTTCACCAACTTTTATTCGCTGTACAACAGCGTTATGAAGGTAAATATAAAGAATATCGATTATTATACGTAATGGAGTTGGTTTCAGTTGTTCTTCCTCGCCAGTTCCATCGGAACCGTTTATCTCATGTGGTTCAAATTCAAAGCAACAAACGACAGGTAATATTTATTGTCAAATTTTGAAATACGAATGACTATTTTTTTTTAGAAACAATGACTCGCTTCGCATCGAATTCTTGTTGGTCCCATGCGCTATCCTTGCTCTTATTATTAACCACGAATTTTTGTTCATGGAGGTAACAATATTCGATAGGAAATAAAATGAAAATTCGAGTTTTCTAGGTTCTCTGGACTTTTTCGATCTATCTCGAAGCTGTCGCCATCATGCCGCAACTCTTCATGCTCTCTAGAACTGGAAACGCTGAAACAATCACCGCTCACTATTTGTTCGCCCTCGGATCATACAGAGGACTTTATGTTCTTAACTGGATCTACAGGTATGAATTCGAATGATGTGAGTGAAGATGTATACGAATAATTTCAGATATTACACTGAGAACTTTTTTGACCCAATCGCTGTTGTTTCCGGAATCGTTCAAACCGTCCTTTACGCCGATTTCTTCTACCTTTACATCACCCGTGGTACGTTTTGTGAATCATGTTTCCTAGAAATAGGTTAAATATATACAGTTCTCCAATCCAATCGCCAGTTCGAGATGTCCGCATAAATCGATTAGCGGCAACACAAAAACGGCCGAAAACAAAAATGCAGCTCTTACGACTACGTGATTCAATTTTTCTCCTACTTGTATTTAAAATTAAACATCCAAATTTTCTATGGATTACTGGGTTATTTTTTGTTTGTGGCGCTTGATGAACTACTCTGTTTCTTTTCCATCGATAATTCTTTCTCGAGCGTTTACAAATGCTATTTATTTATTTATTCGAATTGTTATGATTTGAAAATAAATTGTTTCTATTCAATTGTAGTGTGGCGAAGTGGGTTTCAAAACGTTTAAGGCAAACTGTCCTGCGCGGTTATTGTTTCCTGCTGCCCGATAGAATGCTACAATGACCTTATCTCCGTCGGCGGCCAATTTCACATTACTTCTGCAAAACGAGGTGTTTTTACAAATTTAGGTCGCCACTTCTGCGTTTTCAACATACGGCTTGCGCACTATCTCCGTATACCGTATACACGCCCTGCAATAGTGCGTTGGTCCACTCTTGCTCACTCAAAAGTGTTCAGTAGAAATTAAGTATCGCACAACGGAACGCTTAGAAGATTTATTAGTTTTTTTTTTACATTTTTTACTGAGACCTCCAAAATTTAATGAATTTTTTCTCGCAATTTATTTTTTTTTAATTGAACAAATTTTTCTTAATCTTTCGTATTATCGAACAAAACGCCGAATTTTGTCGCACTGGTTCTTGAAGTTCAAACTTCCAAATCTAAACGTATGTTTGCTCTTATCGAAAAATGAAGAAGATAGAAATTTTGATAGAAATTCTCATGATAATATTTCTGGAAGAATATTATTTTACGTTTATTTTCAAGACGGAAATGAATAAAACAGAACACGTATAACATGATATTGAAGTATTGAATATTCATCCGTAACATTTTAGAAACTTTTTCTGAACTGCTTTTTATATTATGAAATAAATGTTAAGTGCGACAATTTAATTGGTTCTATTGTCTGATTTAGATAGTAGAATAATACAATTCATGGCAAAGGGATAGTTTTCTCAATATTTTCAGGTTTTTTTTAGATATATATGTCAAAAATTCTTTACACGCGTAGATTCTGAAGACTTGTTACGTAATAACTAATAAAAATTAAACATTATCTTCTCCATTCTTTGGAAATCATATCTACCGTAATAATGCGTGTGTGAGTCAACTATGTGCATACATATTCTCTGAACAATGTCAAAAACAAATTTGCAATAAAACTTGATTTCAGACTACATTTATAAAATTTTGAAAACACCCGTTGTTTTTAATTGAAACCGATTAGTAGGATGTCAAAATGGGGATAAGTAGATAATTGGAGCAGTGTGAGGTCGTGCCGAAGCAAAGGAAAGATTCTCGAGAATTTCTCAAAACAGCTTGTGTTGTCTTGAGACATACATGGAATTCATGTTTTGCATTAAAGCAAATTCAAGACAATCGTCTTGTGTTGTCTCGAGAATTTGTACATGATATGGTATTGCCTTTTACTGTGACTTGACAGTGCGAAGCTATTGAAACAGTTTTGTAAGAACAATCAATTTCTGTTTTTTTTGCCGACTCGAGAAATCTTACCTCTGATTCTTCAAGAAGTTACACTGATTTATATAGAAAATCACAAGAAACCTACTCTAAAGAAAATGTCGATTTTCTGACATTGCTACTTTGGGATGATGTGCCATCGTCATCAGAATTTTCACCAACGATTGCGTATCCAATTCCAACCTAGTCGTAATAATAATGTTGGACAAATCAATCAAAAATTCCGGATATACTTCTCGAGTTGCTCTCCATACAACTTGTGTGAAATAATTGGTACCCGTCTGCCATCCAGGTGTTTCGTATTCATATTTCACATGCTCCGAGTACCAGTGTTCGACAACTGAAAACAGGCAACTACGTAGCGAACGAAGGAAAAATAGCGGAAAATAGAGTGAAATTCAATTACCTGTTTCCGCATCTGCGTCTTTCGGGAAAAACGTAATGTTCTCTCCAATACCACTGAGTTCACTGTATGATATGTACGCCTGTAAAAATATAAAATTCATTGAAAAAGAATGGTGTATTTACAATGGATAACCAAGATTTTGTTTGTTTCAAACTGGCAATTTTTTATTGAAATTCTTATATATGGAAAAATATGAAAATGTTTTTCTTTCTTTTCCAAATTTATTGCTTGAATTTATTTTTTTTTTGACATTCGAATTGGTTTTACGATTTGTTTGTCTTCGAATACTCGATGTGACCAAAGTTATTTTTCCCAATTGGGAAAAAATAAACTTTGCCAGCTTATAGGACTTGTCTTTGAAATTGACATTTGGAATTTAGAAGGGTCAGTATGAATCAGCCTCAATCTCAAAAGATGCGTTTTTTTTTTGAACATTCAAATCGACATAGATATTGCATGCAATGATAACGAATCATCAAATTTGTTGCACTTCAAATTCAACATTTTATTCACCTGTTTAGCTAGCTTTTCCGCCCAAGCTTGTGCCATCACTCGTAGCTCTTCACTGTGCTCGAGAGCAGGTGCGGAATGCTTCAAGAACAACATAATTTATCACCAATGTCAAAACATTCACATACTCTTTTCCGTCGCTTATTGTGCTCTTCAATGATCTGATCAATAAATATTGAACGCTCATCGGACATTATGGAATCCAGCGACATAACGACAACAAGACAGAGAAGAAAATGAAAAAAAAAAGAAGAAGACCAACTCCGAAGACGATGACGATGATGATTTGAACGAAAGGCACGCCTTTTGCTCAAACTTACACGATTGAGGCCACACCCAACCAACGGCAGTAAATAAAGGAAAAGAAGAAATAGGATGGAGGCCCCGAAAAAAGTATTGTGTATGTTGGTGGTGCTCTGCTTCACATATATATATATCTGCTAAGAATACGGGACCGATGCGAGTCGGACAGACACTCGGCCGATGGATTCCAAACCGAGTAGTAGTCTGGTGGCTCATCATTAAGCATTATATAGAGGACACAGCGAATTTACTTGCTCATATCTTGAGCCCATCTTGGATTTCAAATCGCATCTTCTTCTCATTTTCAAAAACCCCTTCCGCTTTATAAGTAAGCGCTTTGTTGTTCATCTTTTCGAGTTTTTGGGAGATGTTCGAAATTTGATAAATTAAATTCGTCATGCAACAATTGAAATGAACTGATTAGACTTTGTCTTCTTAAAAGTTGAGTAAAAAAGCAGAAAAAACTTGTTAAACATGGAATTCAAAAGTGCATTTGGGCAGAACTTCCGGAAACGACTTGTTAAGGAGAATTTGTTCAGCATTTCGTGTGAAATGGAATGAAATTAATACCAGAAATTGAGAGACACATGTGTTTGATGTTTTACAAATCATTAAACATGAACAATTCTCTGGCTTTTTGTTCAAGATCGATGTTGAAACAAATTATTTGAGCCTCTTACGTTAATAAATGAGGCTACTCAAAAGTCAGAGTGAAATATAGAATGTATATTAAAAAAACAAAGAAAGTATAAATGTAATTAACGAAAAATTTCGAGTGGTCTACCTATAATATTTTCAGAAGTAGAAAACAATTGGTTCTTGTTTGCATACTGATATTATTCCAGAAAGTTCAGAATATAATATGACGCCAATACTGATTAAACTCGCATTTTTCAGCAATTTTCTAGATTGTGAATTAGAAGAATACGTTATAAGTTTAAACTATCTGATTGCCTTGAATAATTCACTAGAAAACGACTACAAACCGTCTATTTAAAAAAAAACCTCAGACATTTGGAGCAATCAGCAAAAAAAATGTCTCAAAAATTCCAGACTAACAAGATTTGAAACGGTAATTTATTCTGTTTCGGTGCTAGTTGAATTTGGCTGGCATAGCTGGACAAATGTGAAGTTGTTTTGAGTAAAGGTGATCAGAAAACAAGAATGATATTCGTACAAATTTTAATAATTTCGTATTCAAGTCAATTTTTAAATTGGCGATAAATTAAAAATCTATATTCTTATTGGGTAGGAAATTTTTACCAACCCTGTTATGAATAAAGATCTTTTGAAGTATCCTTTAAGTACACTCAATTATTTGAATAAACATTAAGAAAAGCAACGCATTTATTAAAAATATTACCAATATTTCCGTTACAAAAAACTTCTATACCATTCGAAAAAAATAAAGAAAAACGCTTGGCGAAGGCAATTATAGAAAAAATGGAAAAATTAGCGATTGATTAACAAAAAAATTTAAAAAGCACACGGTTAAAAATTCTATATTGAGCCCGAAACAAAAGCAAATGGTACTTTGCCAAATTAGGCAGAATTTAAAAAAACTTCAAACATTTTATAATTGGGTCAAACTATTTCTAGATGAAGGGGTTGTAAATTGTAAAATAGGAAAAAATCAACAAATATTGATTACGATATAACTAAGCTTTGGGTTTTATTAAATGAATGTCCAATTATGCTCGATCAAATGAATTGGGGATCAATAGGAGCATTCAGAACAAAACACTGGAATTAGATGCGAATAATTTCGAAAGGGAATGAAAATGCCAGTAACACGATGAAAAACTGAAAAGAAAATTAATAGGAAATACAGGAAAAGCAGCAGGGTCGAGCTGTATCATACTCAAATTGATTCTAGAAACCCCCACGGAATCAACCAATCAATTTGAGTAAATCGAATTGCATGACTAGAAACAGGTGAATAATCTGCACATAAAGTTCTCATTTTAGATTACATGAAGTTGGTCTCGGCACCTATTATGTCAAGAACTAGTATGAAAATGACACGAGCCGTGAAATGAAACATCGAGAACAATTAAAATACTCAGAGAAGTGGAATTTCCGTGGAAAAGTTCAAAGACATCAAAATATGATGTACGAAACACGATTTTTCTTTCTTTTCGCAGCGATTACAATAAATTAAACGTTTGATAGAGAAATTGGATGTCTAGAAGAGTTTGGCCTTCCGCTTCAAGTTGATTCTCTTCCATTCTGGAAGTTTGTAGAACTCGATTGGAGCCATTTTGAAGATCTCCTCGAATTGATCTCGTGTCAGATGCCGTTCGAGATGTTGGCTGAAAAACAGTTGTTTTCTACGTCCAGCGAATTTTCAGAATCTCACCGATCAACGTCCTCTGGCATGTCTTTGTTAGTAGTTTGAAGCACTTGGTAATCGTATTGTTTCACTGGCTTACTCATATCTGGAAGTGAAGATCGGAGAGTGACACCAGCCGATTTTGGGCCTCCTATTGTTCCAGATTCGGTCATTGAATCTGAAAAATGAGCTTTGTAATTAATTAGGTTTTACGAAAGAAAATTGTTTATAGTATCAAGAAATTAAGATTTTTTAATTCCATTTCCTAGTTCAATACTTAATTTCTTTTTCACGAATAATATCAAAATGTATCATTTTGTCCCCCCTCGTTAACATACGTTCTGAATAGTGACTGCTAATCGTCGTATCCAAATTCTCAAGCGACAAGTTTTGTCCAAATTCGGTTGGTAGTGTCGCCGCCCTCAGCGTGTTTGCTCTGCTCTCCGGAATGTGGAAACATGGCAGCGTACTTCCGTGGTCTCGTTCGCCGCCTTGCCATGCGACCCATGGCCGCGGTCGGTTTAAATGGCGAGACGGAGCTGAAGATGCACTTTTACCAATTAGTCGAACATCTCTCGTTTTTTCGTTGAAGAAAAGCTGAGCTTCTCAAGAGGACAAAAAGAAAATGGCAAGAGGATTGAATGGGCCAACACAAAAAAAAACTCACAAGCATTAATCGGCACATCATAACGAAATTTGAGATGGGGCATTTTCTTGCCAGATGGAGTTCGGCTAGCATTTCTCGGATCCCAGTGTAGAGGCAATCTACAAAATGATTTGATTACTTCTTCAAATAGAGGCGTTTATTGAATTAATAGTGTTTGTTTGGAATGTGTTTTGCTCGAAAATGTTGCAATTGCATGACTAATATTTTATAATCTCCTCAATCTCACCGCTGTTTTTTGTGACTATCCTCGATGTTTTGTCGAATCACGCTCGCAATCGATGAGTCGTTGTATTTTTCAAGAGTTTCGACCGTCTGCAAATCAATCATTCTTGATGAATGCCTTGAGCAACAAAACGATTTACCTTCTTAAGCTTGTCTTCGTCGAATTTCTCGCCATCGGAAAAGTCGTCGTCCGAAATTTCGTTTTCAATTGAGGAAGTCGACAACCTTCTTTTGAGCTCCTCTACGGCATACGGGTATGGCGGAGCAGGGAAATCGTCGCGCTCAATTGCTGGCGGCTTCTCTGGGTCTGGAACTTGAGCTGCTGGGTAGTGAGCAAGCTCAATTGGTTCTTCATTGTCCATATGTGGCGATTTTGGACGGGGCAAATTCTTTTCAAGATCCTCCGCTATAATAATGAATTAATAACATTTTCTGATAATAATAATGATGAAATTTCATACTGAGTCTTTGCATTCCAGTTTTGAGCATCGCCAACCTCGATTTTCGAATTTTAATTGGTCCTGAAATACAAATGCGATTATTCTCGTTAAATATCAAAAACGGTACCTTGCGGAACATGGTATTGTGGTGCATTCGGTTCCTTGGGATTCATCACTGGATGCCTAAGATAGGTTTGCTCAGCTTCGGGAAGCAAGTACATGTAAGTCAAGTGTTGGCGGAAAGTTGTTTGATATTTAGGCTCATTTCTCGACAAAGTAGCCGCACGTCCGGTTGGCTGAAAGCAGATTATTACTTCAAGATTAATGCGATTGAATTATCTCACCGCAATGTTTTCGGTTGTTCTGGAATGCTCGCATGATGGATGCCAAATTTCATCTCCTTGCATGTACATCTCCTCACCGTCTCCGAAATGAGCACCGCAACGAGAGCAACGAGCACACGTTGGATGAAATTTGTAGCCGCCAGCCTGGAAGACACTTTTATTGTCCGCACATGAAAACGATTATCAGTTTTTTGATAAGAAAACATTGAAAACCGATTGGGGTGCCGTTAAGGAGTTTGACAGAACAAATTTAAAATTTTTAGAACACATTTATGTGTAATTTGATGTGCCCATATTTATGTCAAGTGAACAGCGCGCTTGCTTACCTGCAACACCTTTCCCGCAATGAATTTCTCGCATTCGTAGCACTTGACACCGAATTTCTCGTTATAATCTCTAAGACACAGTGGTTTTCCTTCGTGTGACATATATTCTCCGTGGAGGACGGCTGAGCATTCGCTGCATTTGAAACAGTAAACGTGCCAAGATAATCCAAGAGCAAGAAGAACTTGGCCAGAGTGAAGTTCTTGATCGCAAGCAGCGCACGCTGAAAACAGTATTGCGGATGCTAAAAAAACAAAAACCTTTTTTTTCTAATTTTGAGCAGGTTATAATGAACCTCGCTTGTAGAATATTACTTCGACTCCACCAAAAGTGCATCGCTTTTTTGTTGGAGTTTTTTTCTTTTTCCAAAATATTGTATTTCCCATAATGAATAATTTTTTTGAAGAATATATAGTTTTAGTGCACAATACGTTCAAGAATGAGCGATCGGTTTATTTTTACGGATGCGTTCTTTTTTGATGGTAGGCAATTTATCCCTCGTGATCGTGCAAATTGCTCTCAATTTTCTACCGTATAAATTAAGTACAGTACACTAGAAAAAGAATTCTATTGAACGTGAAACTATTTTTCTATTCAAAATTTCACAATTTCAAAGATTCACAAGAATAATTACTAGATTTTAATTAAATAAGTAAGCAATTTGACATAATTCGGTACTTTTTTTGTACTTTTTGTATCATAGCTTAATGAATGAAATGAGTCAAATATGTATGAAAAAAATTTTCGCTTTTAAACATTTTTTTAACTAAAAAATGAAATATTGAGCAATTATCCGTATTGAATAAGATATATAAATATAGTTCTCATATATTCATCAATTTCTCGTCATTAAATCAAAGATGTGGCCAATTAACTAAACAATTTGCGATAATTGCGGGAAAACGTTATTTTTCTATGACGTGCGAATCTCAGCAAAAACGACGCCTGTCATCAAAAAAAGCTTACTTGTTGGTGAACCGAGCGGCGAGATTTGTTGTAACGTCGTGTTCGCGGCCACTGAAGATCCGTTATCATGATTTTGTGTTGTCGTCGTGGTTCCGTTTGTCTTCTCCGGCAACTTTGGCGTTGCCGCTGCGCTTGACGACGACGCCGCCGCCGCTTGCGACGGTTGAGTCTTCACCGAGAGCTCTTTAGTGACTGCCCGAAAGTCGTCGGGACAAAGGTATGAATTGTCTGATGTTGTGTAGAATCCGGTATCCCCGAGGTTTCGACCACATTCTGTAAAAAAATCAAATAAATTACGCTATTATATGAACACAAAAAATCCATTTATCAACCAGTCCAATCAATCCCAATTTTGGCGTTTAACGAATACAGAATTACGAAAAAGTCGGGTTTCGAAAAACAAAAGAGGGTGAGTACTTTTAGCACAACGTTGCGTCCGCCTGGTTGAATTCGAAAAGTCGTCGAGATGCTTGCGTGAAATAACTTTACATATTCACGGACAAAAAAGTGTTATTTATGTTTTTTGGGTGATCGCAGTACTTTTTGCAAATGAGCAACATCTGCTGGTTACGCTAATACAAAATTTGCCCGTAAAAATTGAAAGCTGATCGAAACAAATGACGTTCTGACGAATAACCGCAAAACGTCGTAGACAATCATTTTTTCGGAATTGCCATAAAAACCAATAATCTCTCATTAAAAACTCGACCCAAACAAGTGAAAGTGTCAATGTATCGAGCGGCTGTCACTATCTTTTTTTCAAAATCAAACACATAAATCAAACTGTCAAATAAAGTGGAAATTTCGTAAAAAAATGCTGTTAGTTCAAGTGGAGAAAGGTAAATAATGAACTTACTTTTGCATTGGAAACAAATGATGTGGAAGTATTTATCGTTGGCTTTCAGCACATCCCCGGATACCTTTTTGCGACATACATCGCATTTTTTGCCTGAAACAGTATGTTTCGGAAAAATATTGAATTAATTTTATATTTTCTAATTTTTTTCTGTTTAAATAGGGTTTCAATTGTCTCGACAAATAAATCAATTCATCAAAAAACTAGCCCCGATATCAGAGTTATCAATCATGTAAGATCAGCAAGATGTGTCAATTATTGATAACAACACGTTTTTGTTTATTTGTTTTTATTATCGAAATCGGAACGTACCCATGGCAGTGGGGTGCACAGAGCCTGCGAATAGTTGTGGTATTGAATCGCGTATACGTTTGTCTCTGTGTGCGGGTATATATTGAGAGGGCAAGGGCTATGAAAGCGAAAAATACAAGGCGAGTTGAATAGACATAGATTGGTAAAGATGGCAAAATAGACAAGAGATGGAACGCGGAAAGCATGGAGGAGTAAGAGGGAAAAGGAGGGCGTCTTGTTCCTCGTCATCTTCGTTGCCTCTTCCAATAACCACGGTCAAGAGGCGAAACCCGAGCGAGATGCGGCGAGAGACACTGCGCGTTGGCAGCAAAACTGCGAGACAACCGCAAAAACTGCCGCGTCCTCTCAGCGATTCATTCCTTCTCTCGCATTCCGTGATCAATAACTATCCCCAGCTGCGCCTCTTGGTTCAACCGACACAGAAGGCTTTGATTCGGGCGGTTGGTGGTGGTGGTGGCGTTGTTGGCGACGGCGGCGCCTTGGCCGGAGGGGTTGGCAAAAAAATATACATTCGAGTGGCATTATGAAAGAAAGAAAATGAAAACTTTTCAATTTATTTAAGAAATGGATTCCGATTTCGGGGATTTTATGAATTGATAAATATTTTAATCACTGTGTGCACATTTTAAGAAACTTTATATTAAACAATCAAAACAATATGATTGAACGAGTGAAAAATGAATGATATACTTATTTTATCTGAAAAACTCCTTATTTGAAGTTTGTGAGCAATAAAAGTTGAGAAAAAAATACTTTAGAATTTAATGTTGGTTGATGATTTTTCTTAATGCCATAAAGAAACTGCTATCAATACCGAAAACGATAGAGAGAAGCTCTTCGATCACAATACAATTGTTTGATTTTGAACATTCCACGAGTGATAATGGCCGAGTAGGCGTCTTTCAAGTGTTTGTCTCCAAGATGATTGACAAAAAACAAATAAAATCGGAACACTGCAGGAGAGCCATGCTACAGTGGACGAAATATTTTGTCTACTGGGAATTTGAATGAATATTTTCAAATTAGTTTCAATACTGATAAATGTTGACAAAACGCGCAAAATAAATTTTGTCAAATATTTGCATCAAAGCATTTTTCGCACAAGTAATGTCATATAAACTTATTTTCCTTTCCGATTTAAACAATATTCTGGTGTCTCCAATTATTCCTTAATCATTATTTTTCATAGTTATATACAATAAAGAACATTCTACTCAATACTATTTTCAGCGTTTTCCCACTACTCTTTTTTTTCTACAATAGTACCAACAAAAAAGACAGGACACTGTGTTTTTTAATGATTTTACGTGTGATAATTTAATTTTCGAGCAATTTAGGATTGTTATTCTGTATATATATATATATATATATATATATTGATTAAAATTCACTACGTTTTAAAAATTACATAATTGAGGTAGAACATTTTTTTGCTATTTTTATAGTGCAATTTCATTATTGTGACTGTCGTCGTTTTCAATTTCTGTCTACAATTTTCACCAACCAACCGGATTCTTTTCCGTCTCTTTAATTAGAATGTTTAATTTTATTGTAAGAACGAGTGATAGTTGATTTCTTAATTGGTTTTAACGTTTTTGAGAAAATTTTTGAGAATTCGTTATCAAGTCACATCAGAAATTCCCAATTCTTTTAAGGGAAGGAAAATTCAGTATTTAGATTCTAACTATTGAACGTATGAATTATTATATTGATTTTTGTTGTTAGTTTCGTATTCAAAATCCAAGAAACGGAAACTACTAAATTTCATCATTATATGATGGATGAAAATTCTTTTGCAAAGTGAAGAAATTCGAGTGGACAGAATATTAGATCGAATATCATTGAAAATAACAATAAAATATTAAGAAAAAAAGAAAAAATATATATGTTGTGAATTTTTGAAAAAATTTAAGAACAGCTTTCATATTCCAAGAAAATTATCAAATAAAAAATCCGACTTATTATTACAATCCTAAAGAACGCGCTGAATTATTTTGCTCCTTTCTGCTTTGCAACTTTAGATAAAACCTTAATTTAATAATTCTGTCAATTAAAAGAAAAAGCTTTGATGCAAATATTTGACAAAATTTATTTTGCGCGTTTTGTCAACATTTATCAGTATTGAAACTAATTTGAAAATATTCATTCAAATTCCCAGTAGACAAAATATTTCGTCCACTGTAGCATGGCTCTCCTGCAGTGTTCCGATTTTATTTGTTTTTTGTCAATCATCTTGGAGACAAACACTTGAAAGACGCCTACTCGGCCATTATCACTCGTGGAATGTTTAAAATCAAACAATTGTATTGTGATCGAAGAGCTTCTCTCTATCGTTTTCGGTATTGATAGCAGTTTCTTTATGGCATTAAGAAAAATCATCAACCAACATTAAATTCTAAAGTATTTTTTCTCAACTTTTATTGCTCACAAACTTCAAATAAGGGGTTTTTCAGATAAAATAAGTATATCATTCATTTTTCACTCGTTCAATCATATTGTTTTGATTGTTTAATATAAAGTTTCTTAAAATGTGCACACAGTGATTAAAATATTTATCAATTCATAAAATCCCCGAAATCGGAATCCATTTCTTAAATAAATTGAAAAGTTTTCATTTTCTTTCTTTCATAATGCCACTCGAATGTATATTTTTTTGCCAACCCCTCCGGCCAAGGCGCCGCCGTCGCCAACAACGCCACCACCACCACCAACCGCCCGAATCAAAGCCTTCTGTGTCGGTTGAACCAAGAGGCGCAGCTGGGGATAGTTATTGATCACGGAATGCGAGAGAAGGAATGAATCGCTGAGAGGACGCGGCAGTTTTTGCGGTTGTCTCGCAGTTTTGCTGCCAACGCGCAGTGTCTCTCGCCGCATCTCGCTCGGGTTTCGCCTCTTGACCGTGGTTATTGGAAGAGGCAACGAAGATGACGAGGAACAAGACGCCCTCCTTTTCCCTCTTACTCCTCCATGCTTTCCGCGTTCCATCTCTTGTCTATTTTGCCATCTTTACCAATCTATGTCTATTCAACTCGCCTTGTATTTTTCGCTTTCATAGCCCTTGCCCTCTCAATATATACCCGCACACAGAGACAAACGTATACGCGATTCAATACCACAACTATTCGCAGGCTCTGTGCACCCCACTGCCATGGGTACGTTCCGATTTCGATAATAAAAACAAATAAACAAAAACGTGTTGTTATCAATAATTGACACATCTTGCTGATCTTACATGATTGATAACTCTGATATCGGGGCTAGTTTTTTGATGAATTGATTTATTTGTCGAGACAATTGAAACCCTATTTAAACAGAAAAAAATTAGAAAATATAAAATTAATTCAATATTTTTCCGAAACATACTGTTTCAGGCAAAAAATGCGATGTATGTCGCAAAAAGGTATCCGGGGATGTGCTGAAAGCCAACGATAAATACTTCCACATCATTTGTTTCCAATGCAAAAGTAAGTTCATTATTTACCTTTCTCCACTTGAACTAACAGCATTTTTTTACGAAATTTCCACTTTATTTGACAGTTTGATTTATGTGTTTGATTTTGAAAAAAGATAGTGACAGCCGCTCGATACATTGACACTTTCACTTGTTTGGGTCGAGTTTTTAATGAGAGATTATTGGTTTTTATGGCAATTCCGAAAAAATGATTGTCTACGACGTTTTGCGGTTATTCGTCAGAACGTCATTTGTTTCGATCAGCTTTCAATTTTTACGGGCAAATTTTGTATTAGCGTAACCAGCAGATGTTGCTCATTTGCAAAAAGTACTGCGATCACCCAAAAAACATAAATAACACTTTTTTGTCCGTGAATATGTAAAGTTATTTCACGCAAGCATCTCGACGACTTTTCGAATTCAACCAGGCGGACGCAACGTTGTGCTAAAAGTACTCACCCTCTTTTGTTTTTCGAAACCCGACTTTTTCGTAATTCTGTATTCGTTAAACGCCAAAATTGGGATTGATTGGACTGGTTGATAAATGGATTTTTTGTGTTCATATAATAGCGTAATTTATTTGATTTTTTTACAGAATGTGGTCGAAACCTCGGGGATACCGGATTCTACACAACATCAGACAATTCATACCTTTGTCCCGACGACTTTCGGGCAGTCACTAAAGAGCTCTCGGTGAAGACTCAACCGTCGCAAGCGGCGGCGGCGTCGTCGTCAAGCGCAGCGGCAACGCCAAAGTTGCCGGAGAAGACAAACGGAACCACGACGACAACACAAAATCATGATAACGGATCTTCAGTGGCCGCGAACACGACGTTACAACAAATCTCGCCGCTCGGTTCACCAACAAGTAAGCTTTTTTTGATGACAGGCGTCGTTTTTGCTGAGATTCGCACGTCATAGAAAAATAACGTTTTCCCGCAATTATCGCAAATTGTTTAGTTAATTGGCCACATCTTTTGATTTAATGACGAGAAATTGATGAATATATGAGAACTATATTTATATATCTTATTCAATACGGATAATTGCTCAATATTTCATTTTTTAGTTAAAAAAATGTTTAAAAGCGAAAATTTTTTTCATACATATTTGACTCATTTCATTCATTAAGCTATGATACAAAAAGTACAAAAAAAGTACCGAATTATGTCAAATTGCTTACTTATTTAATTAAAATCTAGTAATTATTCTTGTGAATCTTTGAAATTGTGAAATTTTGAATAGAAAAATAGTTTCACGTTCAATAGAATTCTTTTTCTAGTGTACTGTACTTAATTTATACGGTAGAAAATTGAGAGCAATTTGCACGATCACGAGGGATAAATTGCCTACCATCAAAAAAAGAACGCATCCGTAAAAATAAACCGATCGCTCATTCTTGAACGTATTGTGCACTAAAACTATATATTCTTCAAAAAAATTATTCATTATGGGAAATACAATATTTTGGAAAAGAAAAAACTCCAACAAAAAAGCGATGCACTTTTGGTGGAGTCGAAGTAATATTCTACAAGCGAGGTTCATTATAACCTGCTCAAAATTAGAAAAAAAAGGTTTTTGTTTTTTTAGCATCCGCAATACTGTTTTCAGCGTGCGCTGCTTGCGATCAAGAACTTCACTCTGGCCAAGTTCTTCTTGCTCTTGGATTATCTTGGCACGTTTACTGTTTCAAATGCAGCGAATGCTCAGCCGTCCTCCACGGAGAATATATGTCACACGAAGGAAAACCACTGTGTCTTAGAGATTATAACGAGAAATTCGGTGTCAAGTGCTACGAATGCGAGAAATTCATTGCGGGAAAGGTGTTGCAGGTAAGCAAGCGCGCTGTTCACTTGACATAAATATGGGCACATCAAATTACACATAAATGTGTTCTAAAAATTTTAAATTTGTTCTGTCAAACTCCTTAACGGCACCCCAATCGGTTTTCAATGTTTTCTTATCAAAAAACTGATAATCGTTTTCATGTGCGGACAATAAAAGTGTCTTCCAGGCTGGCGGCTACAAATTTCATCCAACGTGTGCTCGTTGCTCTCGTTGCGGTGCTCATTTCGGAGACGGTGAGGAGATGTACATGCAAGGAGATGAAATTTGGCATCCATCATGCGAGCATTCCAGAACAACCGAAAACATTGCGGTGAGATAATTCAATCGCATTAATCTTGAAGTAATAATCTGCTTTCAGCCAACCGGACGTGCGGCTACTTTGTCGAGAAATGAGCCTAAATATCAAACAACTTTCCGCCAACACTTGACTTACATGTACTTGCTTCCCGAAGCTGAGCAAACCTATCTTAGGCATCCAGTGATGAATCCCAAGGAACCGAATGCACCACAATACCATGTTCCGCAAGGTACCGTTTTTGATATTTAACGAGAATAATCGCATTTGTATTTCAGGACCAATTAAAATTCGAAAATCGAGGTTGGCGATGCTCAAAACTGGAATGCAAAGACTCAGTATGAAATTTCATCATTATTATTATCAGAAAATGTTATTAATTCATTATTATAGCGGAGGATCTTGAAAAGAATTTGCCCCGTCCAAAATCGCCACATATGGACAATGAAGAACCAATTGAGCTTGCTCACTACCCAGCAGCTCAAGTTCCAGACCCAGAGAAGCCGCCAGCAATTGAGCGCGACGATTTCCCTGCTCCGCCATACCCGTATGCCGTAGAGGAGCTCAAAAGAAGGTTGTCGACTTCCTCAATTGAAAACGAAATTTCGGACGACGACTTTTCCGATGGCGAGAAATTCGACGAAGACAAGCTTAAGAAGGTAAATCGTTTTGTTGCTCAAGGCATTCATCAAGAATGATTGATTTGCAGACGGTCGAAACTCTTGAAAAATACAACGACTCATCGATTGCGAGCGTGATTCGACAAAACATCGAGGATAGTCACAAAAAACAGCGGTGAGATTGAGGAGATTATAAAATATTAGTCATGCAATTGCAACATTTTCGAGCAAAACACATTCCAAACAAACACTATTAATTCAATAAACGCCTCTATTTGAAGAAGTAATCAAATCATTTTGTAGATTGCCTCTACACTGGGATCCGAGAAATGCTAGCCGAACTCCATCTGGCAAGAAAATGCCCCATCTCAAATTTCGTTATGATGTGCCGATTAATGCTTGTGAGTTTTTTTTGTGTTGGCCCATTCAATCCTCTTGCCATTTTCTTTTTGTCCTCTTGAGAAGCTCAGCTTTTCTTCAACGAAAAAACGAGAGATGTTCGACTAATTGGTAAAAGTGCATCTTCAGCTCCGTCTCGCCATTTAAACCGACCGCGGCCATGGGTCGCATGGCAAGGCGGCGAACGAGACCACGGAAGTACGCTGCCATGTTTCCACATTCCGGAGAGCAGAGCAAACACGCTGAGGGCGGCGACACTACCAACCGAATTTGGACAAAACTTGTCGCTTGAGAATTTGGATACGACGATTAGCAGTCACTATTCAGAACGTATGTTAACGAGGGGGGACAAAATGATACATTTTGATATTATTCGTGAAAAAGAAATTAAGTATTGAACTAGGAAATGGAATTAAAAAATCTTAATTTCTTGATACTATAAACAATTTTCTTTCGTAAAACCTAATTAATTACAAAGCTCATTTTTCAGATTCAATGACCGAATCTGGAACAATAGGAGGCCCAAAATCGGCTGGTGTCACTCTCCGATCTTCACTTCCAGATATGAGTAAGCCAGTGAAACAATACGATTACCAAGTGCTTCAAACTACTAACAAAGACATGCCAGAGGACGTTGATCGGTGAGATTCTGAAAATTCGCTGGACGTAGAAAACAACTGTTTTTCAGCCAACATCTCGAACGGCATCTGACACGAGATCAATTCGAGGAGATCTTCAAAATGGCTCCAATCGAGTTCTACAAACTTCCAGAATGGAAGAGAATCAACTTGAAGCGGAAGGCCAAACTCTTCTAGACATCCAATTTCTCTATCAAACGTTTAATTTATTGTAATCGCTGCGAAAAGAAAGAAAAATCGTGTTTCGTACATCATATTTTGATGTCTTTGAACTTTTCCACGGAAATTCCACTTCTCTGAGTATTTTAATTGTTCTCGATGTTTCATTTCACGGCTCGTGTCATTTTCATACTAGTTCTTGACATAATAGGTGCCGAGACCAACTTCATGTAATCTAAAATGAGAACTTTATGTGCAGATTATTCACCTGTTTCTAGTCATGCAATTCGATTTACTCAAATTGATTGGTTGATTCCGTGGGGGTTTCTAGAATCAATTTGAGTATGATACAGCTCGACCCTGCTGCTTTTCCTGTATTTCCTATTAATTTTCTTTTCAGTTTTTCATCGTGTTACTGGCATTTTCATTCCCTTTCGAAATTATTCGCATCTAATTCCAGTGTTTTGTTCTGAATGCTCCTATTGATCCCCAATTCATTTGATCGAGCATAATTGGACATTCATTTAATAAAACCCAAAGCTTAGTTATATCGTAATCAATATTTGTTGATTTTTTCCTATTTTACAATTTACAACCCCTTCATCTAGAAATAGTTTGACCCAATTATAAAATGTTTGAAGTTTTTTTAAATTCTGCCTAATTTGGCAAAGTACCATTTGCTTTTGTTTCGGGCTCAATATAGAATTTTTAACCGTGTGCTTTTTAAATTTTTTTGTTAATCAATCGCTAATTTTTCCATTTTTTCTATAATTGCCTTCGCCAAGCGTTTTTCTTTATTTTTTCGAATGGTATAGAAGTTTTTTGTAACGGAAATATTGGTAATATTTTTAATAAATGCGTTGCTTTACTTCGTTTTCATTCAACTCACTAAGGGTACTTGAAAAACAATACAGCACGATCTTCAATTTGAATTTATGTATGCTGTTGCAGATCCACGAATTAAAATTCCTGCATATAAGGAAGTAAATGTAAAATTTAAAAACTGTATATCTAGAAAAACCTTCAGAAATGTGTATGTAGAAAAGCGACATTTGCTTTTTTTAAACAGAATTTTTCCTAAATCTTTTCCGTAATAGTATCATTAAAAATTTAATTTTATTAGGTTACGCTGAAATCATATGTGCATTTCTTTAATTATAATATGTAAATTATAGAAAATTAGTAATTAATAAATTATTGACATACGGACACACATTGTTGACACATTGTATATGTATTTTATTATTCAGCTTATTGAAATTTAATTCCCTGCGACAAATGTAAGTATGAATTCTTTTATGGTAAATTTAAAATGTAAAATAATCTGAAAAAAATCCAATTTGCACTGTAGTTATATGATCAGGAAAGACGAAAGACCCATGGAACATATTGTTGCTGTACATTTAAATCAAACAAATAAAAAATATCACCTTCACTGCATTTGAATAATGTGTGATTTTTTTTCAATTATTCATTGCATGTATAGGTTGATTTAAAAACGATGATGATTGAGTTCTTAATTGGTGTCAACGATTTTGACGAAATTTGAGTATTCGTTATCCAGTCACATCAGACTGTCCTATTGCCTTTGGGGAATGAAAGTCAGTATTTGGGTTCAAACTATTGAATGTATAAATTATTTTATTGAATTTTGCTGTTAGTTTCGTATTCTAAATCTGAGAAACGGAATTTATTTAGGAAAAACTGCGAAGGCATTGATTTCATCATTATGTGATGGATGAAAATTCTTCTGCAAAGTGAAGAAATTCGAGTGGACAGGATATTAGATCGAATATCATTGAAAATAACAGAGCGCTGAATTGGAAAATACCAAAATGGGATGAAAATTGAGGGATTTTCAGTTCAAGAAGATTACTTTTTTAAAAAGTGATTCTATAATAAAATAATTAATTGAAAACTTGATTGTTATGCAGAGAGGTTCAACATATTTATGGAATTTGTAATGCTACAAAGTTACCTTCGGTATACTTCATTTGTCTGAAATATGATTTAGAATAAGTCGATAAAAGATGTCCGACAGTCTTTCTGGAAAAATAATTCTTCAGTTTTAAATAATTTCTACCTCATTTTTTTTTCATTTCCTTTATATTGAAAGTATTTATTTTGTTGATTGAGGTTCATTTGTTGTTTTGGCTTGGTCTTTAAGTCAGACCACATGTTATTACTTCTTTTTGAATCACAGTAAAATATTGATCTCTTCATTGATCATGAACCTCATATTAAATATCGTTCAATATTATCGTTTGGTTTAAATTTTTCTTTAAATGTAAGAGCACATCATTGTTTAGGCGGAATTCACATATTTCTTGTGACCCTTGAGTTGTAATATATTGATTTGACGACTCTTTTTTGGCTGTCAAACATAATAGAATATTATAAAATCTTGAGCTAGCTGCTACTTTACAAGTTTTCATTCAATCAATTATTTTTAATGGTAGGAAATGAAGTTTTGGCTGACTTTTCAATGACTTTTTTCTCTTTTACTCTCTGTAAATTGTTTTTTTCCTTAGCTTTGTTCGTGACCTTTTTCGGAACGTCATTCTGAAAACCATTTCGAGTACAACCCCTTCACTGCACTGTAATATTATATACATATACTTGAACAATCTTGAAAACTAGAAGTTTGTTTGTAATGACGATTCCTATTATTTTCACACGATGAGCGTGTCAACGTTTGAAATTTTTATCAACATTGTTTTCTTCAAAAAAAAATCAAGATTTCTTGGAATGTAAAAGGTCAAAACAAGTTTGAAATATTATATGGCTCATTTTTCAAGTAACTCAATCCACTTCTCCTGGTACAAAAATATATAGAAAATTAGATTTTATAGCAGAAAAACAACATTTTTTTAAATATGAAAGAAGTTCGTTGATTTCTTACTTAATGCTTTTACAATTGTTGCATTTTTCAACATCACTCAAGAATTCAGTGAACTGAGTGAGCATTCTTTTGATTCCCAATTCTATGGTGTGTGATTCCCTATTGAAATCCAGCATCACATGACAATTTTTCCGTCACCTTTTCCCAAACTTTGAAAATTTTTCTTCCTTTCAAAAAAAATTCATTCGTGTTTGACAAAAATTTGCAATTAACCGATTTTTTTTAGAGTTTTGTCTTTTGTTTTGAAACCCCAACCGCCGATTCATTTTGAAACACTAAAAAACTAGGAATTTGAAAAATTGGTCTACCCCAAAGGAAAAACCATGATAAATGGGTTGTGTTCTATTTATAAATTTTCGTTTTTATTTCTTATCTCGCCTTTCTGTGAACACCATTAAAATAGGCACGCATTCATGCGTGGGATTGAACCAATTGACATCCATTTTTTTAATCGTTTTTCTATTGAGCAAGAAATAAAAAAACTAGAAAAATGTAGAGAAAATATGAATTGAACAAGTGTTGGGTATTCGCAATTCTTCAGGGAACGCCACTCTGAACCATTTTTTTTTCGGACTCCGTTCTCTTTTTTCTGGATATGTATGAATGTATGTGTGCCATGTATTCAACCAACTTGACTAGAACTTTTTGCTTGTCGTTTATTCGTTCTCAAATGCATATAATAGATCGGCTCACATGCCTATTGTTATTGTGTCATGTCAGTGTTTTTGTTAGCTTCTTTGCTAGTATATATATATACACATTCAGACATTCCACACAAATTAAATCAGTGGTAAAGTTCTTTAACAATTCGTTTTCTTGCATTGCTCCGACATTGCTCTGTCAGCTCATTTTTTTCTCGTTTCACTTTAAATTGACAAAAAAAACGCGGGGCGGTGTAAAACGAAATAATCATCCAAATGGGGTCCTGACAGAATTGCTCGGCAGATGAGGCTCCACCCTGCGCGAGCAACGGCTCGTTTAACTAAATCAAAACTGGCTCGTCTAGATTTTATCAAGTCATGTGTGTGTGTGTGTGTGTGCCTCGGGATGTCTCCTCTTCGTTTGTCGTTTTTGCTTAGCCGCTAAGACATTCCCAAAGGGCCTAGGTTTTGGTCCAGTATTCCTCATTTTGATTTTCAATAGTCTAAACTTTTCTGGCCATTTTTTCGTGAATGTAGTTTGTTGACTATAGTCACTTTTCAGCCATTACGACAATGACTAGTTGCCAAACTGCTTCGATGCCTATTGAAGAAGAGGGCCATGAATATTGCATTGATATTCTTCACGAATCTCATCAGGACAACACTCTTCCTATGGTTAGCACCACACCACATATGCCTCCAGTGGTATCTTTATAGTATCAAAATCTTTTCCTTCAAATAGAAATTTTAGATTACAACTCAAGACCGTCCAGTGGTTCTTTATATGGCACCAATTCACAAACAAGAGAGTGTCTGCGCTTGCGGAAAGAAGCCAGAGAAACCCGAGGAAAAAATAACCAAAGGAGTTCAAAATGTTCGAATTTGAATGAATAATGTGTAAATACCATATATGTTTAATCACAATGAATATGAATGAAGAATTTTTATTCTCTGCTGTTTTCTTATAATTTCGCAATAGAAACTTGTCTTCTTTGTTTTTTTGTAGCTGTTTTTCTGACAAACGAGACAGTAAAAAAAATCATTTTAGAATAAACCGTGATTTTGAAAATTAAATCATTTGATTTGCGATGTTTTTTTAAACTTCGTACTTAAAAACAGAAAATGTAAACACAAAAAATAATGGTAAAAAGTGAAAACATATAATTTTCATGCTGAATCTTTGATAGCGAAAGTTTAGAAAATTATCAAAAAATTTTTCTTTTATATATAAAATTTGATATTTAGTTGTTATTTTAATTAATATTTGATGATAATTTGATAATTTGTTTTAAAGTAGAAATATGGAATAAAGCAAACTTTCAAAATTTTCCACTTTTGATGTTTCAAAAGAAAAACAAAAAGTTTTCAAACTCGTTTTTTTTTCTAGTTTTCTTTAACAGTTTATTATCAACTTTACAGAAATCTACATAGTGACATTATTCTAGGGAATGGAATTTAACGATAGTATTTTCAATTTAAAGTGAAAAAATCGGAACGCGAAAATGTGAAATGAAAATTCGGAAATCTGGAAGTGCAGTAAGCAGTATGGCAAATGTTTACTGTTAAGTTTATTTTTTGTTAATTAGTTTATGAGAAATGGAAAATGGATGCATTAAAATTTGTGTGTGAGTTTGGTTATCAGAGAACAATCAAGAACCAAAATTTTCAGTCTGCAAAACACTTGCAAAAGTACCATTGTGTCGATTTCAAGAAAATACAACTAAATGCCTCTATAAAATAAATAATATTCGGGGTGGGTGTTTTATTCGTCGGAAAAAATTAATGTTGGGGATGACCCGAATAAATGTCCGCAGTTGCATTTCAACAAAGTTGACCCTGTCAAAATATCGAGTCATGGGGCGTCTTCCTTTTATGGAATACCATATCAGTTATATTCAAACCTACAAGGATCCCTAGAGCCTGAGATAGGAAGACTTAGGGCATACCGGGCCCACAAACTTCTAATTTTTTCGGATCCGACATTACCTACCTGGGTGCATTTGTTGCCTCATAAATTGTTTAGAAATTCTGTGTTATGTCCTGATACATTTAGATTGCAGGTCTCATATAATGAGTAGCATTTCCTTTAATAGTGTGGGGGAAATTAAACCTATCCGGAGCAATAACTGAACAATTTAAGGTCGATGTAACCAACGTAAACCTTAACCTCACAAATTATTGTTTTTTTTTTGCAACTTTTGAAGTACTTTAGTAACGGATTCCTGGAAAAATTGTTCTCTTTAAACGCATTAATGCCAATGAAACACTTGATTTGGGCTTTAAAATGGCTGCAAAACTTGTTTGTAAAATTTTTCTTTTGTTGGTTTTTCGTGTAGGCCTAACTATTAAACTATAGACTAAAGCATTTGCAAACTCATATTTCTTCTGTGTTGAATTTGTTACCCTGTCATGCTTTTAATGAAATAAACAATGATATGAAACATATTTAAAAATCGATAAAAAAACATTTTAACACAGAAATCAACAAATTTTTTGAAAAACGTCGTATCATAACAATTGTTTTTTTCTATAATTTTATTTTCATGTGTTACACCATACACACATATATGCACATTATAATAGTTGGTTCCATGTGAATCTGGCGTCAATTTCTTTTTCTGGTCCAATCAAAACTGGCATTGTGTCGGCGAGTGAGGATGAATAGCAGAAAGGAAGGGTCGTGTTCTCATGGTGTGTAAATGATGAGTGATGATATTTGAAACTTGCGACTTCTATGGAAAAAAGAAAATATCTACGACATTGGAGCTGACTAGTTTGTCACTGAATTCAGCAGTCATTCCCTGAGGCACTTGTAGCGTGCGAAATGCGTACGCCGGGCAGCATCAACGTGCCTTTTTCCCCCCATCATATTATTCGCATTTCTCTGATTTCGATTTTTAACTTTTCGATTCTTTTTCTAATTTCGTGTGTGTTGTTAACCTTATATAGACAATTGAAAAGATTTTCAATTTTCTCCACTTATAGAAAGTGGATTTTATCAAAAACGTCCCCTTAAACGAAAAAAGGAAGCGTTTAGTTAAAGCATAATTTGAACCAATTATAATTTTTTTTAAGTTGATCAAAGTTCTCTGAAAAAGGATATTTTAATTTCTCTTAGAGTAAAACCAATTCAATGAATTATAACTTCTACTAAGAGTTGAGCCATCAAGAAATTCTTATATAAATAAAGAAAATAGGTAAACTGCTAAGAAACCATTCTTCAATTATTCCCAAACACATGTGGGTACGTTTTTTTTTTCAATTTTTAAATTCTATTCGTCTAGGAAAATTTCGAATTTTTATCCAGTAAATTTGGTAGCATATTGTTCATCTTTAAAATGGCATAATTCAAAATTAATTTATTCATCAATATTTCTCGAACTAAAAACTCCACAAAATCCACTTTTTGAAGATCCCGAGAGATTTTTCAAGAAAAAAAAAACACGAAAACAACTGTCTATTTTTTTTAAATCAATTCTCGCTTCGGTTTGTATTCAGAAGATTTTTCAATTAATGCTGACTTGTTGAAATTAGCATTAATAGACATTCCATTTCCAAATCGGTGCCAGATTCAAACCTGTCCCAACTAATTCGGCATTTGCTGTTTTACCCTTTCTCATTAACACATTAACCTTGTTTGGCGTTGGGCGGAAAAATGAGAAGCAACAAATGTGCGTGTTCGATTTGGACGCATATGCTTTCGAGCTCCCATAGGAGCACGCCGGCTTCTCTTCCATCAGCTAAAGGTCATTTATGGGCCCACTCTTTCTCACTGTCATTTTTTTTTGTCTTATAAAACCTGCTGATTGCCCGTCCGGCTGCTCTTATAATTTGGTATATTTGAATATTGATGGCACCGTCATTTTATTTATGAATATCCTCTAGGGGCTATCGAGTGGGCGTGTAATTCGAATATCCTTTATTTCTGTCAGATATTTATGAGATACAATGCTTTGTCGTCAATTACCCGTTTTTTGTTGAACGTCAAACATTTTATATATTGAGAAATTATAATTTAAACAAAATTTGTTTGCTTGCATTTGCCTTCTCCGTTCTTATTCATTCTATTTTTTGGGCTACAATCTGACATGAATATAAACAAGGAAACCCCTTGAAACTTCTAATAGACAAAATCGCTATAAAAACTTTATTCGAAATACGATTTTTTGCAGAGGTCGGTGTTTTCTTACGTAACCGAAGCTCGCCAACTTCAACGCCTGTTGTTTTCCCACACCGTTCTTTTGGCCGTCATCGTCTAGTCACCGGCAAAACATACCACAATCAGGCAGCATATTTGGCGCCGTCAACGTCGCGCTCAACCCAATAAACTCGAGAATCGCGTGTCGCCAGCGATTTATTCATCGACGGCCGGAATTGGCACATTATTATTTGTACATGCCGCCGGTGTTATTAATTACGTCGTTGCTATTATTTCGTTGAATGCGTTCGTACGAGTTTGTGACAAACACGCCGATCAGGCTCGATCGCCATAAAAGCTATTTGGTGGATGATGTGGCTTTGGTCCGAACGGCGCCTGCAACGACACCGTCGCCGTCAACGGGTAAGCGATATATTTTTAGAGATTTTTTTCCCTTTTTATCGCGATTCTATTACTGATCATTTTTATGTGTTGAAGCTTTTTCTTTTCTCTCAATTGCCGACAATGGGGTTTTTAATGACTCATTTTGATTTATTAGTTACGAAAAAAGATCGTGTTAAGCGTTCCCACTATTAAATTTCGTGTAAAGTCACACCATAACAAAAACCATTAGAAGCGTTATAAGGGTCAACTTTCGGGGTGGCCTGAACCTCAAAAACGGACATATGCCCATTTTTCATAATATTTATTTTTTCCACTTTTCCAATTGTTTTTTATTCAAATATTTTGGGTCGTTTTGTAATCACATTTCATTTTTTTGGTGGGGTTTCACCGGATGCTGTTCGCGCGACGACGCTCCAAGCCTCTATGCAAACAAAACATAAAATAACAAGACAAAACAATGCAAGAAAAAAGACGTTGCATTTTTCTTTCTTGTATTTTTTGAATAAGTCAATCAATTTCAATTCGATCCGTGGAATTCATCAAATTTCATATTTTATTTCAATCTTCCGGGCTATTTAATAACTTTATCGGTTTGTGAAATTGTTTATTCAATATTTCCAATTGAGGAATATTAACATCACACATTTAAAAAAGAATTACTTGGTTTTAAAACTGATTGATATTTTTTTAAACTTTTGAACGCAAAGAAATCTTGACAAAAAAATAGTCATAAAGATGAAGGATTCCACTAATAATATTAAGTGCTTAAATTGCCGTTGGCAAGAATTTTATCAAACTATGTGAACAAATAATCAAGCTGAATATAGAAAAGCAAATTTTTTGATCAAAAAAATCAAATTTTCCCAATTTTTTTTACTTTAGTAGCGGATTCTTGAAAAGTTACACCTCTCCAACATCATAAGGCGAACCGAATCATATTAACTAATATATTTTTTTCCCTATATTCTAAAATTCGCCCTATCCTTGTTTATTCATTTTTTATAAGATATGATAAAATGTTCTTCCTTCGCCTATAAACCAAAAAATTGATGCCCTAAAAATTGTTGGTAGCAATCATTCATATTTGTTTAGTTTTGAGCGTATCTCATTTTTTTATTCAATTTTTTTTTTGCGTTCGACCAAAACATACAAAATTTATAAATAATGTTCCGTCTCTTGAGAGCTTCCGAACACACAATTACAAAACGTCATAGGTTTTCAATCATGCTTCTTTAAACAGATTTGAGGTCGCCGCACTAAAAAATTGGGAGGATAACCGAGCGAATGAAAATTGAGATGAGTTGAGATATCGTTGACCAGTTTTTAAGAATCGTATGTAATTCAATGCCTCCTCATACTATGCATTTATAACTTATCGTCTAAATCTTTGTAATGTTTTTACTCCCCCCCCCCTTTCTCATTCTAAAAACAAACTTTGGTAAGTCCTATTCCAGAAATTCATAAGTTTTGGCCCAAACCGAAATATGGTGGTTAAAGCGGTATTGTGTATGTAAATCTCAACGGAATATATTGTGGGTGCGCTGTGTTGAATTTTTGCCGAGAAGACGAGCCGACAAAAGTTATTCGTTATATGCCCATGGGAGCACTTGCTCTCGTGTTCTCAAATGTATCCAATTCGCGACAAAGACGCATTTCTCCACACAGGATGCGCACAAGTCCATCAAATCTCGACGGTGAAGGGGGGATTCTCGCGTAAAAATGAGCAATTTGTTAGGGTCAAAACGATTCCAGTTGACTATGGCTATTTGAGCCCACAGGGGAGAAAAAAAATTGAAGAGAAACGAGGAAATTGACATTATTATGACATCGTCAACATTCATCAACAAATCTCCGGTGCCGCCTCGCCAGAAATTCGACGCTCTATTCATCCTCACATCCATATTATTATTATTATTATTATTATTATTATTATTATTATTATTATTATTATTATTATTATTATTATTATTATTTTGTCCTACGACGTCACAGTATTCGTTCTTTCTTGGTTTTTTCTTTTTCGTCGTTTTTTTTTTTCGTTTTCTTTCGCCCCCCCCTCCCACATTTTTTTTAAATGATAGGACCCCAGCCATTGAATCACACCAAATTGAGAAGTGGCCGGAATGCAAAAAAAAATGCCGAAAAGAAAAGAACGAAGAATGGATAAGTGCCCCATCATCATCATTGTAGTGATGCTTCAGATATTAGCCAGCTTTTGAACATTTGGAGCGTTTTTATTTCTCCTTGTTCGGAATTCTCAATTTTATATAGGATTAATCAAAATCGTAATTTTTCCTCCCTTCCCCCCCCAATAATGTGCTGAAGGGTGGTTGGGTGTGTGTTGCCGAAAGATGAAACACTATTTACGCGAAGCATAACACAGCGCATTCCGACCAAATTTGGAAGCCGAATTTTGCAATCCATCGGATAATAAAGTTTTGCAAACCAAATTTTGCAAGTTGACATTGCATCGGAATTTCTTGATTTAAAGAGTTATATATATATATATTTATATATGAATAGATTTTGAATCATATAATGGAATTACAACATAATTATCAGAATTCTTTTAAGCTAATTAGTTACATGTTTTCAATAAGTATTAAATTTTTTAACAAAACGTTTTATCTAATAAGAATGAAAAAAAAAACAATATGTGTCATAATTTTGGGAAGAAAAACGATTGCCTCATTTGTAGGAAAACTCCAAGAATTTTTTGTAGAATGCGTACCATGAATGGGATTTGTTTTAGTCAAAACGATCTTAACAACCGAAAACCGTTTTTATTGCGTTTTTGTTGTTAATCGAGTGTTCAATTGATTTATGCGAGAACAATCAAGATTTACATTTTGACCTAAATCGCGTCATGCCACCTCTTAAGTATGTTGCAGTATTCAACACGTGTCTATTTTTACAATTCCTAATAGCTCTGCCCATTGAATTGCTAATAAGCTTTAAGCGGTACAATCCGCATCGTCCCGAAAATCCGTTTTTGACTCGGCCCACTCACATGGGAGGTCAAATCGTTTGCGCGCGAAAACTTGAATAAACACAGATTATTAGGATTGAAACGCGTGCGCATCGTTTCGACATTTCAATGCGAATCGAGGTGGATTTGAGTATGTTTGAAGTAGTAAAATACTGTATGACTAGTCGCCAGCATCATCATCATCAGGCGATCAGGCAGGACACGCAGGCAAAACTTTTGCGCGTCCTTGACTTGAATAGAAAAGCGCTTCTTCGGTTGTTGTCCATCACAAAACCACACACCAAGACTTCTCTCACGTTTTATTATATAAACATTATTGAATCCAATTCCGAATGCCATCAATTTCAAGTGATTGATAGCCAACCGTTTATGGTATGTTCGTAAGCCTTTTGATCTAAAATTTCCCGCGCATTTCGCAAAAGTTTTGCTTGCTGCTTTCTCCCATCCATTAATTTAACATTGGAGCGAAGTTACAATTTTACAAACTAACCCCAAACTTGTCGAATGTCCGGCAAGTATTGTTGCTTTCTTCAATCGTTGATGCTCGAGTTTGCACGCCAAATGTTTGAAAAACTGAGGAAATCGACGATGCAAGCCGCGAGCCAATGATACCACAAGGCGATTGTTCATTTTAACTTCCGAATTTGCTCACACGACAGGAAGAGCCATTATCCGGAAAAAGTTCCACATAGTGTGGTTGCGATTGAGAATTGGCTAAGAGTGTTTCGGAATGCGACAGCCTACTTCATTTTTGTTTTCTCAATCACTGTGCAACCAGTATAATATTTTTGCGGCGAGCTATTTTTTTTCTTGAAAATGCTTCAACCGACTTTTTTTTTAAAGATTTTGTGCGTTTAGGCCACCAGTCGCAGACGAAAATATTTGCCCAAAATACTGCAAAAAAGAGAATTTTTGTTTCGCGCGGGGAGCAGACGATTTCGTGGAAACCAAATCAACTTTGCTCTTCGCCAAATCCCGATGTCCTTGTCGTCGTTGTCGCCTACTCGTTTGGTTTAGCGTCTTTCTCCTTAGCCAATTGCATTTAAGTCGTTTCCCTTCTGTTCATTTCCGAGGTTCAAGAACGATTCAATTAAATTTGAAATGCAACATTTTTTTGCCCGCCACAAAAAATCGGTTTTTACTTTGTTGTTATACAAAATTGCGGGAAACTGATGATGGCCTGGAGAATAATCTGTTCTCTGACCCGATTTTCGATTTCTCCCTCAACCGATTAGGAATTCCGATTATGTTCTTTTTAATCCATTTTATTTGATGGTTTGATTTATCCAACACAATTATCCACTTCACTATTCTAGTTCAAATCCCAAGGCATCTTCTAACACATTGTTTTTTTTAGCTGGTTTGACTTCCGATTTGTCATTTCTTATTTTTGTTTCGTTCCAGCTTCTTCCTCGTCGGGTGTGACCATGATTGAACGATGCGTGGTCGTACAGCGACAAGCGGAAGGGTTTGGACTGACGGTAACCGGTGATTATCCAGTGTATGTGCACACGGTGAAACCTGATGGAGCTGCTTATTGTGCAGGAGTGAGGCAAGGCGATCGAATTGTTAAGGTTAGCCGTACATCAAATCACTAAAAGATTATTCGACAACAAAAAATGAACACCCATCGGAAATTTGATAAGATCTTAAATTTCAATCTTACGAAATTCATATCATTTCAAAGCATCTCTCCGAAAGATAGGCAATTTTGATACCATGCAACATTATTTTAATGTTTGGATTTTCGCCCTTCTTTTTCATTATTTTAATAAGACTCATTTTCAGGTGAATGGAATGCCAGTCACAAATGGTAACCACCACGAAGTAGTTCGCATGATATCAGGTACAAATTTGACACTATTCTTGAATTTCTTTTTGTAGAATATTTTGCTCGAAATACTTGTGATTTTTGTAGGAGGTCAAAACGTGGCGTTAACACTTCTTGGCAAGCCACCCGAGCCATTGCCGCCAATGCCTTTCAAGAATTTGAAATTTGAGCAGAAGATACACATCGCCGACCCAGTATTGATTGAGGTTAATGTGTTGAAGATGCGTGTCTGTGTCGTTTTTCACACTTTTATGAGCAGTGTTGGATTTTTATACACCCTGAAACAAAATATGGGGAGAAAAATGAGGGATGTTCGCGATGAAATTGGGGGGATGTATGATGAAATTGGAGTACGAAAAAAATATATATATATAACTTCGCATTTGTTAACCTGAAATTTGGTATTGTTCCACATAGAATGGAAAATATCTTTAATCATTACCAATTTGATTTAATCTAGTATACGATTATTAGTTCTTCCGAAATCCTCTTAATGATTTAAATTGACATTAAAACAGGAAAATTTGGTTCTGTATTGGATAATAACGATCATAATAGACAAATTATAAAGTTTCAGGCTAGTTCGACAGATTGGCGTCGTCGTCGAAACGAGCTTCTTGGTCAAATGCTCGATGATGAGCTGAAGCATGTTGAGGTTCGAGTTTTCATAATGCGAATTTCAAAACTACTCCCAAATAAGCCCTCATCCATTCATTTTCGCCACCACCAGCCCCCACACGAACAAAAAAATTTTTGCCGACAGAACGTGTTCTCCTCTATCTTCTCAATTTTTGTTTGTTTCGTGCGTGTATTGCACTGCGGCGCCAAAGGACTTGCCAGTTTTTTTTGTGACGAACCCTCTTCTTTTTTTGGCAAATGACGGGCTTCTGTGGGACTAATATTTTAAGCTTCAAAGCGTTCCCGCGGAATAATGTAGTTTATTTGGATATTTTGGTGGAACGCCCTTAAGTTGAACTTCGGCCTGCTCGTTCATTGGCCCTCACTTGGTTGGGAATACGGTAGTCATAAGTTTAACGCTCAAAATTCATGCAGTAATGTTTTGTTTGAGACATGATTTCAAATCCTCTCAAAAATCCTTATTTGACATTTTAACTATTCAATGATAATTACTTAACTGATTCTATGAATATCTCTTTGAGAAATCCAGAATTATTTTTTGCCCTTCAATTCAAAAGTTCGATAATATTTCTAGGAAAGTTTAAGGAGTTTTAAGGATATGATAGTACATTAATTTATCCATGTTTACATTGAGGTTTCATATTTAAAATTTCTTCTGTCAATTTTTTTATATAACGTTAATAAGAAATTGTACCTTTTAACACTTTTTTTTTAAGGCTAACATTTTATTTGTTGGAATGCTAACGAGTTTTTCACATTTTATATTCCAGTTAGTTTATCATCGTAAAAAAAATTTTTATGCAGAAAAACTTCTAAAATGTCTTGTTCGCTAATAATAAATATAGGTTTCATATAATGACTAGCTTCGACATACCGTACTTTTTCACGTAATCCGTCATATTTACTTGAACAAAATTGTCAGGATAATTGCTTATTTACAATTTATTAATCATACAATTATGAAAATTATGTTAAAGTTTGCGTTCTGCACGTTTCGATCATTCCATTTTCTAAGTTTTTGACCTATCATTCATGACGTATTCTCTTTGAGCGCCCAAGCGGGTTGGGTTGATTGATTGCGGCTCCACATTTTTCGAAAACGTTTTTTTTTTCAAACATTTATCATTGTCTTTTTTGCGGATCGTATACTTCCCAAAACTCCCAGTAGGAATGTGAACGTTTGGGCGTTTCTTTTTTTTCGCAATTTATTGCCCTCGTGACGATTATTTATTTTTCGTATACGATGGCTCCTCAATTAATTCCACCGGATTACTTTTTCATGGTCAACAATACTGTCAGTGGACAGCTGTCTCAAAATCTGAAAACGACTAATTTTCGAATCGAGAGATGAACAAATTGAAGGATTGACCCCTTTTTGACATCAATTGCGGCACCAAGTTGGCGAGAATTGAAAGAAGAGGGAGTGCGAGCCCCAATGTTGGTTGTAGGGCTGGCGGTGGTGGTGGTGTCAAGCAAAGTTGTCGAATAAACACAGATTTGTTAGGCGGTCTGCTCATTGCGCGCCTTTTCACAAATCCAGCCATGTCGTCGCGTCTCCAATCACAGAGTCTTGTCATTTTGTCCCTTTTTTTCGTTATGTTTGGGTCCTCGCCAGAAAAAAAAACTTTTTTGGTGTGGTTATATACAACCCGTTGTTTACGATGTTGTGCGCCAACTTTGGTGTGCTTCGTTTCGAATTCCACAACACAACCATTCATGTATTGAACAATTTAATAAAAAACAATTGTAAGCAATGATATTCCGTAATTTTCGCTGTAATAAAAAAATTTAAATACAAAATTCCCATAGTTCTCAAAAACCAAAATATTGTTTGAACGCGTGCTTTCTCGAATAAAAATTAAATTAGGTAAAGAAAATTTGGGTCAAGAATGATTAGCTTCATACACCGTTTGTTTTTACGCGGACATTGCCCTATGAAATTAGCGCATTTCTTATCAATGCATTGTGACGCTTCACTGTTTTTATTCAGGGCCTTCGTGAATCGTCACAGAATGTTGAAAAAATCGATCGGGCTTTGAAAAGAATTGTCTCATTACAATCTCAATTAAAACATATCCGACCAGAGACGTCATCACCCAAGGAATACGTGACGAGTCGCAAAACGAATACGGTAAGACTTTGAATTCCTTTCCATTTTTTTCCACATTGTGAAATCACATGAATTTGAATTATAGGCAGCAAATCTACCGATGGATCTGGACAGCGACGAGGACGAAAACGATGTCATTTATCTGGTTGGCTTTATGGCTGTTAGGTCAATTTCCGCGTTCTTTTCTTTCAGCCGGAATCTCAAGGAGGCCCATTTTCGAATTTGGCAGAGCTTAAGACTCATCCAGCTCATTTAGCAGTATTTATCAATTACTTATTGACCAACGCAAATCCAAGCAGTTTGGTAATAGCTATACATTTTCGGAAATTGAGCTCAACATTGTTTAAATTGCAGTTCTTTTACCTTATTACCGATGCTTATCAATCAGCGTATGGAACGGCGAAAGAATTCCGAAGATGGGCTTTTGAAATTTTCTCAACATTCATTATTCCAAATTCTCCAATGTGCATTCCGAATTCGGATCAGAGCATTATTCAGCCGATTGATAAGGTAAAAGCAATTTTGAACCAAATTCAAAACTGGGCCATATAATTTTAAGATAATGTGCATGACTGCGGAACACATTGGCGACAGTGATGCTGACACTTTAAAAAGGGTATTTGTGCCAGGAAGACAGCGTGCAGTTACGGATATCAATGTGCATTTGAACGAGTTCCGTCAAAAAAAGCAGCTCGGTAAGCAATTTTGATAAGTTAAAGAATGGCCATGATTAAATTAAAATTTTTTTTAATTTTCATTGTCGTTTTTAAACGTTTATGAAGAAGAGGGATTAGTTTCACTTATTCGTTTCTAGCCAATTTCCCAATTTTTTTTAAACCTGTGATTTTTCTAATTATAATGGCATTAATCTTCTACATTTTCAGGAGGGCAAGTTTCCGAATCATCGAATCAACTTGCGCATATGGTGCGTGGAGATATGGCCATGGAGCATCGAGTAAGTTGCACAATGTCAAAAAAATGATTTGCCCAATTTTTGAAGGTCGGAGAGCAAATGCTATTTCGCTGTCTCGATTTTTGTAGCAACTCGGCGGATTTTGACAACTGCGAAATTCGAACGCAAGCCATATTGTCCAGTTTGGCAACCGTTATTAAGGTTCGAATTAAATGCCAATGATTGGAATATGAAATTTCAATTTTCAGGTTGTTCTTGGTAAAACATCATCGGCTGCCAATGACAAAATTTTGGAAAAATTCCCACAATTCATCACACGCGATAAACCAGCGGGTAAGACGCGAAAAGCGCCAAATAACATCAAAAATAAAGTACAGGTACGATCTCATTTTCAAAATTGAAAGAAAAAAATCGTTTTTCATTTCAGGTTAAAGGTCATAGCTTTACGATAAGCTCTGTAAATACAGTCCATTATTGTTATCAGTGTCGTGATGCTATTTGGGGAATGCAACCATGGATATATTTTTGCAGTAGTAGGATCAATTTATAATGATTTCATTTAATTACTCCCCAATTTTAAAGATTGCGATGTGAAAGTTCATCCGCAATGCACTTCTTCGCTGACGGATGCTTGTTATCCAGCAACACAATCAAAGCAAAAAACCACCAAAGTAGCGAACCCTAATTATACATATGTATATGTTATACACATATAATTATTCAGTCGCGACTATCGGGACTAATTGGGCGCTCTGACGCCACGGAGGAGGACGACTTTAACAGTCATAGGCACGAGCCAAATAACGTGAAGTCGACGAGCTCGGATAGCGGAATTGGACACGATATTCATAATCACGATAGGAACGTTACGCGTTCTCATAGCATGAGGAATCGAATCGTAAGACACCTTTTCTAGTCTTAACATATGCATATGTTTTATAAATGCCAAAACCTGCTTTCAGTCAACAATTCCGCAATCGTACTCAGCCGAAGATAAAGTTATGTTGCCGCAGAAGAAGCGCGATCGATCCGCAACGCCGTCGTGGCAAATGAAAGGCGGTTTGCACGATTTGACACCCGCCGATGAGACCGACGAGAGCGACGATAGAGATCGTCGATTGCGCTTATTGGAGAGCAAGTAACAGCTATTTTTTTGACCTGCGATCTTATCTCAATTTCGCGCAATTTAGATCAATGGAAAACACTAATCGAATGGCTGTTGATTTGCAAAGTGTTAGTGCCGCCTCTAGCTGTTCTCATCAGAGTAGCCTAGTTGCCACAGACGACGAAAGTTACGTTAGAAAAACGACCACACTGCAATTCTCAAGCTTCATGGACGGTGATAGCGATTTTGAATTGGAAACGGAAGCCACGCCATTGGAACAGCTTGTTGGCTGGGATGTCATCAGGCATCTGAAGCCCAAAGAGAAAAAACGGCAGGAAGTTATCAATGGTTTCCTATTCTCTACTCATTCCGAATATATTGAATCATTTTTTTTCAGAACTTTTCCACACTGAGCGCACACATGTCCGCAATTTAAAGATTCTTTATCATTTGTTCTACAAACCAATCGTGCAGAACAAAGTAGTCTCCAGCGATGTCGCAAAGTTGCTTTTTGCAAATCTGGAAGATCTCTTGGCGTTGCATCAGAAGATGTCGGATGCGATGCGCGCGGCTGTTGAAAAAGTTTGAGTATCATCGATTTAAACCACCAATGTTTGATTTTTTAGTGGAAAATTGAGCCACCACACATAAATGGTGGTATTTATGGTGACATTGGTGAGCTTATGGAAAGCTTGTTTGAAGGTGAAGCTGGAGAAAAACTCATGCTCGTTACGGCAACGTTCTGCCAGCACCAACAGCATGCGTTAGAGTTTCTACGTTCTCGGTAACCATTTATTGGCACTAGAATTCAGTAATCATGCTTTAATTCAGGTGCAAACGCGAAAAAGATGATGCGCTGGTTCGATTCCTGAGCGAGGCCGAATCGAATCCAGTATGCCGAAAACTTCAACTCAAAGATATGATCCCTGTCGAGATGCAGAGGCTCGTCAAGTATCCACTTCTTCTTGAAACAATCGCGAAATATACAGCAGAACCGAGTGAAGTGAGGATTATTATAATTATGTTTCTTTTTCTCGAAAAACTAGTTGATTATTACAGGAACAAGATCGTCTTCTGCGCACCGTCGTTTCAGCGAAACGAATTTTGAGTGCTGTTAACACCGCTAAACGTAACGCTGAGAACTTAAGACGACTTGAAGAGCTGCAAAAGAGAATTGACACAACACCGTTTGACAAGGAGTTCAGTGGGCATGACTATGCCTCTCTTAATTTGACAAAGTACCGACTTGTTCATGATGGTCCACTTACGTGTAGATTCAATCGCGGTAAAATGGTCGAGCTTCATGTTGTTCTACTGGAAAATATGCTTGTGCTTTTGACAAAACATAGCGACGGCAACAAACTCCAGCTTAAGGTTTTCAAATTCAAAAAAATATTTTCTAGCTTATGTTCTATTTCAGACCCTTGAGCCGTCAAAGGAAACAAAATGGTCGCCCATTTTGCCGCTTGCCCCGCTGATTGCTAAGGAAAAAGCGAATGACAAGAGAGCATTTTTCCTAGTGTTTAATAGTCAATATGGCGCACAAATATATGAACTAGTGGCCGGAACAGCAACCGAACGGAAAACGTGAAAAAACAGCCAATTTTAATTACCTTACAATTATGATTTCAGATGGTTTAAATTGATGAGTGATCAAATTGAGCAAGAGAAGAAGCATCAAACAATTGGAATTGAGCCAAGTTTTGAAGTTGGACAGACGACTTTAGATTCCGATGGTGTTGCTAAGGTAGAAAAGTAGAAGCATACGAATAGCTTTGAAAGGTATTGCCTTGCAGGTCAATGTTGTGACTCACCCACGCCTCGTGAACGCTAATGAGATTACCATTCAACAACCAACTATCCTTGAGCATGCTCAACCAGTTCTCACACCCGCAGAAAAGTTGAAAAGAAGTGATGAGATAATTTTCCAAGCCTTACTCACAAAACAAACAATCCTCGCTCAAATGCTACCTTGTGATAATAAGGTACGAATGTCGATGAACTCGTCAAGTTATTTCACAAATTCCAGAAAGCGAAGGCTGAAGAGTTGGAAAAACTAACGGAACTTTTGGGCGGTCTTGCCGTTCAAGATCTCAAACAACGCGATGGGAAAGAGCTGGCAATGTCTGCAATTGTTCATGGAAATCGTCTTCTGGACAGTATTAATCAGAGTATACTCAGCAACAATGATGGTTTTCCTTTAAAATATATATTTAGGCTTGAATGCAAGAAAAGAATATAATGAGGATGGAAGCGAATCTTTGAGCTTAGAAAATCAAGAGCCAAACGTGCCTTCAGTGCCATCATATAAGCTTACTGCAATAGCAGCGCCTCTAATGAATCACTTGAAAGCCTTGATGACTGTCATTCAAGACCAACAGAATGAAATATCTGTTGTTAAACAGCAGCTCTATCAGTACAAGGTAAATATTTGAGGGTTTGATCACTTCGAAAATTTCATTTTCAGAAACTTGCAGCAGACTTCGAACCTCGAGACCGATCAGTCAGTGAAGAAACCCTGACAGAGGTCGGGGATAGTAATGAGAGAAAACTGATGACAAAGCGCCAAAGAGCGCCGTCAATTCAGCCAATAAGTTAAACTTCTTGTTTTTTTGGATGTATTTTCGCAAATTTTGTTTTTAAAGATTGTACTGTCCAATTCTGATTTACTTTATAGATGTTCATCTAACACCAGAGAGTTATTCCAATTATTTTTTATGTTGATTCCACTTTGCTCATCATTCCTTTTTTTATAACGCAACACAGAAGAATCTATTGTTTCATGTTAAATATCAAATCTTTTGAACTAGTCTCATATTTTTTTCGTGCCGCTTTACCAGATAAATAAACCATTTATTTTGCCAGAAAATATACAGAAACCCATATGGCTAAACGTAACATGTTTTTGGGTGTGATTTAGAGTGGATAGCAATTATTTTCGTGGCAGAAACTGTCCTTGGGGCACATGTAGTTCAAGCATGGTCCAATGGAATCTTCTGAAAGTGTTTTGATTAAAAAACATTTGAAACTGAATTCATTGTTTTTAATTTTTTTTTGTCAAAAAAATTTAACGTTAGTTCATAGAAAATCTGAACTTCAAAACAAACTGCGGTATCTTTAAATTGTTAACGAAAATCACCTTTTTTGAGTCTTGGCATTTCTGGAGCAATGCCTTCTGGGACACATTGACCATAATAGCAGACATGCTTCGATTGGCAACGATCAGCGATGCATGGTCCCACTGCTTTTTCAAATATGGCGTCTGACCCGATTCAAATAATTATAGAACGTTTAGTTATAATATACTTACGTCTGTCAACTTGCGCTGCAATTGCGATGACGAGAAGACAAAAAACGAGAATGGAGTTCATGGTTGTGATCGAAGTGATGCATCAAATCGCGCGGCTCACCCTTTTATACCAAATTCTTTTGCTTGTTTATTTTGAATTGCTCACTGACGAAAACACGCACCAGGGTCGAGCAGATTCTTCTCACGTCTCGAATTGAATTCATATTATTTATTTGCGCGCGATGCAGGTGCTCGTGCAGTACTACAGATCGCATTCTGATATGAGATCGCAAGAAAAGCGGTTTGTCCCGTGAGCCGATTTGTCAAAATAACGTTGTTTGTTTAGCGCTTCGCTAACAAAGTTTTGCCTTTTTTTGGTTGTTTTCACTTCTTACAATGAACTTTCTTTATTGTTGTTCAATAACATTCCAAAGCTGCACAAATAAACAAAAAGAATGGATTGCATAAAAGGAAGGTTACTGGAAATATGGGAGATACAATTTGGAAATTGTCTAAATTCAAATAAATACAATTACTATTCAAAAAATAAAAATATTTTCAGTTCGTTTTCGGTTTTCGTGGAGCGGGATGCATTAGATCGTAAATATAAAACGGGATGCATACAATCGGGAGCCAATAGTACAGTGAAGACCAGAATCTGAATTGAGCTAATTATGAAAAAATTGTTTGCTCATTAGTCTACCTATGAACGTCAGCACCATGCTTTAATAAGAAACCAGTAGCTAGCATTTCGAATCCTCTACATCGGATGGTGTGAATATAACTGAAAATTAAATTAGTAATCTCAGCAATATGAAAGCATCGACAAACTTACAGATATCTGAACCAAGCCGGACGTTTTCCGGTTGCAGGATTAACTGGAACAAGTCGGAAAATGACATCCTCGAGTTTCGCACACATTGCAACAACTCCAAACGACCTACAAAATATTTTCATAAGGTAATTCTCAGAAATAGTTACTTACATGAAATATCCAGCGTAAACACCATGCCATAGCGCAGAGACCAGCATAGTCAGTTCAACTCTGAAATTATTTTGCTTATATAATCAAGTCCATATTTTCGTTTTATTTCATTTTATATAGAATATTTTTATTTGCATTTAAAATGATTGTATTTGCTGCAATCCATTATGTACTGAAATATTCCAAAATTGCTAATTAGTAATAAATAAATAGCTATTATATTTCTTAATGATAAATAAACATCAATTTTTTTGCTTACGTCAACATTTTTCTTTCACAGCCGTATACATTGCTCGAAAATTACAAGGAACTACTTAAATAAGCGGTTTACCTCATAAATTTGACTCTAGAATGAACGTATATGGCCAACCATGTCTGAACAGATCGATTCCATGCTTTCATACCATCTCTGAAGCCATTTGAGAATTCCACCTATAATTGCATAAATAGAATCAAGCTAAAATTGGCAAATAACCTCGGGAATATTCAAATTGACAATTGCTTCGCTATCCATTTCGACATTTTCCTTTTTTTGAAGCTCATTGAACTTCTCTAGATCAGTTGGGCCCACAATGATTCTTGGTTTGCTTTCTACTGGATATATTCCTATTCCGAGAACAACACAAATAGATTCAGCAATGGCCCAAGCGCTGAAAAATTATGAATCTTGTACCATACATCTTTTGGAATACTCAAAATACCTATAAACTCTAGCGCGGAAAACAAGAAAGATTGCAGCAGCATATATAAAGCGTATCCATATGCTCACGTTCCAAACGTCGTCAGATCGAATGGTCTGTAAATTCACTTAAAAAGGAAAAAGATTCAATAAGAAGTTACATCAAGGGGGCACAGGCGATTGGCAATTATGAACACTGGTACGGACCATAAAAGTCGCTTCACTCGCTTCATTACTTCATTCTTTGAACTCCAAGATTTGAGAATTGGATTTTGGGAATCAAGTAACATTTGATAGGTATAATAAGGTCCTAAAATTCGCAAATGATTCTAAATAAATAAAAAATTGTATACCTGTGAACAATCCGCAGAAATGGTAGAAATATGCAAGTTTTTCCAAAAGATTTGGTAGTTGTGTAAGATATCTTTTTTTCTTTTTCTCATCTTCAACAGACCCTTCGACTAATTTGGCATTATATTGCGCATCCGAAATTTCGAATGTGAGTCCAATCACCTATAAATAATAAAAATTGAGCATGGTTTGCAATGATATTCTACCCGAAGTGTAATTATCAGCTGAACGACGTTGGCGTGACTAAGAACTTCATCAACAGGAAGTATGAAGTGGATGAATCGCACAATCATCAAGTATACAAACGTGCCAATAAATACAACCAAGGTTTGGTGCCTTGAATTAATAACGGCTGTTTAGACTATTTTTTTATACTGGGATTTCACGACACAACATCATATATTTCCTTTTTCCAAATTTTCACCGCAATATTGTGTGAGTTATTATTTAGGATAGTATAATATATTAATTCAACTAGTTACGAACAATAAAATATGAACTAGTTCAATTCTAGAATTCAGAGAAACTCATAAACTTGATAAATTCAACATGGTTTTATTTTCAAAATTGACAATTTTAAATATTAATTTGTGGTTATCAGTTTTTAATACAAATCTCACTTTTTTGGAGCATATTGTTGCACAATGAGCACAAAAACAATTCCAATAATTGAGTAGACAATGCGAGCTCCTGCCAAATTGATATAAAATTGTTGTGTTAATTTAGAAGATAAACTTACGAAGTATTAATAAAACCATTCCAAACCCTATTGCTCCTCCCAAAAGAATATTGTTTTCCTTTGTTTTGATGAAATAAGCAGTTGCAAAAGATGTGAGAAGGATTCCGGTATATATCCAATCATCTTTGGACATCAACCCAAGTAGACGGTCCATGGTCTAAATAAGCAAAAAAATATGAATAAATATTGATTGATAATATTATATAATTTTAACAAAGGTTGATTGAAACGTGGAATTGTACAAAAATTACTAAAATAGCATTCAATTGCTACAAGTTGGCGCGTTGTGGTACAATAATTCAAAAAGGTAATTTTGGCAGCGGTGACAAGCGCGCTCCATCGAACACAAGAAATAACTTGTTGTACAAATAATTGCAGCAAATTTCCACGTCTCTTTTGAATGTAATTAACTATACTATGTAGTAATGTGTTGAAGTTATTTCCACCAAGACGTTGATTGAATTATCATAATTTCATTGTATTTACCCATTTTTAAAATTGGTAATAATTAAAAATTTTAGAAGCGTTTTTAGCTGATATAACTGTTTTCAACGCATCCCTTTTTTGTATACATCAGTTATCGCATTGGAATCAAAAGAATTACAATTTTTTGTTCACATCCATCCATCTTTGTCGAATCGCCCTTCGCGTTGGTATTTGCACTTATAAATGAGTGTTCACGGCCACTTTATCTTTTATCTCGTTCACGCGCTCTATCCGTCGTATCTTCTTTATTCTACGCGACATTAGTCTCAAGTTTTGCAGATTGATTGAAAATCATCAAATAGGTAAATTCCAATAATGCCGGCGAGAAGTCAACAAATACTAGATAGTACGTTTCAAAATTTTTACTACATATATCATAATTTATTTGTTTTCCAGTGATATCACTGCTCGAGAAACAGCCTTGTGATGATTGTGGAAAGCAGGGCATCGAATGGGGATCACTCAACATGGGCAACCTTATTTGTGCAGATTGTTTTCTTTGTCATTCATGGATGGGTAAATTATTAATGTTTATGATGTTAGAAATAATTCAAAACAAATATCATAGGGTCATCGCATAGCATGGTAAGGCATCTTCGTAACGGAGTCATTGATGACGAACAAATAACTTTGCTATTTGCTCTATACAGGTGAATTTGAAATCCATTTAACATTTTTTAAACAAAATAACCAGTTTTTTTTAATAACAAAACCGATTCTTGGTTTCAAATAATTTTGATGTTGTGAAAAAAATTAGAAGCAGTTTTTAGCGCGCAAAGTTTGCCTTTAATATCTATATCTATTTTATTTTTATATAAATGTATATTTTTAGCTATTCGCTAAGACCGTTGCCTGAAATTTTTTTTAAATAAAAAGAAACTCTCTCTCGCGATCCCAACAATATGACTTTTAAAAAAGATTCACTAGAATTTCTTTCTCACTAAAGAACCAACAATATTGATTTTTGGGAAATCTTTAAAATTCGTTTTAATCGTAATATATTTTACCAATAAAGTCACTTTCCAGGTATAATGTCAACAAAATTTGGGAAAACACCTATGTCCCAGGATCGAGTAAACCAGAGAAACCAGGACCTCAGTATGAATCTATCAATTATGGAAAAGTTTCTGACACTTCATTTTTTCAGCTCATCATCATCAGCAAGAAATGATTTTATAATCGAGAAATACGTAAAAATGTCCTTTGCTCCCAAAAAGGAAAAATATAGCGAAAATCTTGATGAGCAACTTTTTGCTTGTGTTCGTGGCGACTTTGTTCATATAGCACTGAGGTATTTTTGGATGCACTGTAATCGCGAGTTTCAGCAATTTCAGATTAATTGCACTGGGTGCTGATGTAAACTATGTTGGAGAAAACGGCGATACGCCAATGCACGTTGCTGCAAGTAAAGGAATGGCTAAACAAGTCGAGCTTCTTTTCTTATACGGAGCCTATACAATGCGACCCAATAATGCTGGTGTGATGCCTTTCATGGCGGCACGTGAAGCTGGATTTGTAAGAAAGCTTATTTTAATCTAATGTCAGTTGTTTCAATTTCAGCCCGAGCTCGCTGATCGCATCTTCTCCTTCCAGTATTACTGTTTTGATCGGTTTTCGTTATACTTGTGCAATATGAAGCCAAATCATACGGTTAGTTTTAAAACTCAAACAATATGAAAACATTATTTTAGACCGATCAACATTATATTATTCCGGAGCACACTGTTAAGAATATTTCGAAAGAGATTGAACACTATGGCAAAAGACTTCAGGCAATTTCTCAACCCGTTTTCTGGGAGTTACTTAGTGACGTTTACGATGAGGTTCTTTGTCGGAATCAACGATAACTTATGGTTTCTTCGATTCAGATTGTGCGACGTGAAAATAAGGAGTTGTGGATCAGCTATAAGAAACGGACAAATCGCTCGGAAGATCGTGCGGAACCCGGTATGATGTTTCTTGTGGGATTACGAGACTCCTCGATGTTTCGCAGTCAGCGCAGGCAAAAACTCGCGAAATACTCACATTGCCAACTTTGTGTATTTATTATCGAACTCTTAAAGGTAGATTTGATTTTCACCTCAAAACACGATTTTATGAAAGAAAAATATTATGAAATTTAGGAGCAAAAGAGACGAGATTATAACCACCGCGATTCTAATAGTATTCATGGTGAACCGAAAGCATTGGCAAATTTCAAAGAGAAGACGAATTCATTTCTGGATGAGAGCACAGAGTTTCAGAAAATGGATTTGAAAAGAAGGTTGGCTAATTTCACACATAACACCGATTTTCATTTAAAAAATATATATTTATAATCTCCATTAAAGATTCAAAAAAGGGTCGATCTGATTTTGTTTGGTTATTTTCTCACTACAAAACGTATATCAGCTTGTTGATTGAAAACAGTTTCATTAAAAATTTTAAGTCAAATGTTTTGGAAAAGCTTATGTGCATACTAATTCATTTTAACCCTTTCCTTTAATGCATTTACATTTCAGCACTTCTGATGTTGCCGCAATTGAAGAGAATGATTATAGATCGATTGATTCATTTATCGATTCTGTTCCACCAGGAAAACGATTAGACCCCACAAACCTACTTGACGAAATTTTGGAGTTGAAAGAACGGATTTCTGTTTTGGAAGGCGAGAATAATTACCTAAAGGAAGAAAATATAAAGAAAACTCGGTATAGCGTTTAGTTTTTCACTTATCGTACAAGTGTTTTTCTTCAGACTGCTTAATGATGTCCAAGCTCAGAATTCAAACTTCAATTCTGAATTAGTTTCAATTCGGGAGGAGGTAAATAATTTTCTTGGCCACAAGTTTCCCTCGATGATCCCATTTGGTTTCTTGATTTATCATGTGAACACATTAATGACGCAAATTATCAAACTCTTATCAAGCTCCTTCCTGCAACTGAAATTCTCGATCGAGCCCTATTCCAGAAATAGAAACGAAATGTTCCAGATTGCTCGCCTTAGCCGAACACAAATGAATAAACGATTGCAATCGCCAATGTCAACGACTGACGATCAGTTTAGCTTTGTTTCTGGTCCTGGATTGAGCAGGCGGTATTGCCAAAACACATGTAGAGCAATAAATCACAAATAAATTTCTAGCGACAGCGAAGAGCGCACTGAGTGTGGCGGAGCACGTTGGAGGTCAAATTCGAGCGATCGTCGCAATTCGAATACTCGCAGAGGGGAGATTCATCATGAAGTGAAGGTGCAGCATGTTCGCCCAGAGCCATCAATAGGCTCACCTGTTTCAAGTACAAGAGCACTAAGAAATCCCGATTTTGTCGATCCAGGTGTCACTCAAGTAAAAAATGAGTGTTATCATTAAATTTCCAGTTTACTGCACGATGGAAGAGGTTGCTGATAAGGGTAACAAGGTTAACCATGCCATACGAGCTTTAGTTCAACAAGTTAACCTTGGGAATATGGAGCTTACTGCGCGAGAATGCGCCAAGGATGTCTCCATTGCAACCAATCGATTCATCACTTGCCTTCCAACTTGGACTGGCTTTAATAAAATCAAAAATCTAATGGACTCGATTGCTGTAAGATTCACTTGTGCTGCTTTTTTTTAAACGAGCAATATAATGTATTCAGATGCTGAATGCGAAATGCAATTCACCAGTTCTTGTTGCCGAAGAGATAAACGACGCTGCAAATTTTGTTGCTGATTGCATGTATCAATGCATTCTCGATGCTAAGAGAAACGGATAGATTTTTTTAAAATTTAAACATATATTTGATTTTCGAAACCCATTGCCTTACGAAATATAAGGTTCCACAACATTATGATAGTTTGTTCAACTAAGCTTTCAATGAAAATTAACTATTCCGGTAATATGAACAAGAATTTTTGAACCAAAAAATTAATTCAAGTCTCTGAACTGCTTGTTAGTCATGAATTCGATTGCCCAATGAGGATTACCCTCCGTCTCAACCAATTTTTACCTCTTTTTGATTGCCCTGCAATATTTTTTCAAGTTTTGTCTATTTTATAATACATAAAGTCGGCGCCCGGCGACTGATGTACGCGGGTAGATTTACGCGCATGCGCCTTGAAATGGTCTCGCCACGTTTGAATGCTTATTTTGCTGTTTTCACTTTAACTGCTTCATTTTTTTTGATGAGTTTCGCATTTCCTTGAATTTCCAACGTCATTCGATTAAAATTATCGAACCGGTCCATAAAATTTGAAATAATCTGTAATTCCTTGCGAGACCATTTCGAAAGACGCATTCCCGTAAATCTACTTGCGTATAGAAGTCGCCAGACGCCGACTATATAAGTTTCTCAAATTTTACCTGGTTTGTCGCATTTCATCGTCAGTCTTTTTATATATTATTATTTTATTAGCTAGTTAATTGGCAGTTTGTGTCATTTCCGCCCTTGTTAAATGCTTAGAAACTGCATAATGTTGCTCATGTTGCCTTCGATTTATTGCCATCGCTTTTTTTTTTCCTTTATGACGCATTTGATTTTGTTTCAAATGAATAAATTGTGCAGTAAATTTGACCGATTGATGCGATAAACGTTGAACAAACACAATTAAAAAATGTTAATGTTGAATTCAAAGAGTATGATTGAGATGAAGAAACAACGGGTAAAAAAAGAACCATAAAGCGAGGAATATGCAAGAGGGACTGGTGTGGTGATAAGGACAAATGAGCACTCGAAACTCCATTTTCACTTTTTTTCTGTCACCGAGCGTGCAAACCGTTTTGACTCTTTTTTTCGTTCCCAAGTTCTTAAATTTCTTCGTGAATTTTAGGAATGGCCATTGAACGGGGTGCTCAAAAACCCATACGAAGACCGCCGGGTAGACCCCGGCGAATGGTTTTTATTGAAGAGGAGCACCGAAAATCGGAATATCGATATTGGTGGATGGTCGTTTTTGGTTTCTACATTCTGCTATCGGAAACTGGTGTTCGGCAGGTAATTTATTCCTTTTAATTTTATTTGTTCGTATTTTTATGAAACCAACAAAAATTAACAATCAATTGTGACGCTATCGTTTTTTTTGTTTTTAGGTTATGAATGGATTCGTCACACCAATTATGGAATCGTTGAATAGTACTAAATCTGAGACTGACGCCGCACTAATAACAATTCCAATATCTACTAGCCTTGTGTCAGGTTTCATGAAATATAATTTTCTATTTTTATGAATAATAGTTAAGGACCATTTTCTTCGGCTGTTTATCAGCGAGTAGGAGCCCGAATAAGTATACTTATTGGAGCTATGCTTTGCTTCATCGGATATATTGCTGGAACATTTTGCCGCCAAATCTACACAATGATGGCATTAGCTATACCAATTGGTAGGAATATAAAACAGAAAACACTATTGAAGAATTTTTTAATTATTCAGGAATTGGTTGCGGATTGATGCGCTGCTCAATTATCTCTGTCCAATGTGAATACTTCAAAAAGAAAAGAAATGCAGTGATGTCATTCATATCAATTGGACCTGGTATTGGTATATTTGTATTGCCGCGAATTCAAAAATGGATCATGGATATGGTAAAATGCCTAATTTGTAAACTCCAACGCATTTTTATTCTAGGAAGATGGTGCTTGGGAACCAGCATGGTATTTTCTTGCCGGACTTTATGTGATTAGTGGAATTATGGCTTTATTTATCACACGAAAACCTTCATCACAAACTGGAGGATGTTCGCTACCAGAAACAAAAGTATCAACACATTTATGTTCATCGAATAAAATTCTTTTTCGAGGTTTTGAAAAAAGTGGAATTCGATTTGCATCTTGTCGCATCATTTCTAGCTGCTGGCGTCAATTTTATTTACATTTCAAACATATTGATTTTAATGGAAAAGGAAAACATTGAAGAGTTTATTGAAAACTATTGATTTCATTCATTTAAAACATTTCAGCAAGGAAACTGTGTACGGCTATCAAGGAATTGCAACGATTATCGGCAAATTCGTGATGACTTTTGTGATGAGCACGGATAAAGTAAGAAAGCGATGCTTTTTGAGAATGCTTGGAATATGATTTTCAGTTTAAAATCGGTTATGTTATAATCGTGAGCTATTTGATTGCACAGCCTTCGCTTTTCTCCGGAGTTTTTTGCTATTCTCTCTGGCAGTTTAGACTTCAAAATTTCTTCTCCGGAATTGGACTTGGTGATTTTCCAGTGTTCCCTTTGAGATAAAATATACGGTTGTAGGATTATACCAAGCAGCTAGTGTACCTTTTATTGTTGCTATGGTTGGACCATCTCAATTGGCATATGCTCTTGGGTACACCAGTTTTGTAAATGGTCTCGCCATTGTGATCATGTGGTGGATTTCAAGTACTTTCATTTTCTCACACAAACACCATAAAGCCAATTTCAGACAAATTCGTTGAGATAGGCAATAGTGAAGATTCACGCAATGTCTTTTATATTTCCATATATATGGGCTGTGCCGCTATCGTTGTCGGCGTCGTCACATCTTTTGTATTGATGTCGAAAGAGAAACATAAACGCAAACCGTCAATGAAACAGATGAGGCATTCGTCGGAGCTCAATGCACTTTCCAACATTAACTCGGTTGAAAATTGCTAACGTGTAAGGCCCTAAAAACATTTAATGCCACACTTTGCTCTTCCTCAAGGTTGGGAATGAAGAGTCACTTGATAACACTGAAAGTATTGGTAATCAATGTCTGTTTTTGGTCTCTGTCACGTGAAATCAAAAAAAAAATTATCGACAATTTGCGAGTGATTGAATCGATGCTTGTTAATTTGGAATAGATAAAACTAGAAAATAGCTTCCAATTTACGCATAGTTCGAGGGTTCAAAGTTCATTAAAAGTGCATCAAATACTTATATGGTCAATCGAATATAAAAGTAATTATTTTCTGAAGATTGGTAGTACATATAGTCTATTTCTTTAAAAAAAAACGGTTATATACATTAATTTTTTTTTTTGCAAAAACGTACCTGGTAACTCAAAATCAATCTGATCCTACAAAATTCAGCTACGGAATCGACCTTATTCAATTGGAAATTCTACAAATAAGATTGTAAAATTGTCGGACCCGATTGATTATTAATCGAATCCGTTTCGTTTTAATCTTTCAGTTTGAATCCGACAAATATTCGAAAAACCAATCGGTCTGATAGATTAACAATCTTATCCGTAGATTTTCCAATTGGATAAGGTCGATGCCGGAGCTGAATTTTGTCGGATCCAATTGGATTTGGGTTACCAGAGCTGTTAGGCATGTTTTGTTTGGAACATACTATAGTATAAGATATTCGTAATTAATGGATAATATTTTTGTTAAAAAAGTTAATTTGTCTAACTGTGAAGAATAAGGTTAGAAAATAAGTTCAAAGCTCATTTTTTTTAATTATTGCGATTAATTATCTAATGGTTGGTAATTATGATGCAATAGGTATCACGGAATATTTTGTACGCCAATGGCTTGTGTATTCTTTTAAATAATAGATATAATGTGCTAAAGATAATCTAAATGAGATCTTAATGAATACGCATAGGATACGTTGCCAAAGGCCTTCTGTTATCATGCCTAGTTGAATAAGCGCAAAATATGTTCATATTTGTATTGTTGCAAATATTGATAGGAACATGTAAATATTAGAACATTCCAGAACACCTCATTCCCTCATCCCCACTGTTGTTAGTTCATTATCTCAACGGCATATGAATAGGAGGCACGCATATCAGTAGAAATGAGCACAATGTAATTTGTGCTCAAAAACACACTTGTGACACCTTTATTATTGTGATATCATTTCAGGAACGAGTTTCACTTCAATAAACGGTTGCCGGATGCTTATATCATTGTAGCCCCAAGTTGAGAGCACAAAGCGCTATTGATAAGTCATAATCTCGTTTGATTGTTCTATCATATGATTGTGTCTTCTGTTCACTGTATCATTCACTCACTAATAACGCCCCCATTCATTTCTTCTGTTGTCTCATTTTTATAACTTATTGTTTGTCTTTCCTCAAATTCCAACAAAGTTTGAAAACTCATCTTAATGCCACAATTAGCTTAGAATAATTCAATTCAAAAGCTGAAATGATCTTGTTTCGCCAAAAGTCCTTTTAGTGGCAGCTTCTAATCTTTTTGATTAGCATTGACCCCTTATCTTATATGCATTATCATTATCTCTTTACTTACCATACACACATTCTCTCTTCTTATACATCACATTTTAAAGTACTAATAGACCCCTGAAAATTAAAAATTATTAGATTATTTGTTAATAATAATGCTTGATTTTTTTTGGAAAAAAATGTGTATACTTGAAAAAATTATTCATTTTATTAATGTTTAATCTTATTTCATTGTTTTGTTAACTGTTATAAAGTAAAATGTATATATTTTTATAATAATTTATCTAAATTTAGCTATTGTTTGTTTCTCGCCACAGCTGAAAATTGACAAAATTCTGAAGAAAAAACTATGAAAGTGTACAGTAACTATTTAAGATACATGACTTTTTCCTTTATTTTGAAAACGATTAAAAGAAATTTAAAACGTAATGTATGCCATAGGGGAATAAAAATCCGAAGTGAAGTCAAATCATTAATCGATTTTTGTGCACTTTTCCGACATTGATGACTCTAGACGAAACATTTCGAATATTCAATTATGGCTTTATCAGCACCATACAACTTTGTATCCAGTTTTCCCATCAAATATTCTGCCGCTTATGTGATAGTAGCCGAATTTGATTTTATTTCATTTTCAGATTTACAGACATGTTAGGATACATTGTGGCTAATAATAAAAACTCTATTATATTTTTAGACGGTGATGATGAATTTGAGGTTTACCTTTTTTTTTAAATTAATAATGCCTTTTTCTTACTTGTTCAGAATCATATAAAGCATTTGATCGATATGCAATTTCACTCCTCGACTTCTTCTGACGCGTCAACTTCAAGGTCCAGCGGAATTTTTACGGATTCTGATGGTATGTCAACATGTTAATTTGCGTTTAATTACAGTTTTATGATGTAGATAGCTCACCCGATCATTCAACAATTATGAAACCCACTCCAAAGTTTGATTCAAATGAGGTTTCACACATCTTTCTACCACTCATCACATTTTGTCGAACGATGGCGGAAACGAAAAATGAGGCCGTACAAGGAATGTCGTCTGCATTTGGCGACATCACTATCAAAATTGTCTATGATAATTTTATTATCGTGACATTTTCGAGGAAGTAAACAATTATCGACATATCGATTTTTAATATTCAACTTTTTAAAGCGAAAAACGAAGAAATGAGGTTTTGCAAACTGTTGAGCAAACGATCGAATCTTCATTCGGACCTCTTATCTCTTACTCTAACACCCATCTGACAACGGTTAAAAGAGCAAAGGAGGCAATGGATTTGATTATGGAAAAAGTGACGGGAAATAGTACAAAACGTAAATAAGAACATAATTGAAAACTTGAATAAGTATACTATTTTCAGATTTTATTAATATAAAGAGGATGTTGTTTTATTCTCAACAAATTAAAGAAGTTAGGTCAATTTTCGATAAAATTTGTTTCCAACTGGGCGTCTTTCTAGGAAATAACAAGTAAACCTTTAGTATACAGTTATTATAACCAATACAATAGTTTAAGGTGTCTCCTTTTAAGTCATGGTGATGTGGTGGCGACATTCAATTCAATGGAAGGAGCAGAAAGCATTATAAAAAGTACAAATGGAAATGATTTGAGAAATTTGATTTCTACTATTGCAAACTCCTCGAATCATGAATATCAAGTACGATTTTTTTCAAAAATTCTCATTAATCAAATAATTTCAGTTTTGGTTGCGCTCGAAACATGGCTCAATTCCATACTATGTCAATGCTTTCAAATGCAACATTGTAGATAATGTTTCACTTGTTTGTCTTGTAGAAGCATCGGAAAATACGTTAATACGCTATTTGTACTTATTTTCGAAACAGTTAGATCAAATAAGAAATAGTGAAGATTTAAGAAGGTTTTCACGATTTCAATTTTTTTCTCAATGGTAATTATTTTTGCAGGGATTTGAGGGAGATTCGTAAAACTGTATGTGATATTCAGTGCCTTCTTGCTAGTATTCAAAACGATGACAATGCTTATTCCACAGCTTTTATGAAGAATCCATCACGAACATCGGTTTTTCTTTGTGTAAGTTATTTCAGTTGTTATGAAATCTCCACTTCACATTCTCAAATAAACCCTATTGAAGGCATTTCAAACGTGAAACACAGTTATTCTACGGGTTATCCGCCATCAGTTTTTACGTGAAAGTGGGATTAATATTTTATGAGGAATTTTTTTTTAGTAATTTTTAGTGGACCTAGCGCACAAATTGAGATGCAAATGTGTCTTTCCTAATTTTTTATATCACCAAGTAAGAAAAGCAGCAGAAAAGGTCCATTAAAATAAATTTATCATCGTTTATTGCAAATTTTGTTTTTTGTTTTCAGAATGTCTGGAAACAAATCGAAGCGGAGGTGAAACGTATCAATGGAGTGGAAGAACCACGACAAGAAAAGAGTCGAGCAAACTCGAGATTCTCGTTCAGCTCTATTCGCAGCGCATTCTCAACCTTCTCACTGGATTCAGCAATGTTTTCATCAGTTAGCAAAGATGGGAAGAGTATCACAAAAAAACTGGAAGTGCTTCTATCGCATGCAAAGCGCCAAATCAATGCGATCATCCAAGAATTGTGTGCAATCAGTATTCAAAAATCGCGAAAGATCACATTGCCGTTGTTCAATCAATGCATTTCAAAGATTATAAAACCAGCACACATTGAGAAAATCAACAATCTTGGATTAGGTACAATTTTATTTGAAACACAAATTGACTCGAAATGAGATATTTTTTTCTAAAATATGGACAATGCCATTATACGAAAAAGAAGAATGCATTTTCAGGAAGCGAATTGTCAGAAAGTTTTGATTTGTATCTTCATCCAGCGAACTACTTTCTGGAAATGCTTGCATATCGAATTCATTTTAGTGAGACTCAGCAAGGACTATTGTATATTAATCGTAAGAGACATTTCAAAAATGTAGCAAATTCAATAACCGTTTCAGAATCTGTACAAAAGGATTTAGAAGAAATTGTGTTCTTAAAGTCCAGTCGTTCATTCTTGTGTGACATTACCACGAAATCCGGTTCTCGTTTTTCCGTTCATCATGTAAATACAAAATAGTCACAAATTTTTTGTTAATTCAATGGTTCAGATTCATGTTCCTCAACATTTGGTTCAAAACTCGGCGAAAAAGTTGAACGACAATCTTGACAGCGACATCTACATGACCGTTGTATACCCTCAAATAATCAATAAAGCATTAGCGGCAAAACAATCTGATTATTTCCTTAAAATCGTAATAAACGAGCTCTCTAAGCTCTCATAAATTCAAGTTCAATCCATTTCCGGTTTATCCGTATCAATTGTCATTGATTTTGTGTATGTAAATTTTTGAATAAACTACTATTTTTTCTTATTTTTTGTGGGCCATTTCAACAAAAAGCAATTTTTTTTTTGAAAAATGTTATTAACAAAATTAAATATACGTATAAGGGTACCAACAATATCCGTAAATCTCAATAATAAATGAAAACCAATAATATTGCGCATTTAAACAGTATGGTAGTACTAAAAAAAGGGGGGGGGGCAATTGGTACTATGTTTCATGAAAAAGCTAAAAAAAAAATGAAAAATTCAAATAGAATAACCCCAGTTAACACGTGTCTTCTTTAAAATAACCAAATTAAAATTGACTGAACGTTTACAATTTCTTTTACAAAATAAATTTGTTAGGGAGGAGGAGATATTTAAATGTGGTCGAGTTCATTGCAAATTGGTGTCTTCTGGGCGATTGCGAACATCCTGCATGTGAAGAAGCGTTAAGAAGTGTATGACACGATTTTGCAAAGCGGTAGTTTTTATGGCCATTTCAATCATTTTGCTCTATAGAAACGATATTTTAAAACAAAATTAACAATAATTATTACCGAAGGTATGGTGACAGTGGCCGTTCTCAGTATTTGCAATTGACACATTTCGATATGAATGCGGAGCTGCATTGGCAAGTCTTCGAACTGGTCGCGTTCGGCGCTGAGATGATTCCAGCACACCTCCTAAATTAATTTGTTTTGCAAAAAAAACTCCAAAAATAGAATGAGTAAAAATGTTGTGAAAACTACCCTACCATGATACGCAGGGACATTGTAACGTCATTTTTCATCGCCATCAGCTCATTCTATAAAAGAAACCGTAAAATTAATGATTGAAAAAAAAACTTACTCTCAATCTGTTGCGACGGTAGCGGGTGGTAGCACTCATGACAAAAGCAAGCAAATGAATGAATGTGAACGAACGATGTCAAATTGTCCGTCCTACTTTCAATGACTCACACGTTTTCGAGCAAAATCGAAAAAAAAAACGTTATATTTTTTGAGTCTCGATATGATCACGTGCATCGATATTTTTAATTAGTTTTGGATCGTTTTCGCGACACGTCAGCGTATATTGTAGTTGAATCAGCATACTAATTTATTTCTTGTTCTGAATTAATATTTCTTAATACATGTGTGTATGTGGATTTGATCCACGAGAATTCGCTTTCCGGATGCTCTCGCACACACAAACTTTTTTTTCAAATTCTAGAACACCGTTAAAACTATTTAAATTCGTAATGTTTGAAATGAAAAAATTAATGGTGAAAACCGCATGCTAAATCTACCTACATATATTTTAAAACCCGACCCTGGCGGCCATGCTGTCCTAGCTTGAACTGAGTAAGGAGGTCAAAATCTTAGAGTTAGTAGCTAAAGATAAAAAATCATTCTTAAAAAAATTTAATAAATTGGATGAAATTGTATCGCGTGCCCAAATAATAACATAAAGGGACTTAAAGCACTTGGGTGATGAATTACGCAAATAAGCTTTTGCAGACTGGATTTATATGGATGCTCATCTGGACTTCATATTTTGCTGTTTTTAATGCTTTGGATCCAAGATTTGATAAGACAATCACAAAAATTACCTAAATTCATTAAAAAATCTACTATTTCCCTAAATCTACTATTTGGTATTCAACCTTCGATTTTCAAAAATCCAAATACGCATAATAAAACTGCAGATAATTGTGTTGTTTGTTGTGTTTAGGTCAACATTTCACAGAAGTGTTCATGTTCAAATTTATTCGGATTTGATAAAAGCGAACGATAAGTTTGAAAAATTGGACTTTTAGGCCATTTTCTTTGAACTTTTTAAAAATCTGTTGTAAATATATACAATTATTGGTAACTGTTCAAAATTTATATAAAACAAAATATTTTATCATTTGCAAAAAACAAGCGCCATAGGTGTGAAAACAACAATCTTCACGTTATTGGAGCGGCAATTCAAATTTCGATTTAAACAATGCGATTTTTTTTACCTTACTATAGACAAACTGCAAATCAAACTTCCTGAATTTTTTTTTGGGTGATCGTTTTTAGTGTTTGCTGTATTTCAGAATTCGAAAGAATTCAAAATCCACCCAATTTGAAAATGCTCTCACTGTCAGTCGAAATTGGCCACGCGGCGAATGCTATTGGAAACCCAAATTTTTGAGAAACTGTCCATAAATTCAGAAATCCGTATCCTATTTATCTTCGTTTTTCCAATTAATAAATAAATAAGCCTCCAAACTTCTCAGAGGGACAGGTAATAAATGCTTATTATTTGCCAATAGCAACATGCATAGGTACTTATTATAGCATCTCGATTTGTATATTACGCCTTACTGGGGGCGTGCCAAATGTTTTCGGTTATCGGTTCAGCACAAAATAAGCTTTCAAACACCGAACAAAAAGGGTTTTTATCGAAGAAAAATTATCAATTCCCATCAAAAATTGATTCGGGCAACCGCCGAAAATAATAGTTTCTTCGCATTTACGAACGCCCTTCATGCAATATTTCCCATCAAAAATGCGTCAACTATTTGTCAAAATTTTAATGATGTTTTTAACGATCTCCTTTTATGGAAGCATTTTTTGATTTGTGTGGGTAGTAGCATGATTTGCTCGTTGCCCGCGAATTGTTTTCACATTCAAAGCTTTTTTTTTGATTATCAATCGCTGCCCTTGTGATTCAATTCCCAATAGGCTTTCAATTATAGAACGCGCTCAAACATTCACATTTATCATGAACTTTTGCGAGATGGCTTCTGCGATTGCCAACTACAAGGTAATTCATTATTCACTTCATTGCGATCATGATAATGTTCAGGCTGAACACCGCTACTACCTTGACTGCGTAAACGCTTTGGAGACCCAAGCTGTAGGAAAACTCAACTTGAAATTCAAAAATTGTTTCGTAATTACAAAAATGGATTTGCGAAAGGATCTTGGTGTTCACTGAGGAGCAGCAATTCTCATTCGAACGCTTAAAGATTGGAATCTCGATTGTTCGACTTCGAGCCAAATATTTGACACATAACGACGTTCACTATTGCAGCGAGGTATTCAATTTTCAAAGTTACAATTTATTTTTCCAACCTCAGGATTACATGAAGACTACAGTCTTTTTCTATAAGTACGCACTGTTCTTCCACTATCAACTCTTTGAACGAACCAAGCAACACATTTACTTTGTGACTGGATGCTAAATGTCCAAATGAATATCTGAGTGTACAAGGACCAAAAATCGTTAGATAATATCGCATAAAATTCAAGAAAATCTGTAATTGTATATTCAAAAACAATTAAAAAAATCATTCTATTGAGTCAAATAAAGATTTGTCAAAGAGAGAAAACTGTCTGAAATTATTATATTATATTATTGGCCCAACTTAGTTTCATTTCTTGTTGTGAAATGATCTTTGGATGTATACCGTAGTTTTATGAATGTAGAATTCTTAGTCAAAACGTCATTTATTGTGAGACCAAATTTTGTAGTTCGATTTTTTCATGATATAAAATTGTTTTATTCTATTGTTAAAAATAAGTTTTACAAATGTCTTATTTGAATCCTAGAATATAGATTATTAAATTTTTGACATCAAGTGAGAAGCAACTGCCAACCTTGAGCGTGGGTTTTGCCATGTTTGCCAATTTGATTCGATCCAGTTTGCATAAATAACATCTTCAATTGGATAGATTCTCCATTAAAGGCACATCCATATTTGATCTCTTTAATTTGAGTGCTCTAATTAAACTGGAGTAGAACGTTTTCTTTGAATTGGAGGATGGTGTATGAAATTCTGCCAAAGCCAGCCTATTAGATATTTTAAGGATTAAAAAAGCAATAAATGTGAAGTATCTTCAAAGTATTATATAATACGTGCGATTTGAATAATATGCATATTGGCTTGTAATTCATATCTGTACACCTTCAAAGAATGTGTATGCGAAAAGGGTCTTAAAGCCGTTTCAAAAGTACATTCGACGTCTAAAATTGTGGCAAAATTTTCATTTCCTTTATTTCACATTTTGTTCTACGGTATTTGGATATTCGTTTCTTGTAATCAATTTGTTCAGAGAAGGCGCATAAACTCATTATTGTTCTTAGAAAATTTGGTATGTTTTACATCATTATACTAATTATATGTATATGTGCCATTTATTGAACAATTATGTGATTATTTGCGTCATTGGTGGCGTTTGAAAGGTGATTCAATGTGCTAAAATGGAAATGAGTGGGAGGTTAGTTATTGTATAAATGACATTTAGCTAACGAAACATCATTGGTAGGAATATTTAGAAAGACGTGGTAAAGGCGCGAGTGAGATTGACAAGACGATTGACAGTGTTTGCGCCGAATGAAATGTCACTCTGTAAATACTATTCATTTATATATTGTTTGACATATGTAGATACTACATTATCCAATGGAATTCCATGCTTCAAACAGTTTTCCAAGTGTTGAATAGTTCTAGTTGCTTCATCTGCAGCAACCTTCATTTCAACGAAGAGAATCGCTTGGAAATGCTTTTTTGAGACCTTTGAGAGCATAAACTGCAAATTGAACTAAATTTCCAAAAAAAAGTCGTGTATCAAACATTGTAAATACGATGGATCATGATAGTCGCATGCATCTTCTTCAGGATGTCGTTCTGAATGAAAATGCGGTGATTAAAAATTGAGATCTTATCGGAATGGCTCTACCAATTGCTCACGATTCATTGGCGCCGGTCCGAAGTTCATCGAGAACTCAGTTTTCACTCCAAAATAATGTTTGACGTTCTTAACAAAGAAATTGAAAATTGCATTATTGAAGGGCGTAGAGATCACGAAAAATCTGTCGAGACGCATTAAACTAATGCAAAAATAAAACGAGAAAAGATTCATCCAATGTAGTCGTCATATGAAGATGCACAGATCTTTTTTTTTTTCTAAAAACGCCATCCAGCCGCGAAAAAAGGGCGGAGATGCATCAACTAATGGAAAACGAGGAGCGCGTGAGCCGCTCATCTCTTAAGCTGGTAATATGCTTCATGAAGGTGTTGCTGGTGCATTTCCTGATAACTAACCTCCCACTCATTTCCATTTTAGCACATTGAATCACAGTATATAACTGACGACGAATGCACTTTCAATTATCCATAATCAATGCGCCGAAAGATTAGGGTTTTCTTGTCTTACTATCCACGCATTTACTATTATTAAATCTGCTTTTTCATTTCAGAATCCGTTCGCAAATCTTGGTGGCAAACTCTCTCAAGATGACGCACATTCTGGCCGCGTGGGACAAGACCCATTATAACCACGACTACATCGTTAGTTTGATATTTTCATCCCTCACATAATTTTGTGAATATTTTCTTTAGTTCAAAATCATTGAAATGCAACAATCCGTTCGCACGTTCATCAACGAAGGCAGCGAACTCGTCAAAGGCACCCACAATGAGAAGCACGCCGGATTCGCGCAGGCGCTCTATTTTGCCGGACTCGAAGCCGACGACTACCTCTTGAAGCTGGAGTACCGTGCCGAGGCCGCATTCCGCATCACTGATGTATTATTTTATCAATTTGACATGAGCGAAACGCCCGTTTTCAGGCGGAAATTGACGTCGGCCGCGGTAAGGTTGAGGCTGTTCAGCAGTGTCTGGCCAATCTCCGCACTTCGATCGCTTCGGATCCCTCATCGAAAATCTCTAACGATAAACCGATTGCGCGAGTTAAGAGTTTGGTGTTATGAGTTTAGTGTTAAAGCTACAGAATATGAGGGTGATTGCCAGAAATATGACGGATTATCGTATTCTCCAATATATTACACATTCTTAGATTTGCCCCGATTTTTTCTAGAATATCAACAGCCGAACAACTTCTTGAAATCGTGAAACAGTCATTCTTTCTTTTCTTTCGCTTACCTTGTGCCTTGCGACATTGCTATATCTCTCAGCTGAAAATGTTAGAAACACATTATTTTTGCGCATCGTTTATTGGGGGGAAAAATTCAACAAAATATATGAAAGCGGTTTGGCAAGATAAATGGGAAAAGGGCGCCTAAACGGACACACGCGGATCAGGAAAATTTGCATTATTATTGAAATAAGAAAATTAGAAGAACAATAATTATGACATGCGCAATGCTTATTTTTGAGGAGGGGCAGGCGAGCTCTCCGAAGCGATCGAAGTGCGGAGATTGGCCAGACACTGCTGAACAGCCTCAACCTTACCGCGGCCGACGTCAATTTCCGCCTGAAAACGGGCGTTTCGCTCATGTCAAATTGATAAAATAATACATCAGTGATGCGGAATGCGGCCTCGGCACGGTACTCCAGCTTCAAGAGGTAGTCGTCGGCTTCGAGTCCGGCAAAATAGAGCGCCTGCGCGAATCCGGCGTGCTTCTCATTGTGGGTGCCTTTGACGAGTTCGCTGCCTTCGTTGATGAACGTGCGAACGGATTGTTGCATTTCAATGATTTTGAACTAAAGAAAATATTCACAAAATTATGTGAGGGATGAAAATATCAAACTAACGATGTAGTCGTGGTTATAATGGGTCTTGTCCCACGCGGCCAGAATGTGCGTCATCTTGAGAGAGTTTGCCACCAAGATTTGCGAACGGATTCTGAAATGAAAAAGCAGATTTAATAATAGTAAATGCGTGGATAGTAAGACAAGAAAACCCTAATCTTTCGGCGCATTGATTATGGATAATTGAAAGTGCATTCGTCGTCAGTTATATACTAGATATTATGATATTTAAAAAAGAATTTAAAATCTAATTTTAGATCTAGGAAAGGCTCATAGTCTAGTGCACAAAGACACTAAACCACTAAATAATATATTCCATTTGAAGTGAAAGCTCATAAAATTGATTCAAAGATCCCCATGGTCTTAAATGGGTGATGAATTATACTATAAACGATGCGTTCAAGCTCGAATGAGAAAACTAAAGTGCCGGCCGGACGTCAGTTTCACGATTTCCTGAAAAGAAAAACAACTAAAATATAAAAAAAACAACACGAGTCGCAAATTGCAAATATAATAAAATGGTCGAAAAACCATTAAGAAACACACATTGAAACAATTATCACGGACATTATATTTTTGGAATTTCAATTTGATCATTATATATTGTTAGTTGAAGTTTGGGTGTGTTCTGTGGAAGGAGAAATGGAGGTAGTCGTAGATTATGCACATCTGGCGAATGCGATCTTCAAGAAGATCCATGTCTTGCTGAAAATTTGAGGAATTTCTATTTTATTTCATCAAAATTAAATAATTTACACCACGTTTAGCTACTGAAAAAAAGGGGTCTTGAATTTAAAAAGCGAAATGTTACACTAGACCCCGCTTATTCATTGGATTTGTACAGGCTTGTTGCTCTGTAGTCGAGCCGAGACGTAGGTGGAAGCTTCTATGCTATGCCGGGTCTAGGCCGAATAAAAAAATAAGATGGTAAAATAATTTTCTTGAAATGAATGTGATAAGTGAGTTTAGATTAGAAAAATATTTAATATTTGATTAACCGTAATGCTTTCGGCTTGCTTCGGCTGTACTGGAAAATATTTTAGCCGTGGCCAACCGAAAAGGTTCTGAGAAAACTAAACACATACCCATAAGTAATTGATATGAGGTTAATATGCTATAATTGTGCTAAGATTCATGCTAGTCAATTTTAATATGATGCCTTTGCTAAAACGAATACCTCTTCCGCAAATCCTTGATTCATGAAGCTGTTCATTATTCTCTGGAGAAGATCTTCGGTAGAGCGTCCAACGTTACTCATTAACTCCATGAAATACTCTTGCTCAACTGTACAAACATGTGGAATCATAAGAGACTGAAGCAAGCTATTGAAAAAAAACGTTTAGAAGGGCGGCATACTCTGGCGTTCATTAGATTGTTCAGGTGAGCACGTCTTATAGTGTATTGGTGCTAAAGTATTTGACAGGCTTCCTGTGCAAAAATTAAAAAAAACATTACGGACCTGTTGATTATGAAATTGATGATCGGCGAGAATATTGCGAAGACGATCCATCGAACGAAGCCTGAATAAAGACAAATTCCGTTGTTCGTCTCAAGAATCGATGAAATGACGAAACAATGCTCATTTTTTTTGTTTTCGCCAACAAATTTATGATGCGGCATTGTTGGTAAAAAAGCTATTGGCCGTTGCGTACGAAACAAAAAAAAACAGAAATTGATTATCCTTGTTTGGGAAAGAAGGCGCGCCTCCGACAAAAATATGAAATGTTGAAATGTTTAATAGATCGCTCTGCACCTTTTTCGAAATTTCGGCGAGACGTTTGTATCGATGTCTCCCAATACGTCTTTTGTTGTAGAGATTTGAAACAACGACGTTTGTTGAATGTTTGAAATTAGGAATAATATGTCAATAGCTTCACTGGATGAAAAATGGAATCCATATCATTTGGAAATACAAATAGTAAAAAAATTAGAAAAATGTCGGGATGCAATTTAGTAGGCAATTGTTAAACGATCACGCGCACAGTTGCCAACGAGCAGCGCAGATTTTGCGACCGACATTGATGACTCATAATGTTTCGAACGTATAGAATATTGAATTTGAGAGGTTTCTTGTTGGTGAAAATCGTATATGAAAATAGAAAAAGTAATTGGCCTACCAACTGCATTGCTTCTCGTCGCGGTTAATTCTTTGGTGTTTTGTTAAACTGTCTGAAAATTGGCTATTGGTGTATTATTCAGATGAACATTCGAAATTTTATATCGTATGAACAATGAAAATAATTGAAAAGATTTTTTGACTCAGCTCACAGCATTAACTAGACCGTCCATGCAAGAAATGTGAAAAAAAAAAACGCCAATTAAATTATAGACATTGAATTCACAATGAAAACACGAGAAAATCGATTTTTCTTGAAAAAATATGGAATATTCAAAATTAACGTAGTTCGTAACTAAATTGACGAAATTTGATTTCATTATTAAAAAAAAAAACAACACTTAGCGTGTGTTTCGAATGAAGTTGAGTCGGAAAGTAATTAGAATGGCGTATAAGCGAGCATTTGATGGTTAATTGAAACCAGTAGCAACCGATTTGCTGCTATTTGTGAATAATGCTCGTAAACAGGCAAAATAATTGGCGAGTAACCCAAACAGCTGAAACTAAATTCGTCGCGCCATACATCTTTGATTTATGCTTTTGAAAAGGAGATTTTTATGATTAATAGGGATACAAGAGGAAGTTAAAATTTTGAAAATTTTTTTTTACAATTTTATAAAAGAAATATTGAAGCTATAAATAATCCTACGCGTTAGTCATTGGGCTAATTTCAAACTATTTATGACACCGAACATGTGTCGAACACAATTTTTTCTTTTGCGCAACACCTGTTGTATGTCTTTAGAAAATATTTCTAAAAGAGTATCAAATAATAAATTTGAATATAGAAACGCGAAATTAAAAATATAATTTCGAAATATTTAATCGTAACGAAGCAAACATAATCAGACTTCATAAACGGCATATGTTTTAATGCATACGTAACTCTAGAAAGCATATAGGCTTCGAAAATGGAAAATCATGCATTATTACTTGCTCAAGAGAGTTTCATGAAACGAAATGTGTTAATATCACGAGGAGGAATTATCACCCTTCAGTCTTTCTCGAAAGCAACAATCGACCAGTTTTTTCTAAAATGAAGAATATATTTTGAAAACAAATCAAACAAATGGAAATATCGCGGTGTTGAGCATCATGCTAACGAAAGAAATATTATGTGATTTTGCCGCCTGCTATAATTAGTAATATTAGTACTCGCGGACTTTGGACTACCAAAGTTCTAATAATTATGGAGATTGTATAATTTGCGTGGGTTTCAAATGCTTATTTTTCGGGTTTGTCTATCAAATTTGGAAAAATATTTTTTTGTGCCAATCGAAAGACTGTCGTCTAGAGTATCGACGAGTATGATTCGAAATATAAGGTTTTTCGACTATGCTCATGTACCCTTTCAAAATCTTTCTCCATCATATCAAAAATATAAATTTGAAGGAAAACAGAAGTGCATATATATTTTTAGAAGTATAACTTTTCGTTTACAATTTTTTATATTTAAATAATTTCAACTATTCAATTTTTATCCGGGCTTAGGCGAGAGCTAGTTATAGCCCCACTTGGAATTCTGCGTGAATTAACTTTTTTACGTTTTTAATATTTTTTAATAATGTTTGATACTAATAAATCCGAATGAAGTTTTTTTTTCATTAAAAATCAGTCAACTATGGTATTCGTCTAAAAAGCAACGTCATTGCTCTATAACTACCTAGAATAATGTTACGAAAAATCCAGCCATTAAGCGGCTCGTCTTTAATTGAATTTTGCCATTGAATGTTTTGTAGAAAAAGGAACGCAAACTGATCATTCTACAAAATTTCATCTCCAAACGTGTTGATACTGTTTTCCACAGTACCTTATATGCCAACCCTCAATAAAACAAGAAAGAGCACACTGCTGCGCGGTGTGTTCTTTCTTCCCACACTCATAAATAAAGATGATCAATAGTTCTTATATGATGAATGATGTCATAGATTTGATGGTTTGAACGATTCAACGTATTTAGGCTTAAACAATTTATGAATTATCAAAAATTATTGAAAATTTGGTATGAACTGAATGGTGATAATCGAGAGAAGCTCCAAGGAAAAGCATAGCTGTTGAATCGTCTTCTCCAGTTGGTTTTTGATGAACTTTAAAATTAAAAAATTACTCACGACGACGCTTTGAAAAATAGCCAGACCTTTGGAACTTTGCGACCAGTCTTCATGTAGTCTTCGAAAATAGCGATCGTCTCTTTAACTTTCTCTCCAATCATTGCCACGCCAGTTGAAGTTGTATGATGTTCTTGCTTAATGCAATATGGAAGAAGCTCGTCCTAAAAATATGTTATTTAGTTATCCGAAACTGCAAATTGCCTACCATGGCTTTGATCAGGCGATTGTAGTGATTCAGACGATGCCACCATTGTGTCTAAAATAACAATGCAATGATGAGTAGGTTTTTGAAGCAACTTACAAGTTGATATGTGTTCGCATAATTGACGGAGAGAATTTTCCTAAGATTGTTCATCTCTGAAATTATCAATTAAAAAAATTGGGGTGAACGATGAAAAAGTCGACAAGCGTCAGGGTGCAAGAAATTATATGATTGGTGATGCCTGATTTTTTGGTCACCAACGGAAAATATCACACAAAAAACTTCACAGGAAAACGCCGTTTCGTTGGTGGTTGAGGCGGCAAAAATACTTTTTTTTGGCCAATGAGAAAACGGCGGCACCTACAAAAACATAAGGTTATGAGTCGCCGGTGAGCGCGCGCGACCTAGGACCAGTCGGTCGAACCCATTGATGTGATGTTGTTCAAAAATTTTTGGCATGTCATGAGAATGCGTGGTAACGAATCTGAAAAATTGAAATATGCGATCTGCGCTCTCGCCTTCACTGATTTACCAATTTGTTTGCAACCTATAGAATTGCAATAGGGAATATGAAACATGTGTTGGCCAGAAGGTATCTTAACCACTCGATAACTCATTTTCACATTTCTTATAAGAAGCGAACAGTTGATATTGTGTTCACAATATATATGACACAATCTTTTAGAATTAATCATTTTCAAAAAATTATTTCATATCGTGACGAGATCCGGCGTAAAAAATATTCATGTAGCATGCATGTGAAAGAAAGGTTTATTAAACTAAAGACGAATATACATTCAAAATCGAATCTCACAAAACGAAGTAAAAAAAATTAAAATTTCAACGGAATTTTCAGGAAACAGGATTTGAAAACCGGACGGACGCATTGCATATATGATGAGGTTTCCCTTTATAAGGGCGTTTGACGGTTATTTAAAAAAAACATTTAGCGGTAATCAGGAAAGTTGATTGGGCTACAGCCCATCGAGAAAGTGAAGTCGAGATATGCGCTGTAGACAGACTGAAGGTAACTGTGTGCTGTCAGAATTTCGCCCTGAAACAAACATCTATGTAAAAAAAAGTAGAGCGGAAGCTTATATGCATATGCCAATTTCGACGCCTACCGGTGTAAGTATAATCCCGGCTTCAGCGCGGTATTCCAGACGGGTTAGAGTGCGATTAGTCTTTCTTGCCGCAGCCATCATCAAATCAGATAGTAATGCGTGTTGGTGGGTGATTCGGAGAGGCACAAGAGCTTCCTAAAACGAATCAGTGAAACTTGGCGATATTTCAAATTCTTGCCCTAGCTTGCAAGTAGGAATTCAACACTTTTTGCATTCGAATCACTTCGTGCTGAAATGCATTAATGAATATATGAAATATTCGAAAGTAATAAGATTATAATGATCCTTTCTTACCAAGAAGTCATGATTTGGATGGTCTTTGTTCCATGCAGCCAAGATATGTGTCATTGTGTGCCTGAACTTTATGAAAAATTCTTTTATCCGAAAATTTTGCAAAACAAAATTTATTTGAAAACAATAATAATTATTATTGTGATAATGATTGGTATATGCACTTTTTAGATTCTTTGATGCTCACACAAAAAAATGTATGTAAAAGAATTCCGGGCTTATTTCCTAATAGAAATGTGAACGCGATAGATGAGAAAAAATGAGCATTTATTTTTCTCATCGACCTAAAACGTATAGGAAATCGAGATAATAATGTGAATGGGAAGTAGTACTCTTCAAAAAAGGAAATAATTCTACTTTTGACCTGTAATAATAAAAACATCGCGTGTGGCTGAGTAATTGATAATTGGAAACCAGTGGCAACCGAAACACCCTTGTGCTCTTCCATTATATTCTTTTTTATAAGAAAGCGAGCACGAAATGAACGAACAAAAAAGGGAGACACAATGCACTCTAAGAATGATATATGGTACATTGTCCATCCTTTTTTGCTCAAATGAAATTAATTCTTAGTGTGTATAAGAATGACTAAAAAAAGACCCTAATAAATTTTCAATCTGCTTTTGAGGGAAACATTTTGGTGATCTAATTTTATTTGATTATGTCGAGCATCGAGATAGACATTACTAATGATAGGTTATAACGTGCAAAGCAAAAGCCATGATAACGTTTGCTCAAAAATCATAGATATAATTAGGGAAATATGAGATTATCATTATTATATAAACTATTTGAATACACTCACCTAAAATTGTTTATAATTTGTGGTTTGAAAACGAAATGTGTATAAAGTACATTAAATGTACGAAATCGAATCTCGAGATGGCAAAACAAGACAATTTTCAATTAGACAAATTACGTTCTCGCGTATGGATATGTTACTCAGATTTTATAAGTAGCAAACGCTGAGGCTTCTTAGAATTTTACACCAAAGCCTTTGAATATCTGAAATTTTAAAAAGTTCCAGCCTACTATTTTCTATTTATTAGTGTATTTGGATAAAACATAATTTTTTTTTAAGTTAGAAAAGAACTTTAATGTGTGAGTTTCAAATTTTTTTAATGTGTTTATTTTCGAAGTTGTTCAATTTAATCAACCATATCGAAAAAAAAATGTGTGATGCAAATAAATGCATATTGGACAGCTCAATTAAAAAAATGTCTTACAGGAAGCTTCAACATTTTCAAATTTTACTAATAAGAGATGTATGTAATGCCTACAGATACTTGAATTTAATTATGCAATTTATTTGTTTAAAAAACTCACACTCAACTTAGTTCTACAAATAATTAGTGAGGTCTTCAGTGGTCGAAAGTTTGGAACTTATCCGTACCGAACTCGCGCCAAAACCAAACATTCCTATTCAAATGAGCAATATTTTTTAGTCATCATTGGTTGTCTTAAAAGTTTCAAATAAAAGTAATGAGTCTTTTGGTTTGATTTACGGGACCGATTGACAGACAGCCTGCGCAAGCACATCATATTTGTCAATTTTGTCCGTCCATAACAATATGACTTAAAAATGAATTATTATACTTAAAAAAAATCTTTTTTTGGAATCCGTATAATACTTTTGTTTGCAGAAATGCGGATTGACTCCAAATTTTGTTGAATATGATTATTTGAAAAATTCCGACGAATCTAAATTTTTTTCATTTTTTACATATATAAAACGTGGACTTAGTTATTAAGAAACCAATATTTATCAGTATTTTTTCAAACACCAGCAAATTTTCAGACACTTTTTATATTCTAGTTTTATTCGTTAAATTAAAAATTTTACTTAAAACGACTAAACAATATTTAATTCTTAATCTTAAAAAAATATATGTATACATATATTAAGTGTTTTCGAAGTATTTCATGTTAAAATTTAAAAATAATGATACAAAAATGGCATTGTCGGCGTTAAACAACTGATCGAAATTTGAAAAATTTTTAGCTATTTGCCAGGTGTCTCGAGGTGAAGAGACATATTCGGGGTGTCTGCGTACATTGCATTTTAACGTACGCTTAGATAATATTTAGCCCGCGCGTAAATATTCAGTTTCGTAGATCTACACTGACGTTGTGAGATTGAATTTCCCGCCACCGCTAGGTTGTTCAATACCCGACAGTCTATTTTATGAATAGTAATTTTGCAAATTACCCGGTTTAACGTTTTTTTCCACGAATTATTGGCGGCAAGTTTTTTACCCAACAATTTTTGGAATAAATAGTAATTGTGTAATTGGTAAAATGTCTCCCAGGTGAAATTGAGGTTTTCGTCTAGAAGTGAGCCAGCTCGATTTTCAATTATGATCAATACGGGTAAAACTATTGGAACTATTCGAAAACCCATAAAACTCTATAGATATTGCTATGTGTTGAGTTTTTTAGAGAGGAATTGACACCTACGTTATTTTTTTTTTTCAAAAATAATAATAATTATTATTATGAAAATAGTATTTTAACCATTTATGATTCAAAACGATATTAGCAAAAATAACAATTAGACGTGCAACGTCATTTCCCAATACAACGCTATCTTGATTAATTTGTGGTTACGGTGGCTGTTGATATCATACCAGAAAACTTTTAATTACACCCAACATAGTGAGTAAGATATCACCATTTGTTGAAATTTTTAAAACAAAATGACGAAAATTGGATATTCGAATGACAGGAAGAGAAGAAAAAAAACGAAACAAAAATTAAATTTTCATTTCTTATTCTTTTTTTTTCTTATTCCAGCGCTGAGTAATTTCTTATAGTAAAAATGTCTTTTATTCAAGATAGAGCAATTCAATGTAAGCAAGTATTTTTTTAATGACGGAAACCATTAAACCATTACTTCCGCGCTAATATCTATTTTTATTTCAAATAATAATTTTACTATGATCAAACAGTATATAAATTTATTAAAATATATATACTTATTACACGTATGAAAAATAAAAGTGACAACGAGCGGGGAAAATGTGAGATCTGAACATGGGGGGATAGGGCAGTATGGAAATGTACAAGCATAATGAAAGTGACAGTAGATTTCAAAAGAAAGACAACTCAGTTTCACTAGGAGCCCATCTATCTGGAGAACAACAACCGCGGCTCAAAACTGTATGTTGACGTTCTTCGGGCTTTCTTAAACCTTTCACGCTTTTTACAGGTGTATCGGTGCAACGGAATCGGTGGCATTGTAATGCACACCGGCCATGTTTCGAGTTCAATCTCTTCGATTCGAAAAATGAGCTCGTCGCCAATGGCCGGATTCCGGAGGTAAAGCCAGGTTGAGTGGCAAGATGAATGCAACCATTGTTTGTCTCTATCTGAAATTTGAAAAAAAATCACATTTTTTCTGAATACTTTTAAACTAACCAATTTCACACGCTGAGACAGACATTGTGCTCTTTACAATCTTATTTAGCTCGTTTCCAGACCCCAATACTACATCAGGGCAACACTTTTTCCTTCGTTTCGTGTTGTATGTTAGCAAATGAACTCTAACATTCGCTGGTAGCTGCATTTTGCAGGTAACGCCTTTCGAACTGTTTTCTTGTCCCTTTTCGTTCCGTAACACAATTGTTTTTCCATTGTACTCGTGAATGTTTTTGGCAATATCGTCACAACCTGAGGAAAACTTTACACAATTATAAAGATCAAATTAAACTCACTTTTGAAGAAAACGTCATACATACGAATACTCAACTGGTTGTTTATGCCGTTCCCAATATTGATGGTATAGTTACCGTTAGTAGCTGCCTCGTGGCACTCATCCTTACAAAGCTTAGTTTCAGCTATTTTGTGTGAAGGAACTTGGACTGTAATCATACAGTCTTCTTCTCCTGAATAACTATAATCTCCTTCATTGGAGATATAAGAACCGCATTCTGAAATGTCATTCTTCATTTGGATAATCCGTGAAACTGCTACTTACCAACAATGCTTTCTCGCCAAAGGCCGGCTGTGTTTGTCGCTACCGCTTGCAAAATTAATAACATGAACATCGCAAAATTCTGAAATAAAATTGTGAGGTGCGGCTCGGTAGAAGAATGATGTTAAATAGATGTTTTTGTTAGTTAGTCATAATTATATATCTACCGATTTCTATGGAATCTCAAAATATTTTTAATGACGCTCTCTTACCTTCATTATGAACATCTTCGTAGGTGATCGATTGCTCGCAATGAATCCTGAAAGCATCAGTGTTCCATTAAAAGAAAGAATGAGTAGAAGACGACGACTAGCAAGAAATGCGAATGAGATACGAGAAATGAGAAATCACACTCCTAACGACGTAGTTGGTAATGTCCTCGAAATGGAATCTAAATCGACTTCATGGTTAATATGGGGCAGTGTATTTTAATTAGGGTTATAGAGAGGAAGAGGAAGTAAAAATACTTGCAGACCGGGAGGTTCAACCCGCTAGTTAAAAAAACATTGTGAAATTCTGCAAAAAAAAATGAAGATTGCAGAAAATGAAAGTTTGTTGAAGGGCATCAACTTTACCAAAATGCCATTCCGTTTGTAGCCTATCCCATTTATTTAATCCATCATGAATCGTCTATTTATGCTCAGTTTTGAAATTAATTTGTCATCCGGATATACGGAATTAATGTTTCCTATCTGAACTATGTGCAGGCAAAATTTCCGGATGGAAAATGTAAACGAATAGAATTTTCGATATTTCTGTGAGACATGTAAAAAAATTAGGCAGCTGAAAATCGTAATTTTTATGGACGTAAGTTTTCAACATTAGAAGTTTTGTGAAAAGCTGGAAATAACAAACAGACATTTAAGGATCATGGATTGTCAGGATATTGATGAATGAAGGAAAGCGGAAGCCTTTTATAAGCTTTGCTGAAAAACAAAAGTACAGTATACTAAGACGCTCGCGATTACAAAGAAAAGAAGAGGAGGGGTGGGCAGTCATCATATTAATGAAATATTCAGCAAAGAAATGAATGATGTGGAGTATGCACTTTGTGGTCACTTTAAAATTGAAAATACAACCTATATATATATATATATATATATATATATATATATATATATATATATATATATATATATATATATATATATATATATATATATATATATATATATATATATATATATATATATCTGTTCATTTATTTATATGACCTACATTTGATCTTAATGAGCAGCGAGACGAGAAAATAAGCTACTTGAACCCGATATCAAATCAAATCAACGTTCAAAATGACGAGAAATGATTGGAAAATTTTGCTGGAATTTTGGGTAATGATGAATTCTAGATCATTGGTTCAAAATTATTTGAAACGAAACCATAAGGTTTTCGGCTTCATAAACGGTTGAATTGTTATTATACTCATTAGGCGAAGCCAGCATTCTGCTGTTTGAATTCTTTTAAGGTGTTCTACATCAGTTTATTTTCATAGAGTTCCACTAGTGTACTTCAGGGTGTGGTCATCAATGATGACGAAATTTTGAAGTCTCGCTTGATTCGGGTTGAACTTTTCTGCGAAACATTTGATGGATAACGGTGAATAAGCCTACGCTATGATTATTCCTATTGAAGCATACCGTGGAACACTTATATTTATATATATATACATGATTACGTGTCATTTGGTGTTTCTTTTGAACTACCGAAATTTGGAGTCTGGCATGAATAATTTGAGTTCTTGTGGTAATTGCTCCCAAAAAAATGACGTGATTTGATAGTCGCTCCATAATTGAAAGCAAAAGAACCAACAGAATGAATTATGTTGTCAGATGACACTGAACATCTGCCAAGATTCGAAATTGATGGTAACGAAAAGGGGAGTTCACTTGGCTTTTCGAGACTGTCTACAACCTTAGAAACCACCAGTGAAATATGCTATGAGAACTGCGCAAGATGCAATTTGCAATTTTCGATTGTTTGCGCTTTCCATTAAAAAAATCATTCACCATTGGATTTATAATAATTGGGAAAACTTGTGTATTACGTTGTTATGAAGGATTATCAAATGTCAAAACCTAATAATATATAATAGAGATTAATTCCAAAATTGGCAAAACGTACAAATCGACGATCATTTCGTTAATATTTCATTAAGCTCATCCAATTTCGTACGGCCTCGGATGAAAGGATACACAAAAATGATGAATATGCATGCTTGCAAAAACACCGATTTCTTTTAATCTAGCATTCGTATTGGAATATGAGAAATGGTTGAAAGCCCACGCTAAGACAACAGGCTAGGCGAATAAGATGTGCGGCATCGGGCCAATTGTCGGAATTGCGGGCGCTCAAGATGAGAAATTGAGCGAAGCATGAGGGATATGGTTTTTGCCAACCATCATTGAATCGAAATTGCGCAACAGCTGCTCGAGTCATTCGACTTTTCTTCATTCCAAAATCTTACCGTGATTTTTTGACTTCAAAACAGACGTTTCCCCTTTCCCATATATTTGTATAAAATACCAAATTCATTTACGCGGTGATTTAAAGACATACTACATCTTCTTCCTGCTTGCGCACTACAATTTGGTTGCAATTGGTGACAGACGGCGTTTACCAACAGATGAATTTTGAATATGGCAGTAAAATAGAACACGTTGCTAACACTTAATTATCATTTCTAGAACCAAGAGGGGATGTTTTTTTCGAACTTCAGAAGAGTCTCCCAACGAATGAAGGAAAATCAAAAAAATGAGATGATCAGCCTTGGAATTTAAAAAGTTGCTTTGAATGTGGATGACATACAAAAGAAACATTTTGTCTGGATTTTGATCATTAATTAAATTTCCTTGCGCAATTATTTCAGCTGCAATTACATAAGAATCCAAATGAATTCAGGAAGTTTGAATATTCTAAGTATTAGATGAAAAATGCCCAAGAGTGAATCAGCATCCAAAAAATCGTCTTCATCCAATGATTAGCCTTTATTAATGCTGAGCATGAATTTAGAAGCATAATTAACGAAATGCTCTTGCGAGTTTATAATCCGCGATGCTCTTCCAAACGAGCACCGGATTATAATCAGCTAAACTCGATTATATGAAATTTTGCTTCAAAAATAGCCAAATTAATTATCACCTTAAATGGATTGATATGTTGCAGGAAGAAAAAAGCTACCGTAGCCAAAAAAAATTGGAAATCAATTTACATAAATTTGGATTTTTTCACAGAAAGAAGAGTAATTAAAAACTTATGAGACATATGATTTGTCAAAAAAAAAAATTAAACTGATTGCGGAATTGTATAAATCCCCCATTGTTTTTTTTAAATATTAAAATTTCATTTGACTTAAATCAACGGTTATTCCTATTTTCTTTTGTACACATTTGCACTGTTCAAAGTTTCACAAAAGAATACAAAGTTCATAGATTGCCTATGTCCAAACGCACGTTCAAACTTTTGAATTCTTTTGGACACAATAAGTTAATTCTCCAAGAATATAATTTGGGAACATTTTTTGTCAATTTGATTGTGAATCAGAAAAAAGCGAAATGGTTCAAGAAGACGAAACGGGGCAGCTGGCTCCTTCCATTATCAGAGAGTAATTTTCGGTGCTCAGATGATTGTCACTAGAATTAAGATCTTCTGCAAATTGCTCAACTACGTCAAAAAATAGAACAACTAGTAGACCAGAAAACAGTCACAATTCTGAACTGTCTGACCGTGTTTGTCAAACGTTAATTTAATCTCGGTCTCATCACAAACAATCACTAGACAGAACAATGCGGTTGGGTATAACTAGATGCATATAATATTGATATTTTACCGTATTTAAAACGCGTTGCCCAAATTTGAAATAAAGTGGTTAACAGGATTAGGGAAAAATTGTCAATACTAATTTTTGAAGTTCAGGACATAATCGTAGTAGAGTTAAAATTGGCATCAGATATCAAGCGAAATACCGTAGTCTAAGCCAGTCACATGAACCTATGAAAAAAAAATAGAAAGCTAATCTTGCCTCATTGCTATTTATAACTATTTAATCCAATATGTGCCGAAAAAATGTCAGGATAGATACGGTAGAAAGATTATTTCTGACCTTTGTGAAGATGATTTCTGAATACGATAGAAACGCGCTGGTATGAAGGAAACAGTGCGCCTTTTGGTTAAAAAAAAAAGCAGTATATTCCGAAAAAAAATTTTGGAGATACTGTTTAGCCAGTCATTCTATTCACTTTATGAAAAAAAAAACACACACACACACACGAAAAACACATGTACCCTTTGAAATCGGTGTAATTTAAATGGAAAACCGCATAAAAAGAACGTATGTATTAAGCTGCAGAGAAACGAGAATTCGCTGCTTCGAATTTAAGCATCTACAGTAATTTACCAGAAAATCAGACTTTTTAGAAAGCCACTCTGAGGGGGCAAATCACAATTTTTGGTTCAAGCCATGAATGAATATATGTATGAATATATGTATATAGTTGTATTCTCTATTGGGCCATTATATGAAAGAGGGTGGCAAAAATGTTGCGCGAAATTTAAAGATCAAAAGAAGGTTTTTCAACAGCTCCTGAGTGTTAAATAGTAATTGTCACGTATAACTTTCGAAACCAAAAAAACATAAGTTGACTAATTTGATAAAATAGGTTTTAAAAGAGAAGTGAAACTAAGTGATATAATTATCTGTGATATAATTGCACGTCAAGTTCGTTCAGTTCCCAATTTTTACTTTCTAGAAGTGTCTACGAGGCCTTTTAAAATCAAACCAACACTTTTTTTTCATGTTCGCGTGCATTATATATTTTTTCGAAACTGATTATGCAAATTTTTTACCCGAAATGTATACATAAAACGATGAAACGTTTTAACAATTTTCATTTTCAGCATTGTCTGTATATTCTTCCATTGAACGCTTATGCATAGCAATGATTTTCACTTTTTACTTTTAGGGAATGAAAGCCTGGAAGGAATTGATGAATGCCTTCGTCAAAACGGTTTCGAACCGTCATGTAAGTTAAGATAAATAATTGGTGTAATAAAAATTCATTATTCGAGGTCAACGAGATTACAACATTTTTTCTTATTGCACTGGGATACTATGTGACATTAATGGCGGTCACTGGGCAAAATTTTGGTGATATAAGGGTATTTTCAACAAATAAAGTAAAAAATATTGCAGCGAATCCATTAGAGCCGATCACATATTCGAAAACACTAAACTTGAACAACGCTGCGAATGAAATATTACAGTCGATTGTATCAGTATTTATAATAGTCGTGATATCACTAATAATTGGAAAAATCGTCAAAATCGTCTATATACCAACACTAATCGGTAAGCAGAATTTTTTTTAAACGTCACGCTTTCTTAATGACTAAAAACAGGAAACTTCAATTTTTTATGTTATGGAAGCATGAAATAGGTTGTGACGACAATTCGCTTAAAACTATTACTCACTTCAGGACACGATGTGTGGCGAAGTCTCATGAGAAGTAGTCACAGTATTCGCTAAGAACCAGTGTTGAATTTAGTGAATTGAGAAAACCAAACATGACTGACTGATAAAAGAAACAATGAGTGGGTTTCGCGGGTATCATTTGATCAAGAGTTTAAGCAAATCCTCACATTATTAGCTATTGTCATTAAGGCAACTCAATAAGTTCAAATTATGATCTGCTGTCAACTTCGGATTTGAACCTACCTTATTGTACCTTATTGTTCTTTTTCTGACAAATGATTAGAACTTCGGTTTAGCAATCAAACATCGGGATTCTATTAAGAGATCAAACTTGATCATATCAAAACAGTTTCAGAACTTTCTTGTGCACATCTAAAAACTATGAAAAAGTTTTCATTTGTGTAGAATAGAAAAAAATAGAAAAGTTAAAATATTTTATATTTACGTATGAATACCAGAAATTAAATTCACATTGGAATTCCATTTGCATTTATAGATATCTTCATTTTTAATCTTTTGTTTTGAGCGAAGTGCGAAATGCGTAAAAATGCGGTTAATCATCAAAACGAGGCCCATAAGATATTACCGTAGTCAAAGTACATATACTTGAACAATAACTTTCGATGGCGAATTTGAATCCGGATAATCATTGTAAACCTAATCCGTAACATCTAAGTAGTGAACAGTGAAATTGAATTCACACCAGCTGAATAAATCAGGAACGTTTCAAATGATTTTCAGGATGTATGGTGTTTGGCATCGCCATAAAGAACATCGCCGTCTTTAACGAGTTTTTCTACATAAACTCCTACTGGCAGTTCATCCTAAGGAAGCTATCTTTGGTCACAATTATCATTCGATGGGGTATATCAATAAATGTCAAGTTCATCAAGGAAAATTATGTGAGTTAATAACATATTTTTAAGATAATAAAAAGCAAAAATGGGAAAATCGGTTGTATTAGAATTTTAAACTAACATTACCTTATTTCCTGTTAATCATTAACCCTAGTACAGTAATGAAATACCGATATGCTAAATTTAAATTTAAATTTCCGTATCGCGATGTTCCACAATTAGTTAAGATGCTCGCTTGATGGTAATAATTGATTGTGTCGCATAACAAAACATAGAGTTTATAAAAAAACGATGTTTGAAAAATGATTTGAATTCTTTGAAATATGCCTGAAGAAAAATAAGAGCATAAAATATTATTGCTAGTGACGGGGGTGTATGCTACTCCTCACATATAAATAAGTGTGAATCAACGTTTCACACGTTGCATTATTGTTGTTATTTATCTGCGCAATTCTAGAAGCCGTGCTATTAAACATAATTGAAAAAAATCACGGAATGCTGAAGGATTAGGATACTAGTTATGAAGATGGTTAATCATTTTTTCTGATATTTAAATGACTACGTTATTGGCTTAAAACTCTTTTGCGTACATAAACAATATGGGGGTGTGGATCTAATCTGAATTCACAGTCTGGAATTTGCGTGATTACTCATAACTAAATGAATAAAGACTACGTAAAAAGATTACCTCTTTAGATTTTGGATTATTGTGACATTACCCAAGATTTTGATGTTCCACTACAAAATTGAAATTGTTTAAATCTGAAAATCATTCCCACTAATATCACAGTTTCATAAACCTATTGTTAAGGACAAACGGATTTACGTTCCTGATGCTTCCAATTAAAGTTATAGCGTCTTGCTTTTGTCAAAATTTTCTATTTGATAGTTTCAGGAGTGTTTACAAATACAGTAGATATCAAAAGCGTATGCAAAATTCAATTGGCGCTCAAAACTCTCAAACACATTTGCTTATGTAGACTATTCATATTTATTTTTATGATGGAAATTGGAAAGATACTATCAAAACTAATGACGTAAATCAGCCAAAAAGACGATACTCAAGATAAAAATTTTGAAAACCAAATAAAACCAAACTACCACACGTATTATATAATCGGTGAATAGTTGAACTCATAATATGAATAGTTGAACTTATAATCGGTGAATAGTTGAAAGTTTTCACATTTTAGTATATGAAGCTTTCTTTGAACTTGGTTATTTCAAAAAAAAAAAACAAAAATTTAAGAAACAAAAAAATGAAACCATTTTCAGATTTAGTTGATAAAATGGGTTTCATAATTTCATTGAAAGTAGAAGTTATTACGTTAGAATTTTCTGATCCAAATCAACGATTTTTATGATTAAATTTTGTTAAAGTGATCGCTAAATGAATTGAATTTATCGAAATTATTAAAAATTACGAAAATTCGTTATGATAATTTAGTAAAATATACAAAATACCCATAGATATTTGATAACGTTTATGTGGGAGATCGAAAAATGAAAGAAATGTGTGAAGCGAATTTCGGAACCGTTTCAGGTGTTCCCCGCAATTCTTGGCATTGGTTCCGCCACCGCAGAAGCCCTTGCAATATTCGTTGTTGCCGTACTGTTTTTCAATTTCAGTCCCGCACTTGCCATCATTTGCGGGTATCTCGGCTTTTTAGAATCTCACGTAATGTTTATTATAGATTTGTGGTTGGTACCGTATCACCCGCTGTCGCTGGACCGGTTCTAGGGTATTTGAGGCGCAAAAATATTGGAATGGAAAAAGTTATTTTCTTATGAGATTTCATTAATTTTCTATTGAAATTTTTAGAGAATACCTGATATTGTTCCAGCAGCTTGCTGTTTTGACAATTGCTTCTCTCTTCTTATTTTTTCTTTGACTGCTGCCGTCACATTTACTAATGGTGGGTATGAAAAATTAAAATAGTGGGAACAGAAAAAAACAAGTGAAAATGAATCATGATATCATTCGAATTAACTACAGAAATCTTCCAAATTCTATAATTCGCGGATTTTTTCAGATTTTTAATTAGAAATATTTAATAATCTTATTAGAACTCTGGAATTGTCATTATCAGATCTATGGTCGATTGAAAGTGTAATATTGAGCCAACGATGTTTAGGAATAGAAAATTCGAATATTTCGTTAAAAAATGTTGTTGGCTGCCGATGACGAGCTCCAATAGAAATTGTTCTCGCAACTTGCGTGTCAAATTAAGAGTGGGGGCGTCGCAGTGGCGCGACATTGACAACATAAATATTGGCAATCCTAACATCTGAATGTGATTTTCAGAATCTCCGATTCCCACACTTGTTAAAAACATTGGTGCGATTGTTCTGGCTGTTGTTATTGGATTGGTGATTGGTGGGAACTGATTCAAAAATCGAAAAAGAAAACAATCCTACTTGCACAGGTTTCGTTATTCGGTATTTCCCACGCGGTGATGTAAGACACACTCATCTTGGAAGATTCATGATTTTGACATCAATGAGTTATGGAGTGATCATGGGTAAATGCTTTGAACAATTCTTTTGCCACAGTAGCTTTAGATATCCAAAATCAACATTTCTTATATCAGGTATGATTGCAATGGGATATCAGTTTCCTGGAATTGTTGCTAGCCTGGTAATTTGCTGTGTCAGTGGAACCAAATGGAGGGAGGACAATCCAAAGAAGGTAGAAAATGCAAAGACGGCAGAAAATCAAAAGTGGACATAAGAAGAGAATTTGGATATTTTTCTCGAAAAAGTTTCGAAACTGCAATCTTGCGAAACATATTGGCGCTCTCCGAAATTTTGTTCAGCTGAGTAAAGAATGAGTTCAAAGCTACATAATTTAAGATCGACGTTCTGGTTCATCAATGTGACAACTTTTGGTACTTCTTATGTGTTCCAGTTCTCTTCACACTTGTCGGATACACATTCGATTTTTCAAAGGTATAAATTCGTAATTGGTTTTTGTATTTCGAAAATGGCTACTAATTTAAAACAGCGAAAAAATCATTCAATGGTCTTAAGCGACTACAGAAAATAATGCAAAACGAGGCTCAAGTCTAGTAAATCCACAATTTAATAGCTAATCCAGAAACATACATAATCTTCTACGTATTTTGAAAAGACAAAATTAATCCTGACCAAAATTCATTACGACAACAACGACATAGTTGAAATCTTGAATGTGTTGTTAGAGGTGGCATTCTGATATGTCTTAAAGTTCCTCGTTTAAGTATTTCATTAATGAAACTCTCTGGCAGAAATCTGGATGAATAACGTGAGAATTTGACAAAAGAAAGAGTATTGTTTAAGAAAAAAGAATGCGGAATTTTTTGTTGTATGAGGAAGAAGGATTGTTCAAAAATTGTAGTATGCGTGGGAGTTTGTATTCTATATACATGGTACTAGTTTAGGCTGAAGTAATAACGCCCACACCTTGTTCATTGCAAAGGGAATTAGGTTAGGAGCTAAAGTATAAAAAATATCCGTATAGGGGAATTGTAATTCAAATTTAACACCTCCTTACAAGAAAGTTAAAATCTTAATGATTTAAACTATTGATAAATTGGATTTAGAAGGAATTAGTTTTGGCAGAATTGGAGTTTAATGCGTTTCCTTGTTCTAACACAGCAAGGATTAATCTGCGTTACATTAGTGACTACAGTAATCATAATCCTAAAAATGTTCTCGTCTATTGAATAGCTTTAATGAGTCTGACAGAACCAAAAACTAATTTTTTGAAATATATAAATATGGGATTGAGATTAATAAATTCCAAATGCTCAATTATTTATTTATTGTTAGAGAGGGGTCTAGCCAGACTGTCGATTTGTGGTGCTTTCAAAAATGAGCATGAACCAGTTGCATTTCCATTTGATTTTCGGCGTCGTTTTATACTGGTTGCGTCATTGGGACATAACAAAGAAAGGAACGCGAGATAAATTGAATTTCGAAATTTTTTGGGTTCGTCACGAAAATGGAATGACTCATGCGCATTGAGTGGGTTATTTCTGTCAAGAATAAGCTGATGTCAATGGCATTTTGAAAATGTGCAATCGTCATTTGGAATGAATGCTCTAATGGTCAAATGTAAAACTAGCTTTGACCTCAAATTGGCAAATAAGCTTGTAATATTTCCAGTTAATGAGGGGCCGGGGTTAGCGGATGCCAACTATTTTGCAAAACGCGTCTTAGTACATATAATTTTATAATTTATATCGGTAATTTTCATTATGAGCGAACCATTATTCCATTAATTATTTGAACATTTCGTTAAAATATTCGAGAATATTTTAACCAAAAATATTTTATGATATCAAATGCTAATCAGATAAGTTAGAAGTTCGTTTTGAAAAAATCGTTTTTCATTTTTAGTAAACTTGATATGATAGAATAGTTTGGTATAATAGATTAAAATATTTCGGAATATTTGAGAGAAAAATTATGATCATTTAAACATTCAGGTAGAATAGGTAAACTACAAATTCAATAGTCAAATTTCAGATCAGCCTTTACGACGTCAAAGTAGCGTTGATCCTACTTATAGCAGGATCACTTATCAGATTGATTGTTTCGATGGTTCTATCAGCTTCAGCGCAATTCAATTTAAGAGAACAGTTCATAATTGGGCTTTGTTTGGTTCCAAAGGCAACAGTACAGGTAGATTGAAATGATTTTAAGACGCTTCTATTGAAATGAATTCCTTTTCAGTGTGCACTTGCGCCATCTCTAATTCTTCTCACCGATGATTTCCCTGAATTGAGAGAGAAAACACAATTGGTGAGTGAAAACGCGATTACGGTAGAGACGGTGTTTCGTGTTATGCAGATTTGAACAGGCTGAACATCCCCGTTAAAAGTCATTATTAAGATGTACGTCAGTCAGACTCTTTATCTGGGAATATAATATGGTAGAAAAAATAAAAAAGATCTGAAAGAAAGATCGAAATTTTCTGATTATATAGCCGCCGCCCCCTCCGGAATATTTGTCTTATAAGGGGCGTGGCTGCTTTTTCATGTTTTCCATGGATTACAACATGTGCCGCATTAGAAGTAAAATCAACTTCGACTACCGTAGGCAAAATGAATTAAACATTCTGAGAACATTTATGAAGCAGGATGACTTGCACTTTTCATGACTTATATGAAATCAATGGGTCACCACCACGATACATGAAATATTATGAGTCGTTTTGGATTATAATCGAATCAATTTGTATTACGCTGAGCTAGTTACTAACACGTTAAAATTACGCCAACGTCACCTAACGTGAAGCTGAGTTATTCGCGTGGGTGACATTTTTTGGATTAGTCACTCCTGGGTGGCATAATAAATCCGGAAAATCTAATGAATGAATTTATTCGAAGCTTTAACTAGACAAGAGCATTTAATTTTCAAAACAATTTAGAGAGGATCATTTGAGATAAACGAGGTTTTGATTTTAGTAAGCTATTTTTTTAATTCAAAGTATTATATCTATAAATTAAGCAGTTTAAACGTTTCGGTTATGAACTTGTACGGTTCAAAATATTTTCTAACACATGTATTCATTTAAAGAAAAATGATTGAGGATACTTTTGACAAATACTTCGAAGTGATAATTGATAAGAGCGCTTCATTTAGATCATTACAATCTGTATAATTGCTGTTCTGGTGACGAGCCCGATTGTTGACATTCTTCTATACGTTCTGGCTCCAAGATTGCTACGGCAGAGCAGCTCCCAAACGGTTAAACGTACTAGATAACTTTATTTATATGTTGGTTTTTGTAGGTCCACATCTCAGGTGTTCAGCTTGTTCAGGATTCTTCCGGTAACCTTGACACGAAAACAAGCAATAGCATTTTCACCAATGATGGTATTATACCATAATGTCTTGTCAGCCTTTAAAATCTTGTTCAGATGCGATCACTTTCGAAAAATTTCGTGCGCTTTATGGAAATGCCAGCAGCAATTCACCGTTCAATAATAGCCAAATGAATAACACAAGGCCGACATACCAATATGTCAACAAAAGTGCGGTTTACAGTTGAAGCGATCAGTCAAATTTGCCTCTCTGAAATCGAGAACATTGTTCTTTTTTTTTAAATATTATGCATGTTGAAATGTGCTTGTGGCAAATCATGTTAATTTCAATTTGTTTTAGTCTGATCATAATCAGACATTTTGCGAATGCATTGTTTTTGTTTTGTACTAGAAAAACTTGCAATTTTTATTCACTGTGATCATTCATAAATACTTGTGTTTTATGAGTTATGATTTGTTTTTGAAATCGGCAAAAAGTTTAAATAAAGAAAAATGTTAAAATCTTTCAAATGACAAGTAATGAAATAAAATATAAATTCTAATTTCGCGAACCAAATTTTTATCTCGCTCTTTTCTCTATTCTTCGTTTTTTATTGTTGGATCCGAAGCGGGTTTTTCACAATTTCACGAAGCTTTTTTAAATTTATTAATTTCACCGTTGTCAATGTTGGAAGTCAGAAAAAAATTTTGTTTTAAACTTTTGATTTTAAACCTATAATTCCTCAATTATACTTTGTGACCCGCTCAGACTTTTTTATAATTCCGATTTCAGATTAGTTTTAGGCTCGAGGTTCAAGATCAATTTTGTTCATATCAAATAAGGATTAACTCATTGTCTGCAATCCAAAGTCTTTCAACTCTAATCAAATCAATAAACTTTAAAAAATTATGATGTTAGATCACAATATTGCAGACCGAATTCATTATTGAAAAACCGTTTTCATTATGCCTTCAAATCTGAGGTTTTTTGAAAAATCACCATTTTTAGTCGCAATTTCAGAAAAAATGTTGATAAACCCTAAAATTTATTTTCGTTTTAATTTTCCACTTTTAATAGTTTCTGTTTGGTTTTATTTTTTGCAAATATTACGAACAGTGCATTATTTTGCTTACATCGATGTTATTAGAAGAGACAGAAATTAAAATGAAACAGAAACAATCTAAAATTTATGTTGACATTCATTCATCGCTGCTAAATATATTCCCACACGCGCCTTTAAAGATCAGTGGTAATTTTTACTTGAAAATTTTTTTGGGAAAACCGGAAAATTTCGCGGATATCTCTGGCCTTCATATGTAATATTGACAATATCTCTTCGAGATTTTTTCCTGTGAATTTATATTGGGATAAAAGTTTGAGCTTCGAAATCTATGGAGGATTACTTTGAACGGGCATGTCACAAGTTTTTACGTCCCCAATGCTCGTGCCACCAGCATTATTCATTAATATGTTCACTAATAAGATAGAGTTAATCCAATAATACCCCACACGAGCGAAAAATCAAAAGTATCAATTTTCTATTAATTAGTATTTGAAACCCTTCAAGATAGAATGTACCGTCTATAGAGCAACAAATTTGGAAACCTTAACAAAAATATACAAATATATATATATTTACTCGAAAATGTTCATGACTCATCCAACATGATAATTTACATATTACGCAAGGGTTTTGCAAAATTCAACGAGTCGAAAAAAGAATTTGCATTGAATTTGACGTCGGCGTCCAATTTGCAACAATGTTGACTGGTCGATTATAAGTCGAATACTGAATAGTATACAGGAATTGAGGGTGTTATGAAATGGGATAATGTGACGAAAAGTAAGAAGATTTGCATAAAAGCGTAGCCCGAGGACGATGCACGCGGGACAGCGACGGCGGGCGGGCGGAACCGACGCGTGGACGACGATAATACGGTAGTTTGGCGTAGCTAAATCAGTTTGGTTTCGCCGAAAAACCGCAAATACGGCAGTCAATAGACATGCCTTTTTTGACAGTTCCACTCACCACCACCCTGCTTCTTCCGTCTCTTTTTATTATCGGATATCACGCGACAATCTTACCCATTTAAATTTTTTCCTTCTGCTTGTAGCAATTCATTCAACCATTTTTCAGGAACACCGATTCTTCGTGGATAAATAATGCAATGTGTTTCTCGCCTTCACAACACTCTACATAGTTTTTTCAATCATAGAGAGGTAGTTTGGTCCGTCAACTTTTTGGTTTATGGCTTATTATTTAAGATCAATGCAATTATAACATCGCTGCTGATATTTGTTTCATTTTACATTGCGATTGTCACATTATTCGGAGAAAACTTTTGTAAGTTGGTTATTATATCTAACGAGTTTCTTAATTATAGCCTTTCGGAACAGGTCTATATTGTTTCACATTTACATATTCAACAGAATTGTTTTATTCAAATGAATATGCAAAGTACATATTATGAGATAAAAGAATAAAACTTGCAATATTTTTGACAGATAGATATTTCCGTACTGAAATATGAAAAAAATTGAAAATGAATTGTAAAATGGTATATTTAGAATAGCTCAGAAAATTTTCAGTTTAAAAATTCTAACTTAGTATTTAAAGCAAGATAAGTTAATTAATATGTCATGATCATTATTCAATATTATTCTATTCTCATCAGAATTTGTGAAACTGCAGACCATTGAAAATTTATCCAACGATTTCAGTGCAACCATTAGCTGACCATTCGCATGCATTCGCCGATGGTGATGATGTAACAATTAGATCAATATTTATTGTCTTCCTCCTACTATTCTTCTCATTGATTGCAAGCAAACTCGCCAAGCTTATTTGGCTACCGCCCTTATTTGGTGCGTGTTTATTGTATGAGCTATTGACCCGATCAATTCTATTTAATTAAGGTTCGCTGCTTCTTGGTATTTTCATTCGAAATGTTGCCCCATTTGACAACTTTTTCTTCATTCCGCCTTATTGGGATACGATTCTGAGGAAATTGGCATTTGTCACGATTGTCATTCGATGGGGTTTGGCGATTGATTTGAAATTTATTTATGAGAATGCCGTAAGGGTTTTGAAAGAATCCGGAAAATTTAAGCCGTTTTAGGTGCTACCAGCAACACTTGGATTAGTTTCATGTTTTGGAGAAATTGTAGCGATCACATTGGCCTCATTTTTCATTCTGAACATATCATTTGTAATGGCGATTTTCTGCGGGTTCGACAATTTTTTTGAACAAATTTGATTTGTTTTTGATTAATTTTAGATTGATTTTGGCTCTTGTGTCGCCAGCTGTCACCGTTCCAACTATGATCAAATTCCGTGACGAAAATATGGGAATTATAAAGGTATCAATTGATCACTTACTACGATTGCACATTATTTTCAGAGAATTCCGGATAATGTACTAGCAACTTGCTGCATTGACAACGTGTTCGGTGTAATTGTTTTCATGATTTTGAGCTCAATTATTTTTACAAACGGTGAGTTATGATATCACTACGTTTTTTTTACAGAGATCAATGGAACATAAAATGAAATCATTGACTTTCTCATGAAATTTTAAATTGTATGAAAATTGTGCTCGGAAAAAATGTTTTATGCGAAATTATTCGGCTAGGGAAAATTTCAAGAATATTTTTTTGCATCATTGATCAAATTCGGAGGGATTGTAGATCAAAGGATCTGAGAATAAGCGACAAACGAAAAATCATCAATCTATTAAGTTGAAGATTGAATTTTAAGACTTTATGCATATTTATTTTACTGAATCGTAAAAAATTTTAGCTCCGGTTGCCACAACTATTCTACTAAATGCCGGAACGATAGTGTTTGGAATGATTGGAGGAATTGTTCTTGGTAAGCCACCCCTCCCCATCCTAATCAACTAGCTTAATTTGAAATTTGCCATTTAAGGCCTTCTTTTATGGCGATTCCCAAGATCAGATGCACCACACACTCAATTCTCAAGAATTGCACTTATCGGAGCGGCCTCAATATCGCTTGTCGTCGGCACATTTTTCATCAAGTATGCTTGTTCTGGCTTAATTGCGTCGCTCATTTTGGGAGCAATGTGCTCGATGAGATGGTCGGCTGATAATGAAAATAAGGTTTTGAGAACATCAAAATAACAATGAAATGAGTATGCGTTTTGAAGTTAATGTGCGTCGAGTCGAGTTACAAATTTATATGGGATATTTTCGCGCAGCCCATTCTTTTCGTGCTGCTTGGAATGAAGTTCGATTGTTCGAATGTAACATAAATCACATCCGAATAGTGCTTATAGAGCATTGATTTCAGCTAACTTGGGAAATTGTTTTCCTCTGCCTCGGAGTGATTGCAATTGGGCTGCTTATTCGAATCATTCTTTCAATGCTCATCACCTTATCAACCCAACTAAACTTCAAGGAGCAAATTGTTGTGTCGTTAAGTCTTCTGCCAAGAGCAACACTTCAAGCAGAGCTTGGACCAACATTGGTGCTTCTGACATCAACAATTCCGGAATATGCAGGAGACGCAAATTTGGTACAACGTTGCCCGTGTTGTAGCAATTTTCTATAAAATTGAGGTTTCAGATTCTGAAAGTGTGTATATTGTCAGTTTTGGTCACCGCGCCAATATTCGATCTTCTTTTGTCATTTGCTGGCTCAAAATTACTAACTGTTGACATGCCTGAGGTTAGTTTCAGAGCAACCCAACTCTCAAAAATGTCTGCAAGCCAATTCAAATAATGAATGGTAATAGTCAGCAATATAACTATATGCAATGTTTTATTTGCATAGCACATCCTATAGAGTATTAAATTTTATGAAAATGTGTTTTTTTTTTCTCGGAAATTGCACCAATTATGCTGAATATCACGTATCTCTTAAAATATGAAATCTTTCTTTTCAGGCAATTACAAGAAGCGATAAGAGTTATATGAACGGAGACCAAATCGACGCCACCATTGAGAATATTTACACGTCCCGTCCCAAATCCAACTTCGAATATCGCAGTGAAACAGTGATTGAAAGATATTAATCATTTGCATCTTCAAAATTAGGCCGTATTTCCTTTAATTATTTTGATCTACAATTATCTCATTACATTCCATTATATTCGCTGATTTTCCGTTGCGGAAAAGAGTAAATTTATATGTGTATATTCACGTGATTCATTATATTATTCCAAATATTTTGAAGTATTTTTTTATTATTTATATCGATGTCATTACACAATTTGTCTCGTCACTTATTTTATTTATTATATAAAAATAATTGTCATCCCTTTACTTCAAAATAAGCCAAATTGTAAAATCTATAGTTATATCATAAAAATCATTTAAAAAAAAAAAGCCAATGGGATGGGTGGAAAAAGGAAATGCGAAATTCTTTCCTAGCATTCAATATATGACGATTTGGGCGTTTAAATCAGGGGCAAGCTTATTTATGGCAAGCATGAATAATAATTTGTCGTATCACACTAGATAATTACAAGTGTTTTATTATCCATATCGCGTTTTTACAGCAGAAACGTGTCATCAACATCATTGTTCTCATCGGAGTTGAGCACAATTACACTGTTTTTGTGAACTTTTGGCGTTGTCGCTTTTGGCTGCCGATGAAGAATTCGGCGGCGAATCCACGAGACGAATCCTGAAAAACAATATTTTTGGCCACATGTTATTTCTTTTTTTGGCAGCTAAACGCTAATAATGAAATATTCACGCTTACCTGACTCGCCGACGTCACTTTGCTGGTCTTGATTACTGGTGCAGTTTGATTCATTACGCGGTGTCGTAGTTTCTGGAACTCTCGAACATTTTAAAGATGCAACCCTTCTTTAATCTTACTTTTGTCGGCCAACACAAGGACTCGCCCATTGTTTTTGTTTTCGCGGCCGAAGAGGAATGGAACTGCCTTTGCAAATTCCTCTCTGAAATCAATGTTCACATCAGTGTTTTATGAGTAAGATGACACCTGAAAGATTCATTCATCCATGCATACAAGATAGGATTCCAGCAAGTTGCAGTCATACTGATAAGGTGAACAAGAAGAAATACAAAGCTAAAATATGGCTTAAGAAAGGCATCCCATTTGATATCGCGAAGAATATTGCTGAAATTTCCATTCATTTTAATTTTGAAAGATTTGTGATCAGTTACAGAAGATTGAAGGGAAACCAGCACACTGCGAATATGACAACCATGATAATCAACATTCGTAGCAGACGCTTCTTTCGATTGGTCTCATTTTTCCGTTCACGTACAAATCTGCGACTGCTGAGGAACACCCAAATGCAGGTGTAAGAGATTCCAATAAGGATGAAGGGGACGATGAACTGAAATTCGTTTTTTTTTTTTGAGAATTATTCCCGCGTGCATTATAAACTCCACAAATTTTGTTTTTTTTTTCTGCCCCCATATCATTTCAATCATCTGAAATTGCAAATTCATTGAAAATTTGATGCATCGTTTATGAATAGAAATGAAAGATTTGGAGTCGTTTTTCATGCGTATCACATTTCTTTTATAGGATTTTATTATGACTGCCAAAAACGGATGCGAAATGAGATCTCGTCAAGATCATTGTCTGATGTTCTTTAGAGCACCTATTCAGAAATAAAAAATGTTTGGTTGAGAATTAATTCATAAGATTTTCATTGAGCTGATTACGCATTCATTAATACCTGCAAGCTCATGACGAAAACTCCGAAGACTGTTCGAAAGCTTTCACTGCTCCAATCCTCACTGCATATCATGAAATTGCAGGGCTCCCCGATGAAGTTAAGCTTCATATTCACCGCATAAGGCATCACAAGGCACAATGATGTCGACCAAATCATTACAATAATAATAATACATGTCTGTAAGAATTTTCAGAGGCTATTTATACTTATCGGCTGTCATCCAAACCCTCATAGACATTCTATCATTGATGTTGACATTCGACGAGTTATGTACAATTACAATGTACCTATCAATGGCGATGGCGGTCAATGTCATTGTGCTAATGAAAATGCTAGTTCCTAAAATAGCGCCTTGAATTCTCATTAGGAATAGTGGATTTCACCTTGGAACAATGGCAAGCCGTGACAAAGGCCTCCACCGAATATCCAATGTCCTATGTACGTGTACATTGGGGTTAGCCAAAGAGATCTGCATTATGAGAAATTGTATTTGAGAATCTCGATTGTTGCCGGATTCAATTTTCCGACACCGCGTTATATTTCCATCGTTCACTTTTTCATTTCCCTCAATGCCTATATAAATGTGGCGAATTTTCATTGATGAGCTCGGAGGCCAAGAAAAAAAAACATCATGAAAATGTCGGAAATGCGATGATTTATGGACAAATTTTTTGTTTGCCAAAAAACAACTTACGTGAAATTCACCATTATATCCGAAACTGCGAGATTTGTGATGAAAATATTGGTCACAGTTTGCATTTTCTTATTCGTCATTACTACATAGACTACCTAAATGGGAAATTTTGGAGTTTAATTTAATTTTTTTCTGCTGGAAATATACCAGAAAGTTTCCCGTGACAGCAACAACAAACACCGTAATATAAAGAAGGAACAACACAAGTCGAACAACCAACACTTCCATTGGATTCTGGAAATTATTGTTTTTTTTTGCTGACAAGTTTGTTTTGACATGAAGACGACATAAATATATGTGTATCCAATTTCAAACCACAAAATTAATTTGGTTGATCACAAACTTTATCTATATATTCATAAAGCTAAAAAATAAGCGCAAAAAAATCAAAGGAATAATAATTTAAATTTAGTTGACATAAATTCTTATATTTTTTTATGTGTCTATTATGTTTTTCTTATGGATTCTCTACCTTGTTCAAATTCTAAGAAATTTTCATCAGTTATTTATATGAGATAAGAAATATTGCCATAAAATTGGCTATGCGAAGCAAGGGATATAAAAAAATCTTTTTTTATTCCTTTTTAGTGTTTTAATCCAAAAATAACCCAAAAAACATACATTTTGAATCTTGCACGCTGATGAGTAGGTCGTTTCATTGTCCGAAGCCTCCGACAAATTGGTCAGTGAAACGGTCATCTAAAAAAGGTAAAGTAGTTTTGCGAGACAATTTTTTTGGAGTAAATACTAAACGGTAGACAAAAATATTCTGAAGAAAACTACAAATCGGAGGTTCCACTAGTAGCAACTTCAGTGGAAAGTTTTATATATACGAATACATATTCAATTGTAAAATGAATAGTAAAAAGAATAATAATGGTAGGCGAGATGAAAGACAAAAGGAAAAAAATTGTGATGCTCAATATGAATTTGAAATGAATAATCATTTTTGGTGTGGCTCACATTCTGGTCCGCTGATGAAACAAGAAAAGAGAAAATAAATTTTATTTATTTTTTTTTGCTTTTTGGAATATATGCATACACATAATGAGGTAAGTAATACATCGTAACGCGCGAAAAACAACACATCCCCAAATAAGCGACTAAACACAGCAAAATTGCGAAAATACATTGAGTAGAGACGAGAAATGTGAGCCTCCGAAATGGGAATACCTGATCATTAAATTCGGATTTGTTATATTTTTATAATGTACCGTCCTTCCCATAAAAAAACGTTATCTCCTACTTCCGTTTCAATTTTTCATAGGATTTTGCGAAAGAGAAATGACGTTTATGTGACCGCAAGTACGTGAGATTTAATTTAATTTAGTTCTCTCCTTCCCGAAAATTAGATGCTTCTTCCGTAAATCTTGATTTTCGTTAAGAAATTAGAAATTGGAAAGCGAAAAGATTTTCAGAAAACAGATAACGACGCATTGCACAAACAGGAGGTGCGCTGCACGCTGCTTTGCCAAGCGGGAACCACGCATTAATTTTTAATTTAAAAGAAACAAGAATCAAGTTTCGCCGTGTAAAAACGCCTATAGAATTTGCGCGTTTCCCACACTTCTTTTCTAGGTGACTAAAAATGCCTGCTACTGCCTATCGAATTCTGGTAGAAAAAAAAATAACTGGTTGCCCGCCGATGAAATGTCATAATAGTGCAGTCTACAAAACTGATTTTTTTTAGCGATTAATGTATTTTTCAGCAAAGCAAACGTTTTTTTGTAGATTTTTTGTTCTCTCCTTTTTTAGTTCGAAACAATCTCAAGGTTCAAAAAGATTTAAGGCACTTCAAACTTCGGTTGAAAGTTGTATAATAAACTCATTCCTTCACTTCAACGGACTATTACCACGGTAAAAATATTCTTAACTCGAATAATGAATAATAATGAGAGGGTTAAGCAACCGTCTTTGATAAAGTGGATAGGCAGTTCTGTACAAGTTATATTGATTTTTAATTGTTTAAAATGGTTGATAAAAATATGAGAAAAAAACATATTTTTTTTAATTTATGATGCTTACTTACCGTAGTTTGCGTTTCCGGAACAAAGTCGTTTTTGTAGAAAGACATCTCGAGAATATGATCAAATGAATGAAAATAACGGATTTTTATGTTTTTCTAGCCATGGAAACCGAAAGGGCCCATTAATTTTTGAAGAATATAAGAATCGTTTTTATTGGTTTCAATTGGCGTCATTCGTAATGCGACAATAAACTCAAAAATGAATTTTTTAAAGACATTTTTTTCACAGTTTCCGATGATAATGCGCAAAAAAATTCGCGTGACAATATGGTGTATGCTCTAATTAGTCACGAAAACACAACTAATTGTTATTTTCAGCATTATTCCTTCATGAAATTCTGCAAATTCCTTGTTTTCACCGTTTGGCAGAATGAGATTGTGCAGTAACTGCGAGACAATGTGCAGAATACAAAATTAAATGTACTCAAGAGCTCACAGTTGTTAAAAATTAGCATATGAAAATAATACGGGTATTTGTCATGAAAAAATAGAAAAACTATATAACGTCGAAGGGTGTTCCAGGTTTTTCTAATCGTTTGAGAACATGTCATTTCAGAAACGCTATTAATTTTTATATAATCGGCTTTCACAGCTAAAACAAATCCAGATATCGATGATTTTTGAAATTTATTGTACTTCCGAATCAATTGTGTCTCATGTATCAATTTTCTCTATAATGGAGGTGTTTTTGCTTGAAAACGAATACATATTCTAGAGTCATATACAATTTGTCTGCATGCCTATGCGACAATTATCATTATTTATTACCATCACTGAAAAAAAAAACAAGAGCCTTAGGTTTTTAGCATTTCAGCAATTTTAATTTTAATTGAAAATGTAGTGAAAATTTGGGTTTTGTAATACCAATAGCTTATACATTAAACTCAATCAAAATTTCACGAGGACACTTTTTTTGTCAATTTGGTAAGGTTAACTCGATTTTTCTATTTCTGGTTGGCATCGAAGGGTTCCTTTAATTTTGTTGGTGTAAAATACGAAAAAATGTGAGGAAGAACCATAAGGATAAGATGCGAAATGAAAATCTTTGACATGCTTGCGTAAATAATGTCAGCAGCATAAGAAACTGGCTAAATCTTTTGTGGTGGGTCTCGAAAAGGGTTTAATGAATATTTTGGTCGGAACAAAAATATTTTTTGGCTGCTTCTCGTAAATTGGGAAAATCTTTCTTGTTATGATGCGAAACAGGAAAAAAAGTAAAAAAAAAAAATAAAGTAGAAACGAAATGCTTCGATAATAACGCATCCCATAATTCGTATCGAAGAAGCTTAGGACTTCAAGGAAATCTTGGTATGTTAAATCAGAAAAGCTGAATTTCAGAATTTTGAAAGGGTAGTCGTATTAATGTTTTTTTTATTTTTCAAATTTGCAATTTCAAAACTTTTCAAAATTTATACAACAGCAAATTTGAAATCTGCGAATTTGACAAACGCGACCAAATACAAAAGAAGCACAAACTTCACCAACCTTTATTATTGTTATTCGTAGAACGCCAAATCAAAAGTAGGGTGAAGAATCAATCGGGTTGGGTGTCACACCAGCGAGCTCAATGAGAAAATGCGGGAATATTGATCAACATGGAAGAAGAAGGAGAAGGCGAGTGGGCGGGGCATTTGGAGTGGAATGAAGAAAAAACGAAATGCGAAATTACACTCAACTGCAAACATTTTTCGAAATCAAAAAAGAAGACAATTTTAGCAGAATGTCTGAGTTAATTGAACCACGCGCCTCCGCGCAGGAAAACGAGCATTTTATCAAATTCCCAAATTTCAATGGACCACAAGAGCCTTATGCAATAATAAAAGATGCTCGTTTAGAAAAAAGAAAACGAAAAAAGGACCTCGTTTTTTTTCTCAAAAAAAAAAACAGGGTCCCGTACTACAAGCGACAAAAATTCTTTTAACAATAATAGAAGGCACAAACAAAATTTACATTTCTTCATTTTTCTCTTCCATGTTACACAGATGAAGGGTTACATGACAAGAAATAATGTCCAGGGATCAAACAAGGTTAAACTCTCAAAATTCTAGTCAATCCTAAATTGAAGTTAACTTTGCTCCAACTAAGTCAAATTTATTTTTTGGACCCGTTAAAACCTTCGAGTTCTTTTCATAAATTTGTGAAATATTTGTGAATCATCAATATTCTTGAATATCAATTAATTCCAGACGCACATTTTCTGCAACTTATTGATAAAATCATTCTCAATTAATAATATTAGACATAATCAATAGAAATCAATTCATACTTATTTTAGCGTGATCTCAAATTCAATAATGTAATGCCGTTTCATTCCTAGTTTTGTTTGAAAAAAAAACGGCAATGTCTACATTTTAATTCGAACAAGCTTTACCGGAAAGTTGTACTTAGCCCCCAAATTAGAACTATTAATTCACAATCTAACGTGTTCAATTTTTTTCTGAAGGTGAAAAATTGCACGTTTTGTTTAATTAAGAATAAAAAAACGAACTCAACAAAAGGAAATATCAAATAAGGATTCTTTCTTGAATATTATTTCGGGGGAGCGGGTGGAATTGTTCGTTATTTTGGGAAAACTCGTTTTCCAATAAGATATAATAATAAAGTTACGATAAGTGCGTTGCTTCTTTTATGAAATACATATACGGACCATAATAAATATCTATCCAAAATTCAAAGGATATTTAAACAAGCCCGTTGGTCTCAGATATAAGTCGACGAAAAAATATGAGTTCACGCAATTTCCAAAAACGGAAAAATATTACGTGAATTAAACACGAAATATATGCAAATACATAAATATATAGGTGAGACGAGAATAGTTTGAAGCATTTAGAAGTGCGTGGACACAATATGTCTAAAAATTAGGTTATTATTTAGACTCGCAACGTTTTTTTTTGCATCAAACAGCATAAAGCTCTTTCTTTCACTAATTATTAAATGTTCAACAAAATTCTAATCGATGGTCAAATAATTTGGAGAACGTTGGTTTTAATCGAAGAAAATTTGTCAACATCACCATAGTTTTTTTTGTTGAATGGATTGTTGATCATTCTTGAAAAATGCGAACGATCGACTTAGAATAAATGATAAACTTATATAAATAATTTATAAATCAAAAGATTGACACTAATCGTTGGGTGCCAAAACAGTAATTTTTGAATAGGAGATATATATATATATACAGAGTGTAAAAACAAAAAGA